GAACATACATGCGTGAACGTGTGTGTGTGTGTGTGTGTGTGTGTTCATGTTTAACTGACAAAAAAAGATAGAAAGGAGGGAGCTGGAGGGCTGGAGGGGGGACATGAAATAGGAGCGACGGGGAGAAGACAACCGAACAAAGACATCAAGCAATTTTTGAAGATACCACAAAAACCGCCGGCGTTAACAGCCTGCGCAGCGTGACAGCTCCTCTCGGCTTCTCTCTTTGGAAGATGGAGAGAGTTCCAGAGAGCGGACTCGAAACCGAGCGAGAGAACAGGTCAGATAAAAAACACACTGAGCCAGAGAGAGAACACCAATTTGATTCCCTCAATAGACCCGAAGGGGAAATAGCACGTTTCCCCTTGTCTGTCGCTGACTCAAGACCCATTAGTTTAATTACACGGAGGAACTGAGACTGAAGAGTCCGTGTATCCGAGGGAGAAAAGCAGAGAGGTTCAGACACAGTGTATTAGTTTAGAATGGACTTGGACAGAAAGATGGAGAGATTTAATTAGAAGTCCTTTGTGTCCCCGCTGCGAGTGTACTTCACATTATGTGGGGACTCTGGGCTTGATTAGCTTTGCTTAACACAAAGACTGGATGCAGAGGCCGACAGCTCGTCGCTCCCTCCAAAATAGTTTCCCAAATCCGAACAAAGACAAACGGGAAACGGGTTAAACTGCCGCCGACTGTCGGACGAGAGCGTCACTATTGGATGCTAAATGTTATTCAATGCCAATGTTCTAACCTTCTTGCTTTCCACGAGGTCTTTGCACGGCGGGACCTGCCGGACCCGGGAGGGTTCATGCCTTGTTGCATGATGGGATACGCTGCCATCCTGGTGTTGCTGTGATGTGGATTTCATTTAGGAAGGGTTAAGAAGAAAATAGAATCCGACTTCTGCTCAAAGGCTTGTTTTAGTCTTCAATTAATTAATGCAAGTCAATGCGTTATCCCCCTAAGACAAGTGTGTGTGTGTGTGTGTGTGTGTGTGTGTGTGTGTGTGTGTGTGTGTGTGTGTGTGAGAGATTGCGGGGGAGGCAAGAGGGAGTGAAGCAAAACAGTCACATGCACAACAGAATGTCAAGTAACAGCTTCCCACTGCCTCTCTCTCTCTCTCTCTCTCTCTCTCTCTTCCTCTTGACTCCCCCCATCCTCCTCCTCCTGCTCCTCCTCTCGCTCCTGCAGCATGCCTGTGTCCTTAACCCCCCCCTCAATCCCCCCGTGCTCCTCATTTTATATCAACTTGAACTATTCAGGCATTTCATTTCTAATGATATCGTACGGCTCACTCTCTCCCTTGCTCTCTTTCTCCCCCCCCCACCACCCCACCCCCCTTTTGCCTCTCTAGTTCCTGCTCCTCTCTTCACCACCTGTTAGTTCGTCTCCCTCTCCTCTCCGCACTGGATTCCCTTCTTTTTTTTATGAGGAGTTTCACACACTTGCGCTATCAGTGAGGTAAGTCAACGTTAAATCTCCATTGTTTCCCATCTCAATGCTCCTCGTCTTTAAAAAAAAAAAGAAAAAAGGAAGAAAAAAATGATCTTTTCTTCCCTTCTCTTCTCACGCCGTCATCACGTCCTCGCTTTGGGTGTCTGTTGATTTGCGTTCTTCCCCCCGTCGACTCCGCGTGGGAGAATCAGAGCGGATGCTGTGGGGATTCGATGGGCGCCCTCCATTCGTCCCCCAGCGGACCGGTGCAACATGTGGCCGTCCGCTGCCTCACTTTTCCCTCTCGCCCTCAGACGCACGCTGACACACGTTGAAGTTTACTCACCGACTGCCTGGAAATAACTTGTGTCTAATGGGCAAGTCACTGTCACTGCATTGTATGTCGGACTCGAGAGAAGACAAAAAAAAACAGCCAAGAGAGAAGGGGTGAGGAGGAGGAGGGGGGGGGGGGGGTCCTCACACACCCACAAGTGGAATAATGGTGTCTCAGAAAGTCTGACGGTGAGATATAATGAGGGGAGAAGAAGAGGCGAGGTGGATTAAAAAGGTGGAGATAAGACAGTGGAGGCTGGGGGGGTGCGAGGCAGGCAGCGTCCATGCCTCTGATGTGACTCTAATTTAAAGTGAAGGAGCTAAAAGAGGACGGGGGGGGGCGGCCATTGTCCCAAAACACTTTCCCCGCCCCTCTCCCTATTGAATGTTTCCGCCTATCGTTAAACTCCCTCGGGGTTCCCTGGCGTGGGGTGTGTGTTTTTCTTAAAATTTTTTGTGCGCGGGGCCCAGAACATTTTAACGCATTCTTAAAACACACAAGAGGCCTGTAGAATTCGGAAGAAGTCGCCCCTTTATTTATTTTCCGGCGCGAAGATTTTTTTCAGCGCCAGATTGCCGATGAAAGGGGAGGTTGAGAGAGAATTTCCCGCCGGGCCGCGGGGGGGGGATCAATCATGAGCTCCCCTTAAGCTGTTTCCGAGAGAGCCCCCCCCCCCCCCCCCACACACACACTCCCCCCTTCTGCCCCCCGGCTGTCGCGGGTGCCACTACTGCTGGTGCTGCTGGTGCTGATGAGGGTGCTGCCGTTGATGCTGACAGTGCTGCCACAGTTTATGGCCACATCTGCCAGGACTGGGGGGGCGACTGACTGCGCACATCACATCAGCTGACACGGGCTCACAAGCCTGCAAAACATCTGCACAGTGAGAATGTGTGTGTGCGTATGAATTAATGATCTGACAGAAGTGCATCCACGGATGTTTGATGGCGTGCCTTTGTCAATGTTTGTTTGAGTAAGTGGGGAGGGAGGGGGGGTACACGTTATATTATTCATAAGAACAATAATGACCTATTGATCCAAATTAATGAGTCTTTCAATCCATTCTGAACTTAATCATTATCAGAGGCAGCTTCATTAACTTTCACCTTTCTCCTTAATACTGTATATAATCATCTGCTTCATTTGAGATTATCTCACCGTAGTTTCATTGTTGTGTCAGACTGGAATAGTTCCTCTAAAGACACCGTGCCGGTAACGACAATCAGAGCGTTTTATTTTGAAGTGCAGCAGTCAGACGTTATCGCCGCGCGGCTTAATTGAGCAGAGATGAACTCTGGTCGCTCGTCATCAATTTTCCCGTTGACGTCCTTAAAAGGCACCAAAATGGCTGCTGCTGATTTTTTTCCCATGCAGAAAGGAAACACGTCCATCATGTTGCCCTCCGGTGCCAGTCTTCTGTCAGAGTCGGACGTTCGCACGCTGGCACGCTGGCACGCTGGCACGCTGTGGCGTTTTTCAGAAGTTTCTTTCATCTGCAGCCAAAGGGAAAGCTGGGCGAGCTGCGGTGTTCTTCCCCCACTGTTGTGCTCGCAGCAGAGAACCTGGACCAAACGTGACAAACGGTCTGAAGGGACTCTGAAGGTCAACCGTCAGACGCAACAAAAGCAGAACTTTCCACCAGGGAGCCATTGGTCATATTGACTTTATCTTCACGACTGCAGGGTTAAAAATGAAGCTGCTTTTTCACCCCAGAAGCAGAATTAAAGGGACATTGAGGATTATTCATAGTTTCGAGACAATTGAGTAAAGACAGTAAAACCTGCTTTGGGAAGCCGGATACCTCTTGTGTCTTTACCACAAAGATGAAGTTGGGCAGCTTAGCTTAGCACGACGGCTGGGAACAGGTTAATCGCTGCTCGGATCCGTCCAAAAAGCTCATTTGGACGGATCGATGGTTTCAATGGTTTTGTGCAAAGCACTCCGAGCTGCCTTGTTAAAAATGCACAATATACAAATAAACGAACAAACTGAATATTTGGCCCACTCTGCAAATCTAAATTGTCCAGTGAGAAAATCATTTTGACGGGTAAAAAGAGCAGCAAAACTGCTGTAACACACGGGGCGAGGAGTCATAACACCTGCAACGGAACATCAGCAAGCGTCGCCTCCACAACACAGTTTCCATCTGAACACATTTCCATACAGGAAAGCTTTTCAACTATTTAGAAGCAAAAACAGCGTCTGCGTTGAGCCTCGGCACAGGCGGTCACTTCATTACAAAATCATTACGGGAATTTCTCTCTCAACAGACAGTTTATTATTTAGCTTCTTTGTTTTTTTTGCTTCCAATCAGTGCACACAACAACTTTGATTTAGTTTTGTCGGCTGTAGTTTGGGGCGCAGCCGGCTCTGTCAGGGAGTCGTCCTACAGTGACGTGTCCTGTAATGCGGGACGCCGGCCGTCACCGCTCACTCGCGTTGTGGGCGAACCACAGCGAGGCGAGACCGTGCAAATTCCATCAGTGCAGTGACGGCATTGCTTTGGGAGACGGGTTACAGGTGCAAATACATACAGCGGAAAACACTCATTTGTCAGTTTACACCGATTAATGCAGAGAGAGCGGGCAGGGGGGGGGGGGGGTAGGAGGATGGGTGGTGGGGGGCCGCGTTCAGTATGGAGGACACGACGCCCCCTCGAGGCCTGCTGTCTTTAGAAAACAAAAGCTGCCAGATATTTGCAATCCAACCCCCTCTCGCTATTTCGAGGAGAGAGCCGACACGTCCGCCTGCCGGTCAGCTTTGACAGACGTCCTCTCGTATTCACCTGCCCGCCTGTGGAAGATCGTTAAGCACTCAAGAGAACGCGTGCGCGTCAGCGGCTCATTTCATTGGGGACGATTAGGATTCAGGGGAGACCCTTATTATCAGTTGTCCATTATCCGCCCTGATTTGCTTCAGATTACAGATTATTTATTCCATTCAAATGCAAATTTGAACACATCCTCTGCAGTTTTGTGTCATCTTATGAGTAATGTCTTTATTTTTTGGGAGTTGTAATTACGTTGGAGGAGGTTTCGGTGGGAGCGTTTGAGATAAACGCTTCCTATCACAAGAACGTCTTGGCAAATTCAATGTGAGGATAGCTCAGACACAAGATGTATTTTAATCACCAACCACCTTACTCGCCCCATCTGGATGGCAATAACAGAGGTGAGAACGGCTGCTCGTATTTGTGGATCTAATCTCTCTCTCCGTGTCTGCTTCCCTGCAGCGCTATGACTGTGCGAAAAGGAAAAAGTTTAGCCATCTCCATCCAGGAGCACATGGCCATCGACGTGTGCCCGGGCCCCATCCGCCCCATCCGCCAGATCTCTGCCTACTTCCCCCGCCTGTCGCCCACTTCCTCCTTCTCCGAGCAACTTTCGCCCAATCAGGCGGCGGCTCCCACCTCGCTCAGCCCCGGCGCCGCCGCGGGGCGCAGCGGCGGCTTGTTGTCACCGCTGTTGCCGGGGGCGGCGGGCGGAGGGGGCTCGCTGTCGGCCATGAGCAGCATGGACACCTCCATCGAGATCGACAGCTGTGACAGCGACGATAACAGTGAGTCGCCACCTGGTTTCACTACCTGGTGCTTTGAAGGGCTCTCGGGGAATTTGGGACCGAAGGCCAAGAGAAGCCGATGACAGGATGTACATGGAGACGTCGCTCGAGTTGCTCAAGCGTTCAAGCATCACATGTGGCGTCAATAGCAACAAAGAGCAGAAAGTAGTCTTTAAAAAATAGTTATTAGGATGGAATGAGACATATTAGTTATTTTTAAGGCTGTCAATAGATTAAAAAAATGAACTAATTAGTCACACATTTTGAAATTCATTATTCTCAATTAATGGCAATTAATGAATGTTACAAAGTGTTTTTTAATGAATGTTTGTTTTTCTTACAAGCAATGAGTAATAACTTTAGAAAGCAGGTATTTTAGGCACTGTTGTTTAATTGTTAATGTTATTTTACACACAACTACACACATTTGATCATCTTTGAGGCAGAATCCCACCTAGTGGAACATGTTGGAAGTATCGACTCTTCCTGCTGGCTTAGCCTAGCAGCTAGCTTAGCCTAGCGGTGCTCTAAGTGGTCCGTTTGCTACTCACCCCTCTTCTGTTTGACACGTGGAGGAATTCCTCTGCACAGTTCTCCGCTGTACGTTGCGCGTCTGTTTTACTTAAAATGCAAAAAGCTCTCTCCACCTTGAGAGATAGTTACGTCTTTCTCCGACGTAACTGACTGCAGCTGGCGGCCGTTTCGTTTCCGCGGTCAACTTCCGGTTTACTTCCGGAAGTAAACCGGAAGTACACAAAGGCACGTTAACTACGTTAAATGATTTTGTTGCGTTAATCTTGCCCACATTAATCGCATGGATCAATGCGTTTATGTTGACAGCCCTAGTTCTTATTTATTCTCACCATCAGACTGAGAAAGTCCCCTTTTGCATTTTGTAGTTTGAAAACACCATTTCATTTTGTTGCCTATGACAATGAGCCGTGTGGCCTTTTCTATTATTTATTTCCTAATATTAGCCGACCACAAAAGTTTCTCTTCCTACCATCTTTTCTCTATACAAAATAATAAAGTCACTAGTTGAAAATCAATTACCAAAGTCACTGAAAGGTTTGAATCGACTGTTGTTGCAGCCTCCTTGGGGACGTTGGAGTTCGACCTGCTGTACGAGAGAGCCACCAGCTCCTTACACTGCACGGTCCTGAGAGCGAAGGTAAGCAGCAGGTGGCTCGTCGGTAGAAATTTAGCAATTCATTTACATTTGGAACATTTGTGTGTGAGACACAAAAAAAATCGGACTATTCTTCAACCAGTAGATTGTTTATTGATAATGTTAAATTCGTTTTAACCTGTTTTCTACACAATGACATTGATGTATGATAACTATACATATATGATGATATCATGTGAATCCATTACACGTAAAAGATGGATTTGACTAACAGAGACATTTCTCTTTTCACCGTGAAAATCTGTCATGTGAGTGTGCTTTTTTCTAAGTAAAGTGTAGCAGAGGAGTTTAACTTCCAGCATTAATCTTTGGAGGGTTCTCAACATGAACAATGGGCTTTGGCCTCAACCGAAACTCTCCGTCAAATTAAACCTCGCTACCGCTGCGCTCTGGATTCAAATGACCTTCTCACCTCCGTCGGCTAAATGTTGAACAAGTTGTTAGCCGTGTCGGAAGAATGTTCACCGTCTATTATTTCTCAGACCTCGCTTACGTCTTCCCTCTCCGTCTCTTTTAGGGACTAAAACCGATGGATTTCAACGGTTTGGCGGATCCTTACGTCAAGCTGCACTTGCTGCCGGGAGCCTGCAAGGTCGGCTGTAATTATCAGGACGCGGTTTTGTCCCTGCGTGTTTCTTTTCAACAATTTATAAAGACTCTTAGCAACCGGTCTGAATGCACGCTTAGTCTGCCTGTCAACCACCTTGTGTCCTGAAAGAACCTCCCGGTGTCACGTTGGTTTGCGGTTCTGAGTGGATGTGTTTTTGCTCTCCCTTTGCTCTCCTCTCTGCCGGGACGCACAGGCCAACAAACTGAAGACCAGGACGGTTCGCAACACGCTGAACCCGGCGTGGAACGAGACGCTCACCTACTGCGGCATCACAGAGGAGGACATGTACCGCAAAACCCTCCGGTAAACGTTTGTTCTGTCTCCCTCCCTCCCTCGCTGTCTTCTTCCCGTCTCCCCCATCACAGAGCTGACTGCCGCTTACAAAAGGATTTCTTATCGCCCGCCTCGATCACGGTGTCTTTATTTTCACGAGGCCCTTTGTCCTGCATCCCGTTCTATTTGCAGAGATCCTTCCATCCCCTTTCCGTCACCTCGCCCTCTTCATCCCTCCCCTCTCGTGCCCCCTCGGATCAGAGGAGAGCTCCCTTTGCTCCTCACCATACGTCCCTCTCTGTCTTTGTCTCCCTGCGTTTCTGTCCTCCCAAGTTGCAGTGACAGATTGAGGTCAGACCGAGCACCCCGGGGTGCTTTAATTTCATTGACCCCCTCCAGAGGTGATGAAAGCTGAGAATTGTCTCTGTCTGTGACTAAAACTTTGCCTTTGCGTATGTGGCAGTGGGATTTAAACGGGATCGACGGTTGGTCTCTCGAGGGAAATCATAGAAACTACAACACTATTAATTCAGCAGAGCCCTTAAAACGTCTGCAACAGGAAGTTTAGGCTTTCATAACATGTGAATGTCTGCAACGCTCTGGTGTTTTGCATTGACAAAGGGCAACTTTCATCACTTATCTGGATAATAGATGAAATGTAACTGCTTTTTTTTTTCTTTTCAACACGACAGATGGAGGTTTTTTGAATTTTTACCTGGACAGCAGATTCATCCAGAACTCGATGCAACTGCTTTTCCAACACTTTTTCTAAACAGGAGCTAAATGATTGTTTTTGCATCCGACTTTGAACCCGCGGCATCAGAGACAAGTCTCAGAAAGTACAACTTGAAATAGTTATAATTGTGTATCATGTTGCCTTACAATGAGAGAGTCACGAGTATGAGGGAGATGAATGACTTGTGGGTACTGTAATCAATATATTACGGTTTCCTGGGTTACTGATGACCTCACAAAAAAAAAAACTGAGGGGGGCTGGAGAAGGAAGACAAGAAAAGGAAGCGTTTAAATGTTGATATTCTTGTTAACCGAAGAGATGAATGAACAAAATACCAAGCGCGTCTTTAACAATGTTAAAGATGAAGCTCAACGTGTTTCCTGCTGGCATCTCTCACCTTTCAGCTTCGACTCTCTTCCGCTCTATTTATTGCTTTCTGCCTCCAACCACAGACTTTTCTCTCCTCTTCTTTCCCCCACATTTCCATTCTCCCCCTTTTTCTACCTGCTGTCTGTTTCTGAAGGGCTCATTAACCACCAGATCCTGTGGACGTCAAAAACATCTCCGATGTCCTCATGAACATCCTTCATTTATGCATTAGCGTCTATTTATTATAGGTGACAACGTTGAGTAAAACCCAACAGGGAAGAGGCTGCAATTCAGCCTTTTTCTGATCGCTTTCTTAGTTTTCTTGGTGTTCTCCATTCGTATTTACAAAAATAAATTGCCGTGGATATCAGTTTCCCCTTCTGCCGACATGCACATTTGCAGCCTTAAATGAATTCTTCCATTTTTATCTCTCTCTCTCATATCACTCTTCCCCCGGCTCAGCTTTTCACGGACTCAAACAGCTTCCCTCCATCTCCTTCGTCTCTCTGCTTCTCCCACCTAAATATATATTCCAGGTGACGTGGCGGTTGTACACGTTTTCAAGCCTGACGAATAGGGATTAACTCGTACGCATTCCGCATTCGGACGTAGCTTTTTCACCCGTCTTACTCTGTCTGAGCGTCACTAAATCGTACTCATGTCCCCCCCCCCCCCCCCGTGTTTGTCTTTTGCTATTTCTCTCCTTGCTTGTGTCTCACGCGCAGGGTGTCCGTGTGCGACGAAGACAAGCTGACGCATAACGAGTTCATCGGGGAGTCGCGGGTGGCCCTGCGTCGCGTGAAGCCCGACCTGACTAAACACTTCAACATCTGTCTGGAGCACCCCCCCCCTGTGAGAGGAAGAGATGGGGGGCTGACCACAGGAGAAAAATACTTCAGGGAGGGAAAGAAGGGAAATATGAGATAAATGACTTGAGGCCGTGCTGTAATATGGCTTCCTTTGTTTCATTTTTCTTTGAAACAGAGGGAGCTGGAAATATTGCAAAGAAGGAGGGCGATAAATTGTTTAACGTGCCAACGGGGAGCCGTTCAAATGACGATATTAGGTTAACCGCCCTGGTGCAGACACCTGATTATATAATAAAATACCAATCCGTGCAATCTATGCAGCATTTCCAGCAAAAGAGCCAAAAGATTTTCCAAAAGGTGCGTTGTTACTTGACAGTAAACCGGCAATAAATAGGTGGATTTTCCTGCTACATAAACGTACACAATGTTAAATATTTAAAGCAGAGATCCCTTGTGTGTTTATTAATGTAAGAATGCAATATAGCGATGCATCTTAGGGTCCAAATACATTATAGTAAATTAGAACAATTAAACCCAAAAGTCCAGATGTGGTTGTTGAACATGTCATTGCATCACCCCACATCCACAGCATCAATCTTTCGTAGGGAGGGAAGCATGACAACATGGCTGCGGGGATTTGTTGGCGTTCAGTCACTTCAGCAACAGCTCGGTGGGACTCACTCACATCGTCCAGAAGGTGTTGGATGATGTGGGTGTCAAAGTCGAGCTAAAACAATACGAACCGAGCTTTGTGCGCAAACGTTGGACTAAAATATCACTGCAGGGATGTGTGAGCATAAAGATTTCTGCTCAGTGGATTTAATAAAACAACCCTGAGCACTGAAGCATTGATCAACCCGATGCCAGCTGGTGAGAACAACAAACAGTAGGTAAACAGAGGACAATCTATCGGTGTAGCTCACAAACGGCTCTTTGTGCGGGCTAAATGTCAGCCAGGTCACGTGTGGGGAAAAGGCTGAGATCGGGAGGATAAAGGGAGAGGAGATGGGGTGAGGAGGGGGTGGGGGGGGGGAGTTTAAACAGACGCAAGTGAGAGAGGTGAGAGACAAATGGATTAAAACGAATGCAAGCGGTGGAGAGTGGGAGGCGAGGGGGGGGGGAGAGGGCTGGCTTCTTGTTCGTGGTCGAGCTGCAGAGGGCCGCTGGCCGGCGGCCCCCCTGCGATCAAACGCCAGACCCGCCCCCTCCACCCCCCCCTCTCATCCGGCGCTTCCGTCTCTGTTCGCCCGATGCCCCTTTGACCCTTTCAGTCATCTCTTTCTCTCCTCTTCCCCCCCCCCCGCCGCCTGGTGGCTTCCCCGACTGCGATGAACACGGCCTTGAAGGGGATTCCCTGCTACCTGAGAGAGGTGACCACATGACGCCGCTTTCTTTTTAAAAAACGCCCCCCCCGTTCTGTCCGTCTGTCATTTACAGTGCATTCGTCAAAGCGTCTTTAAAGGACGATCAGTTTTCATTCTATGACCTTTGATGAACATCAAGTCGATCCATTGCTTTGATTCGTCTTGTTGATGAGACATTATTATAAACAGTAGATGGAATTAACGGCGTGTCAATAGTAGTGACGGCCGAGTTACAGCATCTAACCACAGATTGCTTTGAGGTCACAGACAAGCATTCCGAAACCAGTAACATGCTTTTCCGTGTGAATGATCGTGTATTCCATTAAGCCAATGCTCACCTAACCCTGATTACAAGTTACAGGTTCCTAATGTCTCCGTTGACAGATTTAGATTTTAAAGACCTTTAGTTCTTACGATAATTGGAGTGAAACAGCTGCGTCTTCGTTTCTCTCCGCATTCAAGGCCGTCTAATGCGGTCGCCTCTCCGCCACCCACAAATTGATCTCCTTCCAATCCGTCTGTCGCAGAATGCTGCCGGCTCCGGTTTATTTGTGCCTCCCTAATGAGTTGCTCTCCATCGATCTGTGAAGGTCTGAGCTGTTCTGTTCTCGTGCCCCGATACCTACTGCAAATTATCTCCACTAATTGCGAGTTCTTAAAGTCTCCCGCTCGGTGACGGCAGATGGCGGACTGCCTGTTTTACAGGGTGGTCGATTCCGTGAGAGGGAAACCACAGCTTAAGGAGAGGGGTGAGAACCGGAAAGAGAGGTGTAGGGGAGACAAGGAGGTGCGGGGGTGGGGGACACGCTGAGACAATCAGAGAAAGGGAGGCGGGAGCGTGGACGGGCGTGAGGCGCGTTGCATATTGATCGCCCTGGCTGCGTCCGCCTCTCGCCTCAAGATAAGACCTAATGAGAGATGGCGAGAGATAAAGAAAAGCATTCATCCTGCCACCTTTGGTTCAGCTAAATTCACATAAGCTTACTTCAACATCCGCCGGTCTGTTTTCACTGCAGCTACAAAAAGGGCTCCGATTGATTTTTATTTATCTTTTGGACAGGCCCGACATTCCAACCTTATCGAGGTAATAGTTTGAGCACGATTGCAAACACAGTTGACATGTTTGCAAATCTAGAAGACACAGAGCAACAGCAGCATTAACCTTTTCTTGTTTGACCCAAAGGTCCAGTATTCATTCTCCTTTCAGCACCTTTCAGCCTCGGACCGACTCCCCCGAGGGAAACTATCTGACTCAGCGACCGTTTAAACTACGCTCACCGTGTCTCTGCCGCGTCCCTTCGTTCTTCTCTCCGTCAGCAGGGACCGGCACTAATGAGACACGCGCTTGAGGGCGGTAAAACAAGAGCAATTAACTGGAAGCCGCTGAGGGCGGCGCGTGCGGGCTGAGGGGGCGCCGCAGGTCGGCGGGTAATCCTCCCAGGGGTCATGGTGCCGAGAGGCCCTTCTTGCATCACACACAGCCAACGCGGATGCACGCGTACTGATGACAGCGCCACTGACGTGGCAGCCGGGAACGGCAGCTTACGCCTTTTAACGCATTGCGCTGTGTTTTCTCCTCAGTGGGAGACGGAGCAGCAGAGATGTCTGGAGGAGAGAGGCCGTCTGCTGCTCTGCCTGCAGTACTTCCCCCCGGCCAGCGATGGCGACGCAAAGGGCGAGGCCAAGGAGAGGGCTCGCGGCGGGCTGTGCGTGGGCGTCAAGCGCTGCGCCCACCTGGCCGCCATGGACGTCAACGGCTACTCGGACCCCTACGTCAAAACGTAGGTGTGACGCCCGGCCGCAAGCCGGGCCCGAACGCCACGGCGATCAGACGGCACGCAACATGACGTACGACAGGATATTTCACGAGCCTCATTTCGGAAAACAATTTCCACACGACCTGTCCGGCGGCGTCCTCCCTCGCCACCTTCGATCTTAACTGGCCGTTGGCTCGCGCTGACCCCGCGAATCACCGCTCACATGCGGCGGGAGTTAACCCGGCACAGGGCAATAGTGACGAATGACAGCAGCGCTCACACACGCGGGAGGCATTGTGAGATGTATCACTCACGGGATAATGGCAACAGTGTGTAGTGTGTCTGTGTGTGTGTGTGTGTCTGTGTGTGTTGACAACATTCAAAATGGATTGAAAGGCACCGACTTGATGGAGTGTTAAGGGCGTACTTCATCATGGAAGAGAGTGTTATTGCCAGTGTCATAGAGGCTCTTTGGAGTTCCATTACTCATTGATGAAAGAAAGGCAATACTGCTTGTGTGTGTGTGTGTGTGTGTGTGTGTGTGCGCGTGTGTGTGTGTCTGGCTCTGCCAGTGAGGGCAGGAAGGTCCTCGGGTTGAAAGATGTACCCTGATTTTCCTCTTTTCTCTTCTAACAGGTTAACAGCGTGTTGGTTTTAGCTCTCAGCTTGCTTCTCGAATGAGTAATACACTGAACAACCTCACACACACACACACACACACACACACAGACCAATCCCCTTATCCTTTCCCTTCATCCCCCCACGTCTTTACATCCATGCACCAAAACCTACGCATGCATCCCTCACACATGCACCGTGGGACGTCGTGCACCTTTGTGTGAAATTTTGGATGCGTGCTCGCATCTCTGCCCTTTGGCGGGAGCTTTTTGTCTTGCCAGATGCTTTGTTGTGTCTGAGAGCGTGTGGGAACATACGCTCTCCGGGCCGTGGGTGGTGGGTGGAAAGCAAATGTGAATAGAGATCTCACCAACGCTCCTTCCAGCTGGCTCCAAAAGCATCCTGAGCATGTCGTGCCACCTCGCGGAGGGACGCTGAGCGCATGCGTGCTCTGTTAGCGGTTACATGTGGTTTGTTTCACATGAGTTGCATTGAAGAGGTCGATATTTCCATTTTTTTTGGTTCTCGTTTAATGAGACGATGGACGCCACTATCCTGACTATACACCGACGCTACTGCTGGTTAGCTTAGCACAACAACTGGATTTGGAGGGTTGTTCAAATGTAACAAAATCCACCTTCCGACGCTCAATATCACAACGAAAATCTCACGTTTAATGAAGCTGTGATTAAAGGCCTTTCGTTTCCTCATGTTTCCAGTCTTGTGCTAAGCTAAGCAGCTGGCCCGTAGATTCGTATTTACTATGCAGACACGTCTCTCGGCACTCTGCATTCTGGTCATACGGCGGATCCTTAATCATCCTTACAACCGCCTCGCTAGTAGAATTAATCCAAAGGACACGACGTCCATGGCTCCTTTTATTTATTTGCAGTCGTTTAAGTGCAAAGCCAAAATCCTTCAGGCTATTGAATCATTAATCATCATTAGTCCTCACTCAAGTGAAATTGCCCTACACCTTGTTTAAGAATCAGCCAATCAATCGCCCCAGTGGGCGGTGTGAATCGCCACGGCAACGATCGCACACGTCGTTCCCCAAAATGTGCTCCGGGTTCAATTCTGCTGCTCTTTGATTTTTCAAAGTGTGATATTCCACTCTGCAGAAAAGCACAAGGCTTTTCTCAACAAAGGGGAAATCACTTTCCGGGGTCCAAACCCAGTTCACCCAGTCTGAAATCAAGCAAAGTAGTCAGAGCTTTAGGATCCAACGCGAGCATCTCGGCATTTGGACACCTGTGGAGGCGTGTTTGATACGCGTCACTCGGCGGGCCTGTCGGGGTGATTCATGAACATTGAATCTAACCTTCCCTTCTTTCACTGCAACTGTTGTGTTGTTCACAAACGACTTAAGCCCGGCCCAGTTTTAGACTGAACTTACTTCTTCATGTAGTCATCCGTGCCGTCACCATTACTACTCTCGCTTTTAGCAGCACTTTGACCTGTGAAAGGTAACGGCCGAGCTCACTAATGACCTCCTCTGCCTCAGGTACCTCAAGCCGGACGTCCAGAAGAAATCCAAGCACAAAACAGCGGTCATCAAAAAGACTCTCAACCCAGAGTTTAACGAGGTAGACGTCCCCGTCTCAGTGTGTGTGTGTGTGTGTGTGTGTGTGTGTGTGTGTGCGTGCCTGTGGAGGATGTAGAGAGACTCACTTCCTACACTGCAAAGTCTCTGCGACCCTTTTTCAGAGCGCCAATTAGCACTTAGCCGTTGCCTCACTAGTGAGCATTTTAGAGTGTATTGACGGGGAGAATCGTGTGTTAGGCGTGGTCTTCTATTTCTGGCTCTGACCCCCCCCTCTCTCTCTCTCTTCTCCCCCAGGAGTTCTTCTATGAAATCACGTTCTCAGAGTTGGCCACCAAGACGCTGGAGGTCACAGTGTGGGACTACGACCTGGGAAAGTCCAACGACTTCATAGGTGACGTCCTGTTTGCTCTGTACAGTTTGCATCACATTCATGCCATTATACGCAACTTCATATAGAAATTACACCTCTCATTTCTTGTACAAAAGAAAAAAAAAGTGTTTGCAGATATAGTTTTCCTCTTGGACAAATTTCTAACCGTTTTTAATCGCATCATCTGTTGCAGTTTCTTACACGTTTGAATGTATTTGTGTTTGGAAGCGATTAAAAACGAATTGACAACCCCAAATAAACCCCTTGGAGGTCAATTCTCACTGTTCAATCAAACGTTTCCCCCTCGAGTCTCGCTGACTTGCTTCCTCCGTCCCTGCACCCACCAGGCGGGGTGTCCTTAGGGTGCCACTCGCAAGGAGAAACTCTGCAGCACTGGATCGACTGTCTGAAGAACAAGGGCGAGAAGGTGGAGCGCTGGCACACGCTGACCAACGAGCTGCCCGGCTCCACGCTGCAGGAGTGAACCGGTCCTCCTCCTCCTCCTCCTCCCCGGGGGGGGGACGCGTTCCATCGCATGCCCGGAGGATGTTCTGCATGTCTATGGAGGATTCGTGTCCTGCTTACCTTGTCATGGATGAGATCAATATTCATAGCGACATAAACATTAAAGGTGGGGGTGTGGGTGGGGTCCATTGGGATGCTGCATGTCCCTTTTGTCATTTCAGTGTCAAACTTCACGGCCCCTCTGCGCCGCTCCCAAACCCGTCGCATCGCAATAAGAAGAAAAAACACGTAGAGGAGAAAATTGAAGGAGGGAGAAAGTCGGCCGTCCCGTCATGTCACGTCCTTTTTTTTAATTTTTTTTTTTTTTTTTCCGGGCCGGTTATTTCTTGTTATTCGCTGCTGACATTAAAACATCTCACAGCACACACATACCTCTCCCGTGCAATAACGTTTCGCCCGATGCTTCCGAAGGCCTCCAGCGGGGTCTTGATACCGCTGGAGTATTTTTGTATCGATCGATGTGATTGCCGTGTGATCGTCTGCAGAAAAACAAGCGAGACCTCTGGCTTTTCCGGCCCGTGCCGGCTGTTTGCATGTTTGGTGTTGATGGACGTGTGTATGTGCCGCAGGATGCTCGTCGTCGCGTTGCTCCCACGTCTCTTGAGGTGTTTCTGCTCTGATTAAGTGATTTTCCGTTTAATTGATTTTTCTTTCCATGTTCCGTTCAGTTGCTTTACGCGTCGGCGGTAATATCGCGGTGTCGGTTTGTTGTTAGTGACCCGCTGACGTTGACCCAGTTCTGCGTTACGTTCTCTGAGGGGAGTGACGTCATTCACAGGCCTGTGCATGGTTGTTCTCTGACACTTTAGCATCTAAATTACAAACATGAATGGAACCTGGAGCGTTTTCTCTCCACGGCTGCTGCTTCTCTGTGGATCGCATTGACGAAGCTGCGGGTTTTATCTGCTGAGATAACCAGCGGTGTTCATATGTAAATAATATATATTGTGTTTCACTTGCTTTGGGTGTTTGTCTTTTGGAAAATGAAAGTGTGCATGATTGTTATTTTTCATAAAAAACGTTCATATTGGTTCATCGTGTGCATCCTTGACTTTCTATTATATTCGCTCCAGTGGCCTCTTTGGATCTCTAACGTGCAGCTCGGTGACGATCCAGTGACACTAATCACGCTGGCTTGTGCTGCCACCCGGCCGTCAGGAGCTGCACCTGCAGCCTCCCCTCTGACTAAACGCCAAATGAACTCATCGGAGGAGCACGAGTGTTGCTTTAATACTTCAGCATAAAATAAACCTTTATAAGGAAGGGCAATAAAAGCCATTATAATTAAAGTTTCTACTTAAGTCATTAGTCATTAAATTATTGCAATATTTCTTTTGCAAACGGGGGGAATGAATAAGGCAAAGTCAGGGCAGCAGTGATTCCAACAGTATAAGAACCATAAGGAGAGGAGAGTAAGGAAGGTAAAGGCCTGGACACGGCTCAGTGGCTCAATGCTACTTTGTATAGTGCAGCAATAAGAATATAGGGAACTAGACAGAGTTGTATATTGAGAGTTAAACTTGTTCTTTGGTGGGATACAAATACTAAATACGCCAAAAACCAAATCCGGTATTCGGATTATCGAGGCGCACACTGCATCTGTACTTGAAGGGCGGACAAATAACACAGCTGGAGAACCTTAAATTACTGGGATTAATTATAAATAGCACGGCTGAGCACATTGACGGGACTTTTGGGAAAATAACTGCACTGCCAGGGAACAAAGTGTCCTATGAATCCTCAATAGAATCACATTTAAAGACCATTTAAAAATCTATTACTTAAGACTAATTAATTACAGATGATGCATCATCTGTAATTAATTAGTCTTAGAATCATTTGTTTTAGAATTAGCTGTAGAATTAGTTGTATTCATCATTTAAATACTTGATTTACACTATCAGAAAGGTTGGATTCTTTTAAATAAAAGTAGAAATGTAAATGCTTTAGCATTTATAGCATCAAATAATTGAAATATCTGAGTCAATGTGGTTCGTGTTTCCCAGTTTTAAACAAAGAACAAAAACGTACTATACTTCCATTCAAATGCTGATCTCTTGACCCGTCGGCCGTAGGAGATGTGCTGCTACGCATCCATCAACCAAATGTTTATTCCTATTTTAACATTCTAATCTCAGCACCATTTATTAAACTTTGGACACCATCTGACAGGAGGTCAGAGGTCGGGACGCTGCGATGGTTTTTATAAGCACGAAGTCCTGAGCGTAATGAAAGTGCGTCACGCTCTGAGTGTCTCAGAACCGACTCGCAGACTTTGAGGAGGAGGAAGCAGAAGGAGGAAAACACAGAGCTCTTTGCAGCAGTGCAGTTTCTGATTATTGTGTTTTCCTGTGCATCCCGGGAGGGGAAAGAAGCTCTTTCACAGACGCGTACTCGTGTTTATTTTAGTCAGGGTTTCCTCGCCCTGACAGACAAATGCCAGAGATGAGCATATAAATATGATTAATAAGAGAATAAAATACCCAAATTCATTGACAAGAAAAGCACCGTTCCTCTGACCAGAAACATCTTAAACCTTAAAATCGACATGTTACAAATGTTGAAAAATGCTGAAATTGGAGTTTTTCACATGTGAGAAATCTATAAATTTATGAAGCAATTTTGAAAGAGTAAACAGAGCGATGGAGCAGGACAATAATAATAATAATAATAAAACAAGGACAGGTCTCTTGAGAAGCTGCACGGAGGCAGATTGCACATTAGAATCTGTTCAACGATCTAAAATAAGTTGTTTTTAGTGATGCAGACAGACTAATATAACTCTTAAATAATGGAAGTTATTTTAACTCAGGGAGGATTAATTTTATAATCCAGTGGATTAGCAGATCGCTGCAAAGCCACAAACATTTATTTACAACAAAGCCGTGTCCTCTGTGCAGGGACGAGCATCGCTGCTGAGCGGGAACACACACAATGTGCTGCCAGAAGCACATTATGTCGCACTGTACTCTACACCAAATGCACTGTATTCTTTGTTTTATAACAATAAATGCATTAGGGTTAATTCATGTCATAGAGAAACTATTAGAAGTGCAAGTATTTGCCTTGCACTTCAGACGTCAGCTGCTGCTTCTTCACATGCATCGTGTTGTGGCAATTATTTGTGCAGATTGGACAATTACCTCATTCTGAAGTTGTAAAAACAACACTTCTGTTTACTTGCATTAGTCTTGTAATTTAGGAAACATTAGTGAATATTGCAAAATCTGTTTTCTGAATAGAACTGAACATTTTTAATGTGAGTAACCTGTGATGTTCCCACTCTGAAAAGTCAAAGTCAAAAAGGGTGTTGTGGAAAACACCCTTTTTTCCACGACATTTCCACTTAAAGGAAAGATGCAACAAATCACGTTGATTGGAGCTTCATTCAATTATAACATTATCAGTAACTTCAAACATATTTCCACTTTCCTCTCTCAAAATAGAGAACCCACAACCCTCCCACGAAGCTTCGGCTCACACTCGTCATGGTTTCGCTCTCCACAGGTCGGTGTGTGTCAGTATCTCCCCGATGGTCACGATGCGTCCAAACGCCGGCGAGCTGACTCACTGTGACCCGGCTGGATAATCCCTGACCCACTTCATGCATCTGGACGGGACTCCGCGTGCTGGTGCTCCGCAGGGCCGCTGAATGCTTACTTTAAATCAGCTGAGTACAAAGAAAAGTATCTTTTACTGTCAAAACATCGGCGTGGGGAAATGTGCCGCGGTCAGACTTTGTGAGTGCTGTCATATTTCTGCAAGAGGAGTCGATTTTTCATCTCTGCGAGCAAAGAAAATGTTGCTTTACGCAAAATGCGACGGGAGTTCATTTATACACTGAATGTATATTTTGCGTGTTCAGTTCATTTTACTCACTTCACTGGGATCAAAACTTCTCTTTCTCAAGCTAATTGTTATTTCCACAGCTGTGCTTTAATCAAGAGGTCGACTTGAATATGATTTCAAATCAGAAAAAATAATTCAATAAAATGAAAAGGTGAAAAGAAATCGTTTGGCTGGTACTATTCACGATGGCTCAGGAACAACACGACGGCACTCACTTGATTTAGGATGTTTAGAGGAACATCTTCAGGGTCACGTGATCACATCGAGGCGTGAGGACGTTGTGTGGTCTCATTCGGCTACTTGTTAGCACTTTTAAAAAACGCTTAAACACCAAACAAACACTAAACGCGCCAACATAAGACACCTCCTGCCTATAGAGAACACATGATGTCACTTACCAGCAATCAGTCCCATCTAAAAACACAACGACCATGTACAATTACCCCGGAGGTGACCTCTGACCCCAATTAATTTTCTATCAGCGGCCTCCAGGAACTCTCCGCTGAGCGCTACGAACACGCGTCAGCATGCTAACTATTAACCAGCATCACATCGGCATTCAGTTCAAATCATTATTGCTGGTTTAAACGTGAGGATAAACGCTGTTAACGTACGTCGGCCATCAACCAACACCTTCCGTTAGGAATTCCATTAATGAACACGTCTGTGTAAATGGGCAATTTAGCTTTACGGGTTTAAAAAACTTCAAGGAGCGAAATGAGGTTCGTCTTTCTCTTTGCTTTTTAGCTGGAATCATCTGAGAGTTGAGCTCTAATTATATTTCCTCTGCTCGCGGCGTCTTCCTCCTGCTTTCAGCTCTTCCCCGCTGCCCGACAACGGCACGCACTTCCAATCCCTTCCGTAACAGTTCACGACAGCTACATTAATACTTTAGCTCCTCTGCTAAACTACTCGCTCACTTCTGAGACCCGGTTCCTCCTCGCCAAAACAAGGCCGCGCCTCATCTCTGCAAAACACAATGAAACGCGTTGCATGCATTTTGTCTTTATTATGAATGTGCTGCAGAAGTATAATATTACAAATGCCAGTCAATCTTTATAATCTGTACCTTCTATCGTCAAACATTCTTAAAAATCCACAACATGCCAATAACCACAGAGATTATAGAAGCCTGGTGGAGACACAAAGACGCTCGCTTCCTGTGCCTACGTTAGACCATTTCTACTCAACGCTAACTCATATCAACTACAGAATTATCACAGTATTGAGATTTAAATCTGCAAAACACATCAACTGTTGATTACAATAGAATTTACATGTTAAGTGGTAAGAGGAAAACCTTCACACTTAATCATTGCAGAACATTTCCTGCAGGTCTGAGCACATGATTTCTGTTTCTAGATTAATAATCTACGGTATAATAAATAAGCAGTTTTATCCGTTGTTCCTGAAACCCCGTAGTTTGAGATCACAGTGAGAATCACAGGTAGATTAAGATTGGAGGTTAGTTCAGGGATACATAGGAAATATAGAATCAGAATAACGTAATGATAATAAGTCAAGAGAAGGCGTCAGCATTCTGCTTTTCATTTCTCACACCTTTAAAACCCTTTTTAACCAGCGTTTTACAAATTCAAATGATAATTAAGGAGTTTAGGGATTCTAAAGGGACAAAACAAACCCACAATAAGCCTGGTTTGACCGGCTGCTGCTCCTGTGGAGGCGGACTGAGGCCTCAGCCGCCGCCTCTGCCTGCAATCACAAGCTATTTCATTTGTTAACCAAATATTGATTCCCACACGCATACGCGATGCTACCATCATCCGGCAACCTCAGTCATCAAGAGCATCACATTACCGGGTTCCGATTCCAAACATTATCAAAAGGTGATGGATTATTGGCGTCACTGCAGAGTGCGTGTCTTGCTACAGAGCGCGTGTGTGTGTGTGTGTGCATGTACCCGGCTCACAGTGCTCACAGCGGATATGCAGTAAAGTTGCAGCAGAGCAGAAAAACTTTACTGTGATCATTTGAGTCTTTACAAAACGAGCTACTTTGGCTCCACATTTGATTTGGCACACATTTGCCTTCCGTGGGAGACTCTCCCATAATCCCGTAGCACCCGGTAGCTTGATAAGCCTCTTTTTCCATCCTCTTTTGCCGCCCACATTTCCTCTCAAACACCAGACGTGTGTGTGTGTGTGTGTGTGTGTGTGTGTGTGTGTGTGTGTGTGTGTGCAGGAGAACCACGGAGGAGAGTAAGAAACGAGGCGATGCGCTGCCACTCAAAGTGCAGCTTCTCTGCGAGGGAATCGGGTGGATTTCTGCTCCGCGTTTCCAAAGGAACCACAAATCCCAGAGCCTGTGTGTGTGCGTGTGCGTGTGTGTGTGTCCGAAGGGGATTTAGCGGTGGGCTGAAGCTCGGATGCGTCCTGTCGGTGGCCGCAGTGAAGGACGGACACGTTGTTGTGTGTGGCGCTGTGGACGGGAGGCGATCCTTCCCGTTTCCTGGACCGCCTCCGCTGGTCTCAACAGAGTCTAGTCCACCTTGTCGGAGTCGGTTTTTGGGGGGGAGCGGGTGATGATGGAAAGCTCTTCTCAAGAATTGTTCTGAATGCGTTGACCAGAATACGAAGGGGCTGATTAGACGGTCTGCTCGCCTCTCCATCAGACAACCCCTCCCCATATTTCTTCCATTAGCAAAAAGAGATTTATATAGATTACAGAAACACAAGTAAGCACTGTATATCGGGTGCATATTTGTCACACATCCAGGTAATGACTAGGCGGTAGAGACGGTGATGCAGGTGCGGGCCAGACGGTCAGTTGCCTTATCCAGTTTCATCCTGGGATGAAACTCAGGTTTTCACATTTACTAAAAAAAAAGAGAAAAGAAAAGGGAGCATATGAGTTCACGAGCTGCATGTTCTGCAGCAACGTAATGAAATGAAATGAGGAAAAACACGGGTGGTTGAGTCACCGAACCCTTAATGTTCCTCCAGCCATCGAGTTAATTAGGACATTTCTTGGCTTAATGAGACCCAACAGGCTGCATTCGGAAGAACGAGCACAGAAAAATATCTGCTTGAACTGAAGTGAAAAGGCAAATAATAATTTAACTGAACAAACCCTCATGAATATATATCAACAAACAGTACTGCAAATGCCAAATAAGAGTCCCTTTATGTACAGATCTCTAATAATCTCTACTAACAGTTGTTTGTTTATAAATAAGAACACACGCATACAGGAACAACAAGACTCTGAACGAGCCAATGGGTGCAGACATACAACAGACAGCGAAGCACACGGGCCTCTGCACAGACGCACGGCAATCTGAGGCACGCGGTTGATTGCAGCTGCATGCCGGCCCATGCAAAGATAAAAAAAACATGGCAGGAATATATTTTTAAAGGGTTGACACCGTTCCTAAAAGTGCAACAGCGTCTATGGACTGAAGCAAGCATTGCAACCAGAGCGACACTGTGCTCATGTTTGGGCACACGCGGGGTAAAAGGGCAAAGTTAGGGTTCAGAGGTCAGATTTCGGGGGGGGGGGGGGGGGGGGGACTCACTGGCCAGGTTGACGATGCAGGCGATGATAATGAGCGTCCCTCCCACGAGGGACACCACGGAGAGCATCTTGGCCACGCGTCCCAGGCGCACGGCGCCGTCCAGGTTCCCCTGCTCGAGGCTGTTCTTGGACTGAAGGAGAAGTTTGGAGCGTCAGTCGGCCGCGCTGTGATACAAAGGTGACTATTAAGCTAACCAGAGATCCTGTCCTCACCATGACGGCGTAGACAAATCCCACGATGTTGATGGGCCAGACGGGGCAGAAGCAGGCCAGCACCGACAGCAGGAGGTAGTCTTTGACCTTGGTGCGGTCTATGGGGGGGGTGGTGGCGATGCTGGAGTGGCGGGAGATTGACGGCCTGGGCGTGAAGGCGGTGTAGCCGATGGAGCTCGCCCTGCTTCCCTTCCTGGTCTTGTTGTGATGGGGGTACGAGATGGAGTGCTGCCTTCTGGGAGGGGAGCAGACGACCGGAGATGTGCACTCAGCGCCCGTTTGGTGGATCCCGTTGCCTAAACACGAGGGAGGAAAAGGACGGAGGTCTGTAGCAATCTGGTGAGTGAGATGACTTTCCCCGGCAGAGCTGACTAAGCAGCTCCGCGACCCCCACCCACCCCCTCCACCCGCTGCCTTCACTTACTGTTCCTCAGCTTCTCGTTGATGACGATCACCAGCTCGCCTTTGGATTTGCTGCGGGGGGGCCGCGTGCCGACCGGGCTGCTGATGCTGCCGCCGTCGCTGAGGGCCGCCGGTTCGCCGCCGACGGGGAGACACGGCATGGACACGGCGACTTGGCTCAGCAGACCGTCCCCCTGGTCCGGCACCGGCGGTTGTTCCTCACCGGCCCAGGCGGGGGGGGCTGGCGCCGCGTTCTCCGCCATGCCCAGAGCGAAAAGAGTCGAGGCCTTTTGTTTGTGTTGCAGTCCTGCCTGTGGTTCACCTGAGGGGGGGGGGGGACACGAAAAATGGTTTTAAGCTTTATGAAAAGACGAGATGTTGGTTTTTAAAAGACGGCTGACTTTTTCTTCAGATTCATACCTAAAAAGATTAACTACTAAAATGACTATTGTCGGCAATCTGTTTTGTACTATAAGGACAATACGCGCGTTTCCGTATCAGGGTTACTTTCCCTCAACTAGATAAGATCAGGTTTACAGAATCAAAATATACTTATACTTTACATTTTCAAATGCTCATTTTTATCCAGTTTACTAGATTAAAAAAAATCTCTAAACATGACATTATTTTACAGAATGGCCCAAGTATTCAGGAACCATCATTTTGTAGTGTTTTCCATAATTTGGTTATGTGATTAATCATGAAAAAAATACTACTCTAAATATACAACAGATCAAGATATCAGCTTAACGTGTTCTTCTGATTGAGCTTCGATAGATCTGCATCGACCTGCCTGTGGTCGGAGAGCATTGTGGGAAATGTAGGCACCGGGTTTTGCCAATGAAGAGATTTTAAATAAAATTGGCCTCCCACATTGAACATTCTTTGTTATTGATCACAAGATGAGTTGCGACGAGTTGAGACGCGCCGCATTTCTCTTTCCAATTCCGGGAAGAAACCAAAGAAAACATCCACCAGACAGGAGGCCGAGCTCCATAAAATACGTCCCGCTGCCGCTCGATGTCACCGGCAGCCGCCGCACCGACGCCCCGCTGAGCCGCAGCTCAACGTCCCTCGCGGCAACGGACCGACGCGCCGGTGTCCGCGGGTCTCTCAGGTAACAATGAGCGCAGGTCACGATGCCTCGGGGAGGCGCACAAAGGCAGATGGAGGAGCAGGTGTGCACATACGATTATCTCACCGTGTGTACACAGCACGGGCGGTCTCTCTCACACACACACACACAACAGGGTTAAAAAATAAAGGATGAGGACAAAGGAGAAATACGCGGATAGAGTAAAAGAGGAGCGTGGTCCGGAGTGGAGGCGTGAATAGCGCGGATGTGTGCTAATGAAATACTTGGGTGTCCGCCTGCCGGCGCAGCAGAAAAGAAACCATGCATTTTTAATTCCAGGGAAAAACCATTACCAAGAAAAATTTCGCACAAATAGTTGAGGGTGCGCGCGCGGGGGGGGGGGGGGTGAATAAAACTGACCTGTTTATCCCGGCGCCCGTCTCAACGCAGCCGGAACGTGCCCAGTTTCGTCATCGGGCGCAAGAAGAACAAAAACCCATCAGACTCGAACCGACATCTCCTCCGCCGGCACGAAGCCGGAGGGTCTCACCCGTCTGCGCGCGCGAGGAAGGGCGGAGAAGGCGGAGGTGCGGTGCCTCGTTCCGGCGCAGTGTGCCGGGATGGACGGACGGACGGACGGATGGATGGACGGATGGATGGGGAGTCTCCTGGAGTCAGAGAGGAGGGGTGTGCGCGCGCGTGCGTGCGTGCGCGTGCAAAACGTGTCCTCGTGTCTCCGCCCAGCAGAGGACAAAAGTTGAGAAGAACCGGGAGCAGAACGTAACCAGCCCGCCGGCAGGGCGATGGGTTTAATGTGAAAGTGACCGTATTTCTTTACGGAGATGAAATGAGCACTCAAGCAGTCAATGACACGTTAAAATATTTATTTAAAAAAGCAGCAGCGCGCCATCAGCTGGAACACAGTTGTAACTACAAAAACATCTTAAAAACAAAAGCATCCGTGCCAAAAGCTTCAGATTTAATTAGTTTAATAAAAAATAGATATCTTAAAATAAAAAAGAGAAATCACTTTCCCATGGCGCTCAGGATGTTTGCCTGGTGAAAGGGGGGGAAGAAAAGGGGTAAATTAGTACAGAGAAAAGCAGGATAATCACTGAAAAGCTGCAGAATGTGCACATCCGCTCCACGAATGCATCAGAACGAGGTTTGAGCGTCAAGATATTTGCGATCAGTGACAACGTGCTGGAGTTCAGTGGTCACCCTCCTTTTGCATAAATCAATAAGTGCATCTGAAATTGATGTCTTTGTCATTTGTTTTAATGTATTGAATCGCAGACAAAATGAGCCGCTAAGAGCGACACACTGCGGCATCGGCGCTTTGCTCAGAGGTCGTTCTCACCACAATGTCAGCGCGTTTAGTGCCGCTGGGCTCATATTACGGCCTTCGGTTTGAGTAAAAACGTGAAAAGCTCCCACTAGGAACGGCTCACACTGACGGGGGAGGGGGGAGATTATATGGAAGTGAAAACGTTACTGTCATATTATACTCCAATCCTGCTAATAAATCCACACTAATGTTTGACTCATCACAGATGTCAATCAAAGCGAGGAAGTCAGGTTGGACAAAATAAGTAAGAATCTTGCAGATTAACAGCAATCCATCGAATAAAGAAATGCAACAAATATTGGCTTACCTTCATGAAGGTGGAAAATCTTTTTGCCGTCATACCCTCAATGGTCAACACATCCTCCAGCTGAAAATGGGAAACGCATTAATTCAAGTTAGTAAAAATCCTGAAAAGCATCGCAGTCACGCGACGAGAACCAGACCTGTGCTCGACCCGTCCTCTACCGACCTTTAGGAAGTGACCGTGGATCTCCCTCCAGCCCAGGATCAGCTTTGCCTTCTTGTCCCCAATCTGCTGCAGACCCTTCAGCTCTTTGAGGGAACCAGTGTTGAGAACATGTAAGATCTTCTGCCTGGATTGCTCCAGCACAGACGTGTCGAGTTTAAATTCCCAACCGGTCTCCACAAGGTTCTCTTTACCGTCTGGAGGCTGAGAGGAAAGAAAAAGGGACACGCGCAGAGTTTAGGCTCGTCTGCAGGGAGTTTGTTATACAGAAATGTAGATGCAACTGTCTAAATGTAACCATCCTACTGGCCAAGAGCGGGTTTATTTTGACCTAATGAATCTGAGTTGTTGCAGCATAAGTCAAGACAGAAAGCGAATTGAGCCTAATGCACCACGTCAGCCTGTATCAGATGCAATTCTGCAGATGTGTCGGGCTACGTGCGTCCCGGACGAGGCGTAAATGCTGACCTCAACCTGGTCCGAAATCGTTTTCACTTTCTTCTTGACGCAGACAGACGTTTTTTTGACTACGGCGAGCTGCTGAAGAGGCTGGAGCTGGGACACTGAAAGGGAGTAAACACACACACACACACACACACACTAGTTTAAACTGTATCCATTTCAATGACACATTATTAACAGGCGGGAGACTTAAAATCTAATTTAGTTTTTGGGTCCAGGGCGAGACAGCTACCACGGTATTCATCTCACTCCCAAACTGCTGAGGTTTGTTTTCTTAAATAACTCCTCGTCAGGCTTCTACATTGTGTACGGAGCGCTCGTATCACATTGCGGCTCATCAATAACTCCAGTGATTCAACATGATTGAATTAGCGGATGAGCACTCTTTGGGGAAACATAAAATAGGATGATAACGTCAGAGAAAAGGCTTTTCTATAAAGCTCATCCTTAGACGAGGAAAATTTAAAAGGCAGTGGAATCTGACACGTTTCTACTGTTAACATGGGGAATATGTGTAGATGTTCACCATTATAAGAAAGGAAAAGTCTTTTCTGACTCACTTAACCCATCCGACATGTCTGACCAACCTTGTAGAGGCTGGACCACGGCCTGCTGCTTATTGGCTTTGGTGGCAGCCGACTGTTTTCTCTGCAGAGGAGCAGTGTTGTCCTTGAAGGAAGGCTCGTGTTTGGCACTGGACTTTTCTCCATCTAGACGACGGAACAGCATGGCCTTGTTCTCAAACTCCTTCTGCTTTTCTTTGAGCTCCTGTAAAAAAAAAAATTAAAAAAAAAAATTAAAAAAAGAAAAGCCCGGCCCAGGTTCAGATATTGATTAAAACTAAATGAAACAAGGTAACAAGACGACCAGGTGGATCAATGAAAGTTTTAAATGCAGCCGTGTGCCCTCACCTGGATCTCCTTGCGAGACTGGGCTACATCCTTCAGCATGCTGAGTTTATCTTTGTCCTGGCAGTTCATCATCAGCTTCTCCAGAGCGATTAGTCGGTCCATCACAGATGGTTCTGACAAACTGCAATGGACAAAAGCAGGTCGACGTTCAGGGGCAGCAGTATGAATAACGCACCGAGATGTACGAGTCGATGAGATTCATAAGGCAGACAGATTGCTACAGAACAAGAACAGACTGCGACGGAGCAGTGATCGTATCATATCCAGACAGATCCCAGCAGACACGGCAGCTGTAGCCAAGTGGAGCACTGCAGAGAGCCGGCTTCAACACAAGCTAAGAATGTGGCCCGCAGAATCAAGGCTATGGCTTCTTTAGGTTGCGGTAGCGCAGACTGAAACGTGATCTTTGACCTGTCAAAAGAAGAAGACGGGGAGGAGCAATCTTGTTCAGTTTTCCGCTCGTCTTTCTGCTTCTTCTTGTGTGGTTCGGTGCCAGAGCCTCCTGCCGTGTGGTCGTCTCTGGCCCGCTTCACTGAAACATGAAGGTAGAGAAGTGAACAGCTTGGTAGTCAGAACACTTTGGCAACACTATTTGGCAACACTATTTGTCTCTAGAGTTTAAAGCAATTCAGATGAAGACGGCACAGCACCACTGACGGCTGCGCGGCAGTGCTGGAACTAAAGCAGATGGGAGAGCAGCGTCAAGGCAATGCTTCAGGAAGAAAGAAATGGTAAAGAGCCAAGACGCCGCCAACTACAGGGGTTACAATAAAGCCCTGATCGCGACATACAGCATGCCCATAAACAGCTGATCCTCTCATCTTAGTCACCGTCCTCTGTGATGGTGACACAAGTGCCCCTATTGGTCTTGGAACTCATCCAGTCAGCGCTTCCTCTTCTCAGGCTGTTACGTGTCCTCCTTTAAATCAAAGGCCATGTGACGAAGACAGGCCGGGGAATTTCTGACTCAGTTTTACTAACCTGGCATCGCCGGCACTGCCACGGTTTCACAGGTGAAGGGCTTGTTCACAACGAGCTTGGACTTGGAGGCAAAGTTGAGGGCACCAAAGGTATCAAAGTAGTATTTGTACTCGGGTGCGATGTTTGTTATCATGACGGAGTGCGACGAGCCACCCAGGGAGTCCTGAAGCAGCCGCGTCAGCTTACTGTCTCTGTACGGCACGCGGACGGCGGCGCTCGAGTTAAGAGAGTCCACGACCTTGTTGAGAGTGAACAGGGACAGGTTGATGGCGCCGCTCTCCTTCAGGCGGATGCCCTGGTTGCCGGTGCGCCGGTTGTCCTCGGACCCGGCGAGGTCTATCAGGTACAGCTTTCCAGTCTGTTTCCTGTGGGGGGCGGCACGCTGGGTGCGAACAACCTAGAACATGGACGGTTTCAGAAATATACACATTTAACCACACCTGCTGTTTGACCCCCCCAATGGACAGACCAGTTGAGTGAATTAAAATGAGGTTACATATCAAACCTTGATGAGGAGGATGGCATGGCTGCGGCTGGAGCGCTGGTTGAGTTTGGTGGAGGCTGTGGTACGATTCAGACTGGCTGGGACAAATTGTTTGTCGAAATCGGAGAAGCAGGAGATTGTTGTGTGAGTGAGGCCGGGGATGAAGATGTTCTTGTCCTTGTTCTCGCGGATTGGTAAATCCTGGGAGCTTGGCGACAGAAGATCTAGCACCTGAGACACACAAATTATGCATCATGCAACAAATATTTTAAAAAAAGCAATCGCAAACAAAACAGATAGAAAAGTGTAAGAAGTTTAGAGAAAGATGTGGAGCACCATGAAGAGAAGTTGCCATTTGTTTGAGCAAATAAATGTAATTGCCCAAACAAAATAAAAATGTGCATGTGGTAATCCAACTTTTTCATTCATTTGCAGTACAAGAACTAGCATGAAAAAAAAAAAATCACATGGCCTTCTATTTATGAGTAAAATAAATCCCAGAAAAGAGTTACCGAATGCAAAGTGAGGCTGAACGCTGGCTCCAATGGCACGGTGTTCAAATAGCACGTGCGCTCAATGTCAAAACCCTCGTTTCACAACTTTACACTTGGACAGAAAACATTGGACTGCTAAGTGACAACGCTTCAAACCATCTGTACCTTTTCATTGTAGATTTCCAAATAAGACATGCCGATGCTGTAGTCCCATCCTTCTTCGTCAGCCTTGACTTTCACCAGCTTGAAGACCTCGCGCACGGCTCGGGGGATCACACCCGGCTGGTCTGAACTGCCCATCATGGTGTGGGTCTTGCCTATAAAAAAAATAAAGGTAAAGTTAAAAAAGGTATAAACATCCTACATTTTGACAGGTGAATAAATAGTTCTCAATGCATCCTGTAAAATCCCCTTTCTAAGATTTCAATAACATGTATACCATTAACTGACGCGATCTGACACCGCTCAGTGGATGTCCGCCCACCTTCTGAAAAATCAACCTGAACTACTCCTTTTTGGGAAAAGATTCTCCTGCACAGGATCTGACCGTTAACTTTGGCAACTCCGTGTTAACGCCCACTTTGACTGCAGCAGCTCGCTCTGCATCTGCCAAACGGCTTGTTCCTCCCTCACTGAGAGCAAAACACTCCACTAGATCACGACTCTTTGCGGCAAAATGGTGGAACGAGCGCTCTGATGACACCAAGACCGCAGAGAGCCTTCACATCTTACGCCGCAAACTATACACCTATTCAGACTCTACCTCGACTGAAAAGACTAAAATTGTAGCACTTAAATTCTACTTGCAATGGCCCCCCCCCCATCTATAGCAAGTTGTAAATCTGCTTATTTGATGAAATTGCACGTTCTTGTTCTTCTGGGTTCGTATCCTTACGGTTGAAATGCACTTATTGAAAGTGTATTTGGATAAAAGCGTCAGCTAAATGACCTGTAATGTAATCAAAGCACAACATTAACAAACTGCAGTGTGGCAGCGACATACCGGCTCCGGTCGGTCCATATGCAAAGACACTGGCGTTCTGTCCAGTCAGTATGTGTGGCAGAATGGGCTTCACAGAGGACAGGAACACCTCTTGCTGGGTGGTTTTCTCATCATGAAAAACGTCGAAACTGTCGGGACAACAATCGCAGATATAAAACGAGAAGACGAGACGCGAGGAGCGGTTTAACAGGTGCGGGGGTGCCAACGACACTGACTGGTATTTGACCGTTTCGGTGGCGTTTCTCCAGTTGACGATCTCCAGGTTCTGGGAGTCCAGGCCTCGCACACACGGGCCCTCGTCCTTCTCGTCTTCGCCGCCCATGTAGGGCCGCAGACGAACCGCCACGCGAACCCTGGACGTCTTCTTGGCCGCTCCGTCGGACGTCGCCACGCGCTGGGCCATCCTACAACTGAAAGAAAAGCGTTGAACGCGAGATGACGAAACGGAACGGAGTGAGCAGCGTCAGACCCGACGGTGTTTACCTACGTAGCATGACGCCGTATGTGCGGGTTAACGACGGCGTCTTCGCCGCTAGATAAACAATTTTTCCCCTCGACCAAGGCATTGCAAAAGTAAATACGTTTTACTTCATTATTTAACGTAACTTACACAGTCCTCGGAATCAATAACACACGAGCTACTGTTGGGACACGTTTGTGTTTCTCTAGCTAACGTTAGCAAATGTTGCTTCACCAAGAGTATGAACACGGTCGTCCTCGAGCTTACCAATATCACTCGCGGACTCCTTGTACGAAACTTGTGTTAATATCAGAGTTTCTCTTTCGGCAACATTTCCGAAGCAGTCTTTTAACAATGGCGACGCAGCGTAACGTTAACCGAAGCCTTTTCAAATGTGGAGCGCTGCAACCGGAAACGACCGTTGGCCAATCAGAACCCACTCACGCGACGGCGGCTATTTGACCCCCATTACTGATTATTATATTGTATTCGCCGACATGGTACAAAAACTTAAATAACCACCTATTTTAATACAGGCACTAACACGATGACTGCGGCGAAAAATGTTTATTCAAATCGAGCGATAATGCACTCGGCCCTCACTACGATTGCGCGCTGCGCAGGAAGCAGTCCCCGCAGTAGATCTGTAGAACACACAGCTGAGCTGCCGTGTGTTGTCGGGAGCGTGGACAGACCATCCGCATGGTATTAGGTCAACGGAAATGCGCGTTCTCGCCAAACCAACGAGCCAAAATGGCGCTATGTTTACGTCTCCGTGTAATCGTGTATTCTCTCTAGAAAAGTCTAATGGAGAGCCTCGGCGATTTCACTCTCTGGGAAAGATAATTTGATCATTTAGCCACACCAGTGATCTACAAGGAACCGGACATTCGGTAATGAGCGTGTATGGCGCGTTTCTTATCTTATCGGGAGTTGCTGTTCGGAAATAACCGACGGTTAGGCCTGACGTTAGCTATTTTTACTTACTTCAAATACATGCAACATTACGTGTAATATGTTGCTTTTCCTGCTTTTCCTCTAAGCAAAGTCACCAGCTACCGTCCAGTTACCGGTTGATTAAACGTCACGGTTATGCTGCCACTCTTCACTTGCATATTACTAAACTTCTATTCGTACTAACGTGCCTCTTTTCGTGTTCAGCGGATCTGAGACCACACGGTTCACCGGCAGCGGGAAGCATGCAGGCCGAGGCCGAGGACTCGGCCCTGAGAGACGGCATAGAGGCTCTGGGTGTGAAGGAATCGGGGGAACCTGCAGCGGGCAAAGGGGAGGAGGCCAACGCGCACGAACAGGACACGGAGATGACAGCTGAAGAAGACGCGATCGAAGGGTCGAACGAGGAAAAGGGTGATGAATCACACGCACTGTGCTTTCAATGCTGGAGACAGCAGCTGGAGACTTGATAATAACCGGACTCTCAGTCTGAAAGGTGCCCAATGACATGGCTGCTGCCACAACGCGTGGCACTAAAGCTCCATCATTCCCTCCTCAGGTGAAGACACGGATGCCGGGGACAGAGAAGGACACAAGGACGACCCCCAGGCGGACACAGCGGGGGGCGGCGGGGAGGGAAAGCAGGACGGCGAGTGGGAGCTCGCGTACAGCGACGAGGAAATCGAGGACCCCAAAAACTGGATGCCCCCTCCCGTGGAGATCAAAAGACTCTACGAGCTGCTCTCCAAAGGGGAGACGCTGGAATTGAACTTTGTGCCCCTTCCCAGACGGCCGCCCACTCCAGATCGCACCCCGTCGCCCGAGAGGGAGGACGAGGAAGATGCAGCAAAGGAGAGAGAGAGGAAGGAGCGAGACCACAGGTCAGTACGACTATTTCTCATCCTTCTTTTAAACTGTTGATGAACAGCTGTTGTGAAACGTCTTTTTTTTTTTTAAATTTATTACAGGCCTCTCACTCCAACTGAGTTCGACTTTGATGAAGAGAAGACGCAAGCCACTCCGAAAAACGCCTTTGTGAACAGACGCAGAACCCCAGGTGATTACTTTGACTGTTGGCCGTGTCATTACCTTCCGAAAGCACGGTGGAAGCGCCGCCTCGGTCGGTCCGGGGGGAATCCGGTTGACGTGTGTTTCCTCCCCGCTTCCCTTCCAGGATCCTCGGCCCGCTCCTCCGTGAAAAGGGAAGCCCGGCTGGACAAGGTGCTCTCCGACATGAAGCGCCACCGCAAAATCGAGGAGCACATCATGCGCACGGGTCGCGACCTCTTCAAGAGCGAGAAGAAGCTGGAGGAGGCCCTGTCTCCCAACAGCCAGAAGGAGCGGGAGAAGGAGAGGGAGCGAGACAGCAACCCCAACACCATCTTCTCCCCGAGACAGAGGAGGTATTGAAGTGTTGATAGACGAGGACTTGCTCACGGGCGAAAGGGGCCAAGCGCTTTCTGTGCTTTCTCAACACTTGAATTTTTTTATCCAGCAAGTTTTGTATGTTTTTGTATTTGTGTTTTGTATGTTGGTAATAAACATTTTAAATCCAGGCGAGTGTTAACTGGTGTCAGCGTTCAGAAACTGGGTGAGAAGAACAAACCTTTACAAAGGGTTATGCTCGATAACGGTACGTGTTGTGGTATATTAAGGATTGTAAATATATATGAATAAAATAAGGTTTGTAAATACCCAGCAGAATAACGTAAAATATAATTTATACAGAAGCGCGTGTGTGTGTATATACACAGTACGATTCAAGTGTGGATTTGAATGAGGTGTCCAAGCTTTTGACTGCTACTGCTACAGAAACAAAAGCCCTGATTTACATACATTTCCCACAATGACTTGCTAAACAAAGTGACATTCAAGTAGTATAATTGTCATTCGTAATTTTCTACCATTATACAAAAGTTTGAATTCAATGAACAGCCGAGGAAAGGTGTTTACATTGTGATAAAAGATGGCCGAATGCGAGGATTGTAGCTCCCTCAAGTGGTGGTGTGGTTCAGACCTGATGGGCAGTAACGATCAAAATGGGTTTTACCTTAAAAATGGCATTTGGTAAAATTTACAAAAAGACTCGAGGCAGAATCAGGACAGAGAAATATATTTCAGCTAAGTTGGAGTAACAATACAGCCTTCACATAAGGCCCAGAAGCATATAGTTTAATATGTATGCATAAATATGCATTCAAAACCACAAACCAAATAAATAAATAAATACAAATAAATAACGAGTATCTTGAGGAATATACAGCACGTGGTTGAAATGTTTAGTATTGTCACGGAGAAGAACCGCGGAGTAAATGCAAAAGGATGGATGTTCTCCAGATGTTTCGGCACACGCTGCCGTCTCACGGTTTCCGAGCTCCGCTTCGTTTACTTTATTGACCCATTTCTAATACAGTGAAGTTAAAATGAAGTTTGTTTCTTTGAGGATTCATGGAACCAGTGGTGGATTTTTTTTTTTTTTTTTTTTAAAAAGCTCAACGACCAAATGATTTTTTAAACTCAAACGCTTAAAATAATTCACAAACTTAAATGACTACAAATAGTCGCTGTGGACAAGTGCGCTGCATGTCCATCACGAGGGGCGGCTTCCCTACCAGATCCTTCGATCTTTTGTTTCCCTTCAGAACAGCAAAATTAGAAATACTTCATACTTATGGATCCCTTCCTGTAATATGCCAGCCAAGCAAATGTATATTTTTAGATTCATACCAGCACCAATCTTAAAAAAAAAAAAACTAAAAGAAGAAAACACTTATTTCAAAGTGATGGCTACTGTGCGTCACTGTTTGCTAAGAACACTGCTAGCAGTAAATGGAATGAGGTCGTATCGACTACGAGACGAGGAGCGGTGGCATCACGTTTAGGGACTCTATTCGTACACTTGGTTGGAAAACAGTGAAATGTTTTGTGTTAATGCTGAAATGTCGTTGTTCTAAAACATCTGTAGAAACATCAGATGCAGAATTGAGACAAAACCTAAATTTAAAAAAATAATTAAACATTGACTCAATACTGAGATGGAAATAAGGACAATTTTACATTGGCTATGTACATCCGTCACATTTTTGTGTCTTAGGAAGCCTCTTCTGTCTCCTCCAGGGATGAAAATAAATAAAAAGAAAATAACAGGAAAAGGGGATAAGGCAGCAGAATACAGTCTTATGAGGTTATCACCCGTCTAAAGATGAGTCAGCCTGCAAGTTGGTTAGATTTTGTTAGAGTGACAGTGACTACATAGAGGATACACATATTAAACACTAACAAGTCAAAATACTGCTTGGGCAGAGTTTTTTCTCAAAAACAGTGTTGTATACTTTGTTACTAAACTGAATTAGGCCTTCCATCTACAGCAAATGTACTAACATACAATATAATACATTCCTATTCTCCTACTCTTCCTATACCGCGAGGCAGAGAGGACTGAACTTGATCTACACGAGAGGAATCTCCCCCCCGATGCTTGCTATACATCCAGGCAACTTCCTCACAGGTCGGCGCTCGTTGCTATCCGTCAGAGGGCCAGGTGACCTCTCTAATCACCGATCGCTTGTTTCCTACAAGCCGAAGTGCTTGAAGGCCAGCAACCAAATCGTTTTTTTTTTCGCCGTTGGGAGCCTGATTGCTGGCCGCCAACACTTCAGCCGCATGAGGCCTTTGTAGCCGTCTTGATATTGCTACTTGCTTCAAGTCTCTCTTCTCTCTAACAGCTTTCTTTCCTTCACACACACACACACACTCCTTGGTACATTCGGCGTTCTTCTCAGTGAGCGGCCGTCTCCGGCTCTGAGGGGCGCGTGCTGTAGCCGTTGGCGGGCGGCGTCGGCGCGTCGCCGGCGTCCGCCTGCCTCTCCTTGGTGGCGCCCGGTCTCCGAGAGCGGGAGGAGCCCGTGAAAAGTCGCACGGCGCCCCTGAAAATGAGGGAGAACCAATAGAGCTGGGGAGCCATGAGCAGCGCGGCGCCGAGGTTACAGTGCCACGGCACCGACAGCGGAACCATGTGGAAGGGAATGGACGCGTACCTGGATCCAAGAGACACAGAAATAGGATTTTTTTTTTTTTTTTTTTTTTTTAAACACGCGGCCCGAGCCTCGCAGCCATGAGATGGAGATCGCGTTACCGAGCGAGGCAGCGGAACGCGAGAAAACCAGAGGCGGAGAGACAGACATACCTTCCGTAGGCGTAGTAGAGGTAAGGGAAGAGGAGGACTCGACAGATGAAAAAAGTGATCAGCATGAGAGCCCCGTTCACTTTGTGCAGGAGAGTGTGTTGCTGTTTGTACTGAGAGCAGAGAGAAGCAGGAAGAGGGCGAAAGAGAGGGAAGAAAAGCGAGCAGTACAGTTGGGTGAAAGCTGGAGGGGTTAATCTTATTTGCCATTGTTTCTCTATTAATAGTAACACTGCTATATTGGTTATGTGCATGGACAGAGCGCGGCGATGGAAGCACCGAGTGCCATGTGGCTGGTCCGACACGATTTCTGCACAAGGCAGTGGGCCAGTGTGTGTGTGTGTAGCGGTGCTTTTGTCTCATTTGTTTACAGCTGATGACTCAACTTTATCATCTTGAACTTTCAACCTGCCAGTGAGACAACAGAGGACAAGCTGCAGCACCCCCCCCCTATCTTACCCTAGAATTAAACAGCGTGCCTTTCATACCTCGAGGCCACAACTTCTAGCCAGTTGTTGTTTATCAGAAAGCCACATGCACGGTTGCCGGGGGCGGCGGGGTGTGGAGTGATAAGAGGGTGAAAGGACAAGCGGATATTGTATCCGCTCAAAATCCAGTCAAGATACTAGTGGCTATATTCAGAAGCCAACAGCTGTGGCAGCCTCACAGAGCAGTGGAGGGAAAACCATCATCTAGACACTGAAGCATCGAAACGTACAAACTTCAACGTTGGCTACGACAAAGTGTGTTCAGTCGAAATGTGTTACTGATTAATGATTTTTCCCCCGACAGCGCTGTCCATGTTAGACGGTCAGCGGGAGTCGCCGGACGTGAACGACGGCAAATCTATTCTCCGCTGAAGGAAAATGGGGGGTGAAAAGAAATAAGGAGTGCAGTGGAACTTCAGTGTGACGCATGCACATGCAACAACGCACAGGCCTCTTTGACACGCTTACCTGGATGAGAATTTTTCCTAAGCAGACGGACGGCGTGCTGAGCTCAGCCATGAACAGCACACCCTGGAAATAATCTCCCTTTCCTTGTCGCCAAAACTGGAGAGCAAAAGAGTGGTCGGTTAGTTTTCCACAATGAAATGACTCACAGCTTTGTGGTTTTTGTGGGCACTTGAAATAAAATATCCTATTGTCTCAATGGTTTAGCAAATGGAATACGTTTGCTTCTGATTTGTTAATAACCGAAAAACAGTAATTAGCCAACGGACTATCTAATAATACACTTATTTAGGATTAAAGATAATTAGCACTGCAATTTACTTTGTTAAAAACTAAAAGAATAATTCCCCAGCTGTTATTATTAAGACATTTAACAAAGTGAATCAACATACAACAATACTGTGCACTAGGGCATCTCTTTAGTTAGTAGCAATGTGTGCCGGTTACCACAGAGACGGGGAAGCAGACGGTGACCATGACAACGTGGTGCAGCACCATGAGGAACTCGCGACGCAAGTAGCTGGACATCGCTGTGCTCATGTTCTGGGGCGCTGCCGAGGCCTCCTCGTGCCCTTTGACCCGGAGCTTGTACCAGTAGCACATGAACATTGCGTAGATGTCATACATGAAATAGGGAACTGCAAACACGATGTAAGCGCTCGTCAGCCAATGCCTGTGAAGAGAGGAAGAGACGAGAGAAAATAGGTATCTCTTCAACGACACCAGAAAAGAATGAGATGACATAAAGTGCTTCCGAATGTTGCATCTTAAAGCTTCGGAAATAATAAAATCACAAAAGTTGCTTTATATTGTGCATTAAAAAGTGACACACTGGAGAGGTAACATATATCCTGGTGTGCCTTTCTTGACTTACTGGTCCTCCAGGATGTCCTCGCAGGAAGAAGCAATGATGTAGCCAGCTGAAGAAGCCATGACTGCCTGAATTGATGAAACCAACCTGGAGCAGAAAATGGCGAGATAATAATAAATAATGCATTTCTCATATGCCGGGTTTACACTGTCTAGTTTACACACGGTAGTGGAAGTAGAGCCCTGATCCTTTCATGCAAACAATATCTGCCGAAAGACCTCAGTAATTTACATTATTGCAGCTGCAAATAATCGGAAATCGTTGCACAAAAACAACAACGTTGTCATTGAAGTACAAACAAGTTGAACAGCGTCTCACCTGGCGGATACAATGACTGCGTCTCCTTCGCTCCATCTTAGAGCTGGGATTGACTTCAGACATTGTTTAGACAGCAGGAAAAGGCCTGGAAAGAACATCGACCCAGCGGCTAGAATGGTCAGCATGGTCCCAGGGCGATCCGTCTGAGGGGCAGAAAGTTCAGCGGGCAAACTGGTCCTCGAGATCCGTCTCTGAAACACACAACACATCGACGCGTGTGAATGAATGAACAGCCGGCGGCAACTCCCGCGTTTAAACGGTGATCCACGTCTGCGCCGAGATAACAAACAAAGCACATAATCAAAGTCCAACATGTGTGGCAACGTACTGTTCAGGCTTCATTCAGAGGCCTCGCCGTTTTGTACAATCAAGATTCAGTGGGGTGAACAGACGGGTGTCAAACAAAGGGACTTTCTAAATGCTGCCGAGCATCGGCAGAGCAACTGAAGGGCCTTTGGTGCTGCATCACATGGACGTGCACCATGTGCTGGTATTCTACATTAGACCAGCTGACTCAATACAAGTCGAAGTCCATTAGCCAAATACGCATTGCGTTTCCACCCCCCACAACTTCTTCCGGGTTTTTTTGTTGTTGTTTTTTTAAATCCCGAACGTCGAACGTATCGACACAAGAACGCGTTGCCGGCGCTCGTGTTTTTGTGCACCTGTGCGGAATGCAAATGTCATCAATGTCACACGGGAGACGGAATGCGGGCGGACACGCGGACGGAGACCACTCTGCCGTGGACGCGCACATGCCAACTATTAAATGCTAAGAGTTAGCCTTCAGCTTAAGCAACTTTGTGCAAAACGAGGGGGTCACGTCAAATGCGGTCGGCTACCAACGCTAGCTTAGCTAACGTCGGCTACAAAACACGAAACGGCTCAACCAACGAGCTCATGCACCTGGTTATCGACTCGTATCGAGGGTGTTGAGGCAACCGCCCCCCCCCCCCCCCCCCGCACAGGAAAAAGAGAAAGAACGTGAACCCGGACCCTATTGGTAAAGTTAGCTGCCACCCTCTGCTTGGGTAAACATGGACCTGACGGCGCCCTGGAAACGCTAACAATGACGCTAGGAGCGGTAGCATCCCCCGAAAAGTGGCTACCGCACGGCAGCGGGTAGTCCCCGCCGGCTTATTTAGCAACCATTTCGTTTGGACCAACTCGAAATACTTGTTAGCAAGATGATGATACGCAATAACATATGATTGAGCGCGTCGGGGTGCATCGTTTTACACCCGTTTGTGGGAACGTTAAAATATCCAGTTAGCTTGTTATTTGTTTGTAGCACTTAGCAGTAGCAAATAAGCTAACAAACACCACTGACGCTAATCGTGGCCAACATATTGGGAGTCAAGCTAAAAAGGTAGACATCTTCAAAATAAATGAAAAAATATCTTAAGCGGCATTTACACAAAGACTCCACAGAGTCCAGTCAGCGGCTAGTCGAAAACTCGTGTCCTCCGGGAAGCGTTGAACGTTAGAGATGTCCCGGGGGTCTCCGCCTCGATGATCCGCATGTTTAAGTGGCCGCGTCGATGTCTGGCGGCTAGCTGGCGCTAGCTTGCAGCAAGTTAGCAGATCGACATCTATGAGAGGGCGGCTCGGTGAGAGCGTCCGCGGCCGGCCTGCTTCCAGCGAGCGAATAACCACGTTTTAGGAAGAAGAAGAAGAAGAAAAAAAATCCTCCAAAAAAGGGGAACCGGGTGAAAAACCCGTGAGACGAGCTGGTCCTGCTGGTGTCAAGGTGGCGTTAGCTCGTCCGCTCGCTGTGTCATCTCGTCCGCGTCGCTCGCCGCCGCAGACGAGAGATGCCGCTGTCTCAGCTCCACGGATGCGACGATGCCTCAACAACGCGGCGGTCTGCTGCGCCAGCTACTTCCTGCAGGTCCGAGCAGCAGCTCCTGTCACGGGCAGAGACGTGCACCAGTTACACGCACTGCACGTTGTGCACCGGGATTCCATCGTTTTTTTCCGTGCGGTGAAACAATGAATGGATCCCACTTAAGGAAAAGCGGCTCATCCCACATGTATATTAACATTTAAAAAATAAAGGTATTTAGATTCAAACAAAATTATTATGTTTTTTATTTTTTATTATGTATGTCTTTGACATGGTCGGTGTCAAAGACATACATACATACAGGTCGGTTATTTGACCTTTGACTGGATCAATTATCAGTCCTTATCTGCACGCTGTCAAAGATGCTGAGGTGTGTTTGCTTATTCTTCTGACCTTTTGCAGCATTGCAAACCTCGATATGTCGGTCGGCTGACAGATTGCATGTCAATCAATACAACACTGTTCGGGCTTTTAATTGATAACCCTGCTGTGTCCGAAGAGTTGAACTGTCACAGCAGCTTCACCGGGTTCTGCAACTGGAAAACAAGAAGTAGATTGGGGAGAAAAGACTGGTTTGGGTTTGCTATGCACGTAATGTCATCAACTGTGCACAGAAATCATCAATTCAGCACACAAACTGGGAAGATATAACTTCATAATGTGATAGTGAGAAAAAAAGTACAGAAAAACCCTGTGTGCCTTCAATCTCCTTCACCACTAGTCACAGCTTTGTAACACAACTGTTAAATGCAGTGAAATAATGTTAGTATTTTTAGAATTAACTTGCATTGAAGTACCCACTTAATTTAAAGTCATTTTATATTTTACCCAGAACTACTATGAGCAGTACGGGGAGGATATCTACTTTTCCAGTGTTGTCCCTTTGCACTGTGTTTGGCTTCTATCAATGGAGAGTAGTGATTTATAGGAAAAGTGAGGTTTTCACTTTTATGCAATAAGTGGGCGACAAAAAAATCAGATGTTGCAGCCTGTAAACGCTTCATTTACTGGATAGCAAGATTAAGTGGTAAAGGCTGTATTGATTTCATGGAATCTGAGTACATTTGAGATTACTGGGAAACCTGATCAATTCTGATGTGTCTTTGGGAGGTGACGTTGTCATGGGAATGTTTTAACTCAGTGTTTGCAGGGTCGTTTGGTTGTCATCCATCATCACTGGGTCATGCAGTAAAGAGCACGTTCTGGATATTTGGATTTGAGTGTGGTGTCACTCATTTGTCAAATAAACCCCCCAAACTCACAGTAACTTGATCATTTCTTACTAGTGTGCATCAATTCATAATTCTTCCTGCGTTATTTCCCACATTAAAGTATCATGTGGGTGTGACGATCAAGAATTGCTAAAGCGTTTGTTTTGTACCAGATTACTAAGTGTCAACGGGACTGAAATGAAGTAGATACACAGATCAAGCACAACAAAGTCCATATACTCGTTTTACTTTAAATTGTCCAAATTACAAAATAATAACATGATCTCTACTGCCTCTACAAAATAACATTTATGACTGTATTAAGCATCAATTTTTTTTTGCTCTAACAACCTTTTAGACATGCATACTGTTGAGAAATATAAAAATATAAATATAAATACATCCCATTAATATTCTTAATGAATCCATGACTAAGATTTGAAATATTTCATCATAAAAGAATTAAAATGCAGTTGAGTACGATAAGGCATTAAGATGTATCACAAGAGCTGTACAGAATCCTAGAATAGAGGTAATATTCTTTTCTTAGTGTGATGGAGAAAACCTAAAATTAATGTTTTTAATAAATCACAAATTTTTCTCAACAGGAAGAACACATTTCCAAAGGAGAAAAAAAAAAGAAAGAAACAACTACAAATTTTAAGCTAACATTAACACAAAACGGAAGAAGCACTCCAGTACAAAACCAGGATTTGTTTACAGCATACCGCGTGGTGTCAAACTCATTGTACTTTACAAGCCCTCTCAACACCACACCACTCACAATAGAACTCAAAGCAACCAAAAGATCTCCACCGGACAGGTGACCGTTCTTCGTATGATTCATGTAGATTGATGACGAATCGCGTTTAGAGCATTATGTGCTATACAGCGTCAAATGACTGAATCTAATGCATATGTTTTTACTCATTGGACTGGTACATAGAGGAAACAAAAAGACTATGGCGGTGACAATTACAATCAAAATGAATGGCCGACAATGTTAAAATATTCAGAATAAAAGCAACACTTCTCATAAATATTATTGTTTACAGCCAAATAACTTGGTGGAACTGTGAAAGGTTTCTTGTGTCACGACAGTTACCCAACGATACGCATGACTGAGCTTAATTTCATGCAAAAGGTAGTTTTCGAGGGCAAGAATCGCCATGTTAGAAGCCAAAGTGTTGATTAGCTGTCATGTTTTTTTTCTTCTTCTTCTTCTTCTTTTTTTAAAAATGGCCAGACCAAGCGAGGAAGACTCGAAGACTCATGAAATCTCAAACCCATTTTGATCCTTGCTGAATCAAACAATAACGACTTAAGGTGCTTGACACTCCTGAACATAACTGCATTCTTATCTCTGTTCCTTTAGAAAACCAACTGAGTACATCCCACTTTCCCCACACGGACCACAGCACGTATGGCCTTCAGTCCTGATCAATAATCAGCCCTCCCAGAGACCCAATAACCCGCCATTACAGCTAAATCAAAGGATTTTAGTTTTGTGAAAAAACAAGCTAACATGCTGGCTGAGCCCTGACTCACGCGCACAGACACACACCCAAAAAACACACAACTCCCTTCTACGAGTTTCTTCTTGACAGTTTTCCCCGAGAGCTATTCTCTCCCTACTACTTCTTTATGCAAGCCATTTGGATTCTTAGAAATTGAGCTGCAAAAATGGAGGTAAGATCAGAGCTGGTGTGAGATATACAGTACTTGGTGCACTTGCAGAGAGCAGCCGATGCCAGGGTCAAGGGTCGAGGGGAGGGACCGAGAGAGAGGGGAGAGTAATACAGTAGATGCCCACAATACCACAGTTTCACTGGAGTCTTGAATGCACGAAAGCATTCGGAAATATTTGGACAACACATCCATGTTTGTCGCTAGTGTCAACGAACCTGCTGCAGCCACGACAGTCTCTCCCCCCCCTTCCAAGTCTTCGCTGCTCTATTAATACAGCTTCCTTTTCTTCCGATGCGCCGCCTCTGCAGCTCCGAGGCGATACTGCCTCTGATCGGAGTTTCATCTCCCCCACTTCTCAAATCCTAACCTTACCTAGAAGTGGGGACGTCACAAAACTGAAACCGGATCAGCGTCTACTCGCAACCGTTCTCTAACCTCGCCCTCTGCTTAAGGGACTGAGGTTTTTTTAATTTATTTATTGCCAAGCTCTCTACTGCTAACTGTGGGATTGTGGAGCTGCGATGCTCGAGCAGTCCGTGACCAGCAGGTCCACCACCGCGTTGCCAGTGACGTACACGGCGGGCGCCGTCACCATATTGCTGAGGGAGACGGAGCTGCTGGCGGCCACATTAGAGGTGATGGGGCTCGGGGCACCCTGGCTGTTGCTGTGGGTGCCCATGTGCCCCTGGAGCTGGGTGGGTGTCTTGCAGTGGACGCCGCACAGGTGGCAGACGAGTATGCCGCCCGAGGTGGTGCCGAAGCCCCCCGGACTGTCCTTCCACTCCTGCCCGTGGTGCTTCTGGGCGTGGACGCGGAGGTACGTCAGCGTGGTGAAGCCTGATGGGGCGAAAACGGAGGAATTTCTTCAACACAACAGGTTGACGTTACAGGTTGAGCATGTGATATGACGTGCACGCAGCGTGCAAGACTCCTCCACGTGGGTTCATCACATGCAGTCGGGCGTCAGATTTTAAATTGGACTCAGCACGCTGCTCTCGGTCACGACATTTATGAAAGACGCCTTCATTTAAAGCTTACTGCGGTTGCAGAGATGGCAGGCATGGTGCTGCGACTGGTTGTGCACCCTCATGTGATCCGTGATGTAAGCAGCGGACAGGAGCTTGCCACAGATGTGGCACGGGACCTTCTCCTCGTGGCGAATCATGTGCGCGCGCAAACGGTCCTTCGTGGCGAAGCTGGACTCGCATGTCTGAAAAAGAGACCGCTGAGTGATTATGGTGGAGGAAGCAAAAAAAACCTGCACACACACACACACACACACACAAGAATGCGTAAGTGAAAATGTGCCAATGAAAATAAATTCTTATCATTGCTCTTTTACGATTGTTTCACATATTGCGTCTTTGCAGTCATTCAAGTTGTATCAGCCAGTGTTCAAGAACCCATTCTTCATGAAGATGTGAGGCTTTCAGCTGCTGCGTGTCAACAGCTCAATTACACCTACTTCTTATTCAAAAAGGCATGACTTTAATCCAGATCAGCCTCCACGGTAATATCCACAATCTCCACTGTCTACAGATCAGTACGAGTATGCGACAGATAAAAGTTGCGTTAATGTACGAGACCTCGACAGCGAGGCACCTGGACACTGTGCAGCTACTAACGGCCTTTGTAAATATGACAGGACAAAAAAAAAGGAAAAGATGCTGTGTACAACTGGAGTAAACATGACGCACCGGGCATTTGAAGGGTCGCTCCGAGGAGTGTACCTGTCTGACGTGACTGTTTAGATGGTCAGGCCTTGGGGGAGAGAAGAAAAAAAAAAAAGTCAACTTATTAGGACAAATGCTGGCGTTACAAAATCAAAAAGGTGGAACATTGAAGTGAAAGGTTTCTTTAATTAGTTCATCACTCTGAGGATAATAATCTGCTCTCTTGTCAAGAAGTCCGCCGAGTCACCTGGAGAAAGCCTTGCCACAGTGGGGGCAGACGTAGGGCTTCTCCACCCCCCCCTGGTGGGAGCGCACGTGGTGGCTCATGCGGTCCTTCCTCTTGAAGCGCTGCTGGCAGATGGGACACGAGAAGGGCTTCTCGTCCGAGTGGGACAGGCGGTGGCGGTTGAGGTGGTAGACGTCGCGGAAGGCCTTCCCGCACGTCTCGCAGGCGTGGTTCTTCCTCACCGGGTTGGGGTTGGGGTTGGCGGGCCGCTGAGGTCGGAGCAGAGAGGTCGGATTAGCACGCTGCGGCGTTTGGACGGAAGGTAGAAGTATGGTTGTAACACAAAAACACACACACACACATTCAGTGGAAACGCACAAATATCTCCTTGCATGAGTTGTACCGATGTTGCACTTGTGCAAATCATCAAAGTCATCGGTTCACATGTTCGACAGACTACGTCCCACTGGATGGAGTCTCAATCACAGAGAACATGCAGTGGAGCATGGGGTGGGGGGAGGGAGCTTCTAGCACGTTGTTTTCTCAAACTGGGTACCAGTGGCAAACACTGGGATGGAATTAACTGGTCTCTGAACTGCCTACTGCACGTGGACGTTTGTTGGCATTGAGCACACGGGAGAGTTTCAAGGCAGGTGACGCACAATTGCTTAACACAAAAAAAATCAAAAAGGGGGGGGTTGACCTTCCCAGGCAGCTTAGGAAACAACATGCTTGAAGGTTGGGGGTTGATGACAGCCATCTCCACAAGGCCCTGACCCACCTGTACTGTCGCCCCTGTGGCCATGACGACAGCAGCAGGAGGCGGAGCATGGGGGTTAACACTAGCCATTACGTTAGCCATGGCAACCCCTTCACCATCCTGACTACCCAGGTGAGGCTGCTGGGCCCCCGCCAGCACGACAGGAGGGGCGAGAGGGGGAGGCGCGGAGAGGTGCAGCAGGGAGAGGGGAACAGCGGGCCTCTCCAGCCTCCCTCCAGCCCCCACCGCCATCACCGGCGGGGCCGCCGCCGCCGCCACCTGGCCGGCCGCTCCCTCCTTCGCCCCCTCCGCCCGCTCTCTGGCCCTGTCCTTCATGCGTACCCCAGTGTGGACCGACTGGTGCCGCCGCAGGTTATAGTTGTTCTTGAACTGCTTGTTGCAGATGGCACAGATGTGGGCCGCGCGGGCCGGCCGGGACACTGGCTTCACTGGACATCGGGAGGGCGGGAGAGCAAGAGAGAGAGAGAGAGAGAGAGGGGGAGAAAGTTCATTCCAAAGACGTTTTTAAATGGGTTCAAAGGTGTTGGCAGTGACATCAAATAAGCAGTGTTAAAATGTTGTTAACTGGAATAATCAAAGTGTGTAGTCTGGTTTATTTACTTTCATAGAAGGCAATTTTACTTTGAAAAAGGACCCCGAATTATTGATTATCAAGTCTATTAATGTGTTAATACACATTAATAGACTTGTATCCTGGATGTTCATTTATAGCAAATTGTAAATTGGCTTATTTGAAGAAATTGCACTTTGTTCTTCTGAGTTTGTACCCCCGTGGTTGAATGCACTTATTGTAAGTCGCTTTGGATAAAAGCGTCAGCTAAATGACACGTAATGTAATGTTCATATGTGGAATTCTGGACGTCTTGATTTCTTGGATCCCAAACCGATCTTAATTTGAATACCCGGCAGGTGAACGTAATATTTTCACCTGCAAAATAACCAAAAAATAATTCAATGCCCGTTTGTTTGTTAGGCTGCGTGTCAGGTGTCGGCTCCACAGGTGTGCAGGTGTGCAGGGTCCCTCACCGGGCAGGGGATCCTCGCTGAGGGCAGCAGTGTCCACGGTGGAGGGAGGCTGTGCTGTGTGCTCTGTGGGTGGGGTTTGGGGAGAACTCGTATGCACGGGCATGAGCTCTGATTGGAGGCCCCCGTCCACTTGGTTTTGGGTGGGAGTATTCTGGAGGAGCAAGTAGAAGGCCATCGCCAAAAAAAAAAAACGTAAACACAAGCCACGGCATTATCCCGAGGTGCTACGGTTAAATTACGAGACGCGAGCGAAGTGCGCGCAGTTAAAATGAGAGCAGAAGACAGATAGGAAGAAGAAGAAGAAGAAAAAAAAAGGGAAGAGAGGGCCAGCGGTGCCTTCTTAAACGAGGGCCTACCTGGAAGAGAAAATTGCTCCAAGAAGCGTCCATTTTGCGCCGCGGCGGTGGAGATTAGTCAGCTCCTGATTGGGATCGGGGAGGGAAGCCTTTGCATGGTTTGGATCGGCCCACCGGGGATCGAGGCGCGAACAGGGCGGCCTGTTCCGCTGCAGAAACGACGGGCCGCTGGATTGGTTTGTGGAAAAACGTGAATAAAACAAAGTCGTTTCTTTGTCATTGGGGTTGGTTGGCCGGGAGCGGAGTCGATTAAAATGCACGCAGCTGATGACTAACGCAGGCTGCGGCGCCCGGGCGGCAGGCCGGCGTCCAATAATGGCCCGTTTCTCTCTTCACTTTGCTTTCTAACTTTAAGTTCGGTGAACACGGAGCTTCCTGGAAAAAAACGCAATACCGCACAACCAAACTGCTTTTAAAAAAACACTTTAAAAAAAACAAACCGCATTTACAGTCTCACACTTTCGCCATAAAAACGTAAAACCAGTCTACGTGAAATAAATGCATTTTTACGCCAAAGAACCAATATGGGTTATAAACACACGTATCTGGCGGCACGGCAGCTCATGCTTTGTTTTTAATTTATAAATCTATTTTTTTTCTCGCTCCGATTTCTCCCAATAGGCCACTCGGGTGTTTTGTCGAAGCCTCGTTGCTGGATTCAAGCCCTGACCCCGGCGAGCGGCGCTCTCGCCGGGCCGCAGCCCATCGCTCCACCTCGGCCGCTCAGCTGCGAGGATGTCATCTTTCTTTTTTTATCGCCCGCTCTCCCTCCTCCCTCCCTGTCTCTTTCTTCCTTTTCTTTTTTAATTCCTCTTTCTTCTCCCCCTCCTCTCCTTTTCTCGCAACGCTGTAGTCTCGCTTGCTCTTAAAAGGATGGGGTTTCCTTCTTCGGATACCCCCCCCCCCCCTCTGCCGCCCCTCCCCCTCCCGTCTCTCTTCGGCGAGGCCCGTCCTCGCGCTTTCCCCCTTTTTTTTGTGGTTGGCCGACACAAAAAAAAATGCAGCACGGTCGGGTTTTTTTTTTTTCCTTCTTCTTTTTCGTCCCCCTTCCTCCCGCCGACAGGAAGCAGATTTCTTAACGCGCGCAGAAGCCGCCGGAATGTTTGCTATTAACGGCCGGATGGATGACGCGTCTTAAAGGAGAGGGCGCGCGCGCAGAGCCTCCGAGTCGGCCGACAGTAATGATGTCAGAGTCAGATACGGAACACACGTCGAATGCACAGACAATAGACGAGAAAACGTACAGGTTCACTTCCTGTCTGGGTCGTTATACAATTATTCATATGGTTTAATGTGCATGGTAGTCTTGCGAATATATATAACCCCCAAAGTAGTAAGAATCGATTAATAAAAATGAAATAAAGAATTATCAGATTAAAGACGCAACATGATAATCAAATTAATTAATCTAATTAATCTAAATGTTCTGGATTCAGCTTTTTCTATGTCAATGTTTTTTGGGGGTTTAAAATATATATGATTGTATAAGGTAATACATTTAGGGTTTTGATTGTCAGACAACATAACACATTGTAATATCACATTAATATATATGTCAACATGTTTGTACAAGTTTCAGAGATTTAATGGACCAAATTGTATTAATTAAGAAGAATTAGAAGCCCAAGTTAACATTCAAACATCAGAAACCAAGAGCATTGAAAGCAACATAATAGACGGGGGGTAAAATCTTAGCTAATATTCACATTTGAGAAACTGGAGCAGAAATTTGGTGGCATATTTATTTCTGCCATATATTAATTATCAAAGTAGGTGCTGACTATTTTCTGACAAATAAAATTTTCTGACACCCTGTTATAAACATCTCAATAATAATAGCATAAAGTACATAGAATCAAGACACGGCCATGTGTTGATATCAATTTATTATCTTGTTTTTTTAATTACTTTTTAAAGCACCCTATGTCCTACCCAATACATGTGTTAAGACCCTTCTTCTTCCTCCTCAGCCTTGGTGCGGCTTGATTTGGAATATTTAATAATAAGGACCCCCCCTCCACACACACACACACACACAAAAAACAAAAAAAACACAGATGAGCCTGTGTTGCTTCTTTAACATCATTCTTTCATCCAAGCATGATGCTCCTTCCACGACCTCCGACACTGACAACAACCGTCTAAAACAACTACCACGCCGACTTCCCACACAAAGGCCGTCCCCGAACCCGCCCGTCTTAGTTTATATAAGGAGTTTATGCATGCACTGAGAGATTGCGACCGAGCGTGAAGTAGTAGGTTATACAGGGAATTGTCTTGAGCTGGTGTTTCTGAGTCCTACAAACAGCAGGGTGGCTAAGTTTTGTTTTTCATTTGAAATGAAAAAAAAACGGAAAAAAAAACATTTCAACTCATTTCTGAAATTTTCTGATGTCTTTCAAGTAAGTGAACCGTCAGAAGCACCACGCGTGCAACAGAAAACACTGATAGGCGTCCGTCTGTGGGGACGGGCGGCTGCGGTCACTGCAGCTGTGCCGGCACAAGAGGGTGCACGTTCACAGCAGCTCAGTAGAAGCCCGCCCCCCTCTTCTTCTTCTTCTTCTTCTTCATCGTCTTCTTCACACACTAGTTGCATGCTGCACCTTCCAGCCGTAATATCATCAACTAGGTTTGTGCACGTCTTTTTTTGTCCGTGTTTCCCTTGAGAGCTTCTGTGCGGAAACGTTGTCGCGCACCAACAACAAATAAAGAAAAAAACAGCATTTACATTTACATTCCAGTGCCAATTCCAATTAAAAAATTCTTCCTCTATTCTTTCCCCTCTGCGAGAGTCCAGAGGAGGTCAGAGGTCACGTGAGTGGTGGGATGTCGCTGTGTCTTTTAAAATGCAATCGTTTTTGTCTAAAAAAAGTGGCAATATAACTAGACGTTACTGCTCGACGCACACACATGAATCATTAACAATTACTAATAATTGCTCATTAATAATCATTAATACCTTGAATACACACCATACCTGACAACAGCTTATTTATTTTCTTTTTACAGTCAAAAGTGGGGCCCGTTTCTTCCTCGAGAGAAAAAAGTGAACATGATTACAACAACGATTACGTCAGGATTAGTTATGGTAATATTGACACTGATAGAAAACGCAGTTGGAGATGTCGCCCTAAATCTTGAATTCAATACTCATTTGAATATATCAAAATTACTATCATTATCTTTGCTACTCTATAAAACCGACGACTTGTTTTTCCTTTTTACTATTCCCATAAATATGTACAGCAAGGATCAAACATGTGGGACGAGTGATGTTCAATGCCAGTGAAACTCGGACCGGTACGGGACGTTTGTGGCCTGGTCATGTTTGCGTGTGTTTTTGTACATCTCATGCATGCGGGTGAATCCCACGGACACTTGTCGTCCTGCAGATATTCAATATGTCATGGATGTCGGAAAGACTTCTTGTATTTTTACACGTCCACACAAATGTTTCTCCTCCTCCCGGCTGCTTTTCTGAACAGATTCTGTTGCCTTTAAAATACATTCTGTTTTTGAAATCGTCATGCGGTCATCAAATTAAAATTTGGATTGCACGACATCCCTTTAAGAACCCTTTGAAGGCATTGGTGATGTTTTAGGTGACTGGTTTTTGTGTGTGTGTGTGTGTGGCGGGGGTGGGTGTGTGTTACACTTTAATATACAAAAAAATTCAAAAATAACTATAAAAGTGGTTTAAATCAATAAAAAGTGTTTTAAAATCCGAAGTGCCCCATCTTTTGTCCCCCGTCTTCCTTTCTGGAGCTGCAGTTACAAGTGCTCGCTAGATTTACCTGGACACTACAGACTACGTACAAGTACACACACAATGCAAAAGAACACCTCTTTTTGTCCTCCCTCCCCCCGTCCTCTCTCTTTCTCCATTCCGCCATAGAACATCATAGAAGAAGACATGGCTGCCGTTGCCCCTCCCTGCAGCTCTGGGGGGAAAGAAGGCCAAAGAAACTCCGCTCACACTTTCTGTCTCCGGTAGTAACAAAGATAAAAAACATTAAACACAAACCTTTCTTTTTTTTTTGCCACCTTTTTCCAGTGATACCACAGGTGGTTACATTCCTCCCTCCCTCGGGGGAGGAAGTCTCTCTACCCACCCTGAGTCCAAAGGAGCAGGCTGCCGCTCAACAGCCCCAGTTTGTCCCCCTGCTTCGTCCTTTCAGCCGTTCTGAGAGGAGCCATCGGCCTCCAGGAAAGGACACGAGGCCGCGTGGCAAACTGAGAGTATTGAGATGCAACCTGGGACGTCTACCTTCCTAACCGCCCCCCCCCCCGACCCCGCCGCCTCCGTGCTACCGCCCCGCCGCCTAAGAGTAGGAGAGGTGGGAGCCGTTAGAGATGTGCGAGGTGACGGAGGTGCTCCGGCTCAGGACGCCGTCGCTGCCCCCGGCTCCTCCGGGCCCTCCGCCGGACGCCGTCCTCCTCAGCGGCTGGGGGCTGTTCCTCAGGGCCATCAGGCCGGGGGCGGCGCGCACGCCCAGCCCGCCGCCGCCGCCGGAGTAGATCCCACCCCCCTGCGAGGAGGACGAGGACGAGGACGAGGACGAGGGGCCGGAGACGGACGGGGGCGCCAGCGGCGGCGGCGGCAGCATGGCCAGGGACTGAGAGGAGGAGCGTGAGGGCAGGTGATGGGAGAAGGGCAGGGGGTGTGGGTGGGCCAGGTCGCCGCCGGAGCCTCGCACTCCGGCCCACTCCCGCTCCCTCTCCTTCTCCCGCTCCCTCTCCCGATCCCGCTCCCGCTCGCGGTACAGCTGCGGCGTGCTCTGGTGGTGGTAGTGCTGGGGCAGGTGGTGGCGCTGGTGGTGCGAGGAAGACGAGGAGGACGAGGAGGAGGAGGAGGCGGAGGAGCGCGACGAGTGGTGCGCCTCCCTCCCGTCCCGCCCCAGCCCCAGGGCCATCCCCAGCGGGTGGGAGGAGGAGGAGGAGGAGGAGGACTCGCTCCGGCGGTCCCCCGCCGCGCTGCTGACGCCGCTGCTGCTGCTGCTGCTGTTGTTGTGGCTGCGGCGGGAGTGCGGGGGCGGCGGCGGCGGCAGCATGCTCTGCGGGTGCATGCCGTGGCTCCAGTGGCCGGCGGAGCGGGAGGCGGACGGGGGCGGGGCGTTGGAGTAGGCCTGCATGGGGTAGGCCTCGCTGGGGATGCCCGTCAGCGCCATGTTGCTGAAGCCCAGGCGCAGGCTCTCCGAGTCGAAGGACTCGATCTCGCTGGCCTGCCGCTCCAGGAGGGTGCGGATGCGCTCGGAGCGCTCGTTCTGCAGGGACATCATCTCCTCCTCGATCTGGGGGGAGAAACACAAGGTTGCTTTTCTTTAAATTGTAGCGTTACTAAAAAAGGGGGCACGTTTTTTGGAGATATTTTACAGCGGAGTCACTCTGTTGTCATGGAAACTTAGATGTGACCGTTGAAGCTCCGGTGCCTCCACGGGGAAGACTTTGCAGCGACTTTCGGCTGCTCATTTAATCTTTCAAACAACGCAATGTGCCTCTCACCCTCTGATCCAGCAGGGCCCGGCGGATGGACACCCTCTGCTCCAGGTCCTTGACCTCCCGGTCGTGCTGCGTGTCGGTGTGGATCTTGATCTTGCTCTGGTAGGCGTTGAGCAGCTCCAGCTCCTGCTGCAGCTGCATCCGCAGCACTTTGTACTCCGCTTCCTGGGTCTCGTCCAATCGCAGCTGAGGGACAGAAGAGGACACATCGCGAGGGTCAGTGATGAGGGGAGAGGCTGAGAGCGCTTGAGGAACGCGAGGAGAAACGTCAGAGCGCGTTCCTCTGACGGGCTTGAACGTGTCGTTATTGACGATGTGTCCGTTATCCAAATGAAGCAGTGGAACGTTCCAAAATGTTGCAGGACTTTGACCCGTGTCAGTGATGCCCGGATTCAGGGAACAGATTAAATCTGGAGACTTTTTTAATTTAAAAAGAAGTATTTTTTTTCTGATCTCAGGTTTTTTAATCAGCGAGCAGGAGGAGATGTTCGGACGGAGGGGATTTGGCTTACCGACCAGAGGTAATTTAAGGAGGCACAAGACGTTATAATCAGTAATGTTCCGTCCTCCCTATTATGTTTGGTACATTTAAAAGTCTGAGATTTGTGTCTGAGACGTAGAGGGACGGATCGTAAGAGTTTAGAGGACTGGGTCTGAATATTAGATTTAAGACTTAAGATTTAAGAACTAATAGAAAGTAACCAAGTAGTTTTCCATACAAGAACAAGAACATGTGATTAAAAGTTCCATAAAGCCCTTTGTGGCTTCACAGGGACCTGTGGTCTGACAGTAATGTTTTCACTTCTAATGTGGTGAATTAAAGGGAAATCATTTCTGCTGCATCGATTTTCCATTTCGGGCGCAGCGGCGAAATAGAAAATACCGTCCGTGCAGTTCCATCAGAGCTGAGATGTTTAGTTTCTCTGTGAGATTGAGGCCTGAAGGCCGACCTCCTTCACGAGAGGACCCGGTGTGCGGGTGAGACGTGCGTCCCCCCCTCCCCTCCCCCTCTGCCGTACTCACAGCCTGCGTGGACAGCATGTCGTTGATGGAGTGGTCGTACTGCTCGGCCAGGATGGCCAGCTTGCGAGTCTGCTCGTCCTTCAGGCGCTTCAGCACGGCCTTGTGGTCCGACTTGGGCGTGTTCTCCAGCAGGTGGTTGCGCAGCGCCTTGTACTGGCGGGTCTGGATCTTACAGGTGTCCTGGAACTGACGCTTGATCTGCAGCTCTTTGGACTGGAGGAGAGAGGAGAGAAGGAGGCAGCTGGGCCAGATGAACACGGGACACGCAGAGGGATGTTCAAGGGAAAATCAAGAGGAAGTTTATGTATTTTATTGTGCACATCTTTGTATAAAATGTGTCGTTAGGAATTTTAATATACTTTTACATCAAGCTGCTTAATTGTTGTATAGAATAGTTATATTCAGTCGTGGTGGTAGTAGTGGGCTTGATTTCAATTCAAAAGAGAATTTAGTTTAACTATTAAAAAAGCATTTGAGTTGGATCAGAGATTCTGCTTTTATCAGATGTATGAACCAAACATTTCAGATGTAAAAGCATAATTGAAATGGAGCCGAGGACATTACGTTGCAAACTGTTCCTCTTAACGGTTTGTAAATCTCCTTTATGTTTGGATGTTTTTAATGGTTTTATGTGAAGCACTTTGAATTGCCTCTTTGTTGAAATGTGCTATACAAATAAAATTTGCCTTTAACATAAACAGGATTACTGTGTTCTAATTTAAATGTCAATTCAAACAATTACAATTTTTTTAATAGTCTATTAGACCAGGTTGAAATCATATCTTTGCAAGTGAATAACTGTGAATTAATTTAATAGACTCCTGCAGATGGTTGAATTGTGTTGAATATAAAAGCGTGAAAATCTAAATTTGTCCACTTCATAAAAATTAAATTGATTTGGCTTGTGAGACGTAGGAAATAGAGAAAAGTTAAAATAAAGAATATTTAAACCTCGTCTTGGATTAGAAAGTCCTGCTGCAATGAAAACCCTGTCGGGTTTGTTTTTTGTGACAGATGACAAAGGGGGAGGGGGCACTGACAAAGGGGGAGGGGCCACTGACAAAGGGGGAGGGGCCAGGGACGGAGATCAAACGAGTGATAACAGGAGGAAAGATGGACAGAATGATAAAGGGATCGTCGCACAAATCAGGGCGAAAAGAAAACCAATGGGGACAACGTGCCAATAATGGAAACAAAATCATAAAAACAAACAAGACAATGATTTTCACACAAAAATATTTATTTTTTTTGTATAAAGAAAAAAAATAATTAAGAAGTATAACAAATGATGTCCAACGCGTGCGATTTTTGCCTTACAGTCCGCCAACACTCATGCAAGACGAGAACAAAACCGGATGCAGTACTGATCTTAACAATATATTGCATTAAAATAAAACCATGGTGATGCAACTTTGTGGAAATGGTGTCACAACCAAACAGAATACAAACGTGTAAACATACACAGGAACAAGAAATAGCTGGAACACAAATTTAACATCAATGGCAAAATAAGTTACATTCAAATGAAACAATGTTTGTTGTGAAATGTCTCTTAAAAGCGGATTAAAGCAATCTGCAAAAAGCTCAAATCTCCTGTGAAATGCATTGCAGAGCACCTTCTTTCCACATGTTAAACATCTCCATCACAATTAAATATTTACGTTTGCTTGATTCAATACGTAGAAATCTGAGCTTTTTGGTGTTTGAGGCTACAAGTCTACTTAGTCTAGTAGAGTGGTGACAGATTAATAATTAAGAAGTTATGTTGCTTGTCCTTACGTCAACATAAACTAAATATCTTTGGTTTTGGTCAACATTCTTTCGACGTTTCATCGGCTCAACCACGTTAGATTTGTGGCTGAAAAAGAAATCACCATCAGCTGAATTTTGTTTGTTTTTGCACATTCATTTTTATTTTGTTATCGTCTTTGGAGCGGCTCAAAAATCCCGCCGATGTCTGCGATTACTAGATATGGTCTTTTTATACGACATCGTTAATCTAAACATTCACATTCAGTAGTTTTTATTTATTTATCTTTGGACTAAAAAATATTGCGTGTCTCAAAAGATTGTCGATATGGCTTCATATAAATTAAGCTACGCTGAAATATGAAATAGTTTATTATACTTCAACTACACCAAAGTATATCCTGCTTTCTTACTATAGATTAAGGATGATAGATCACACGCGACATTTGTGCAAACAGCGAGTAACTAGGCACTCAACTGCTGTGCGTTTATATGATTAAGGGGAAAACCATCTAAATGTTTACATGGTAAATCATAAAGAAAGATTGCATACAGCGCCACAATAATAGTACATCTAAGTAAAACCTGATAACGTATACAATGATGATCTGTTAACACGGGAAGAGCGAGCTGATCGGCTCTTTGTTTCTGCTAAATGGCCATAAACTTTATTCTTTTTGCTAAAATGACTATTTTCCACTTGGACTCAATATCAAATTTCCACAGTGGTCTCAGATGTTTCCGTCCAGCCGCTTATTGCACTTTTATACCGACTGAGGGATAGTGTTCAGGGTGATGGTAGTGAAGTCATCTGGTTTTTTTTGTTTTGTTCTTTTCACAGTATTTGGGGATTAAAATGAAGCTATGCAACATTAATATTTGCTCTGAGCACCAATAAAACAGTGCAACCTTCAAAATAAGACCACTATAAAGAAAACAAAAGATTGCACAAAACTGGTCTTAAAAATAACCGTAAAAAAATTGTATTTGTCTTACAAATTAAGAGCAAAACAATAAAATAAAGACTTTTACAAAAAGCACAATAATGAAAAACTTCAATGGTTTGGTTCAGTAACCGAGGCTTCAGCTGCAGGTTTACGTCTGCAGAGCCAAACAGACAACACGGCTCACACGCTACGTACACAATGTGTGCGTGTGCAACAACACATCTCATCTTTGAGAAACATGAGCAAAACTCCAGTTTGAGACGCTCCCTCACTTTCCCTTCATTTGGTCTGACGCTGTCGCTATCTCCACGGCCGAATCTTCCCCCTGACAAACCTTCCAGAGGGCGTTCTTCTCAACGCACACTCCCACTTCGCCTCCTCTCGGAAAAACCTCTCTTCCCTCCGCTGTCTCTCCCTCTCCCTCCCCCTCCGCTCCCTCTGTCTCCTCTCTCTGACCTCCCTGGGGAGCAGCTGAGGCAGCCGGCTCGGGCTCTCCTTCCTCAAGAGCCCCAGAGTTTGGAGGCGGTTTCGCACCTCGAGCGGCAGCTTTTTGAGGAGCTGCCCGGCCAGTTTCAGCACTACGGAGTTAGCCAGGTCCGCCAGGACCCCGAGGGGGCGTCGGGTGAACCGCTTCGCCCAGAGGAGGCCCTTGGCCACGGGGGAGGTGTTGCTGCAGCGAGCCTGGCACTCCAGAGGCAAGCTCTTCAGCCGCACGGGGATTTTGGACTGGCGCCCGCCCCAGTTGCGCCCCGCTTTGGGAAACATCTCGTAGAGGCTACGCTCGGCCATCCCACCCAAGACAGACTGGCACATTGCAAAAAGGGGCCGAGGCAGCCGGAAGAGCACGCGCATGCAGAGGCGGTTGACTTTGCGGGGTGCGTGCTGGAAGAAGTCGCGGGCCGGCCGGACGATCAGCACCACCACCAAGTACAGGGAGAGGAAGAGCGAGGGGGAGCTGAGGAAGGAGGCGGAAATCATTATCACGGGGATGTAATAAATCCCCAGACTCAGGGAGAGTCCCAGGCTGAAGAGGCCGCTGGCCCACAGGCTCAGCGACAAGAAGGTGGAGAGAGACAGGGAGCAGCAGGAGCGCAGGATGAGGTACGAGAAGAAGAGCGCCAGGAAGGCGAGCTCCGCGGAGAGGAGCACCGACGCCACCGAGGGCAGAGGGGGCGAGCGACGGAGCGACAGGAGGAAGATGGAGAGGAGCAGCAAGGTGAGGTTGGAGGGCTGGGCGGCGGCGGAGAGGGAGAGGAGAAGACAGATGGCGTGAGAGAAGAGCGAGGGGAAAGAGGTCTGTGCGGGGGGAGACGGGGGGGAGACGGACGGGGGCTCCAGCTCCTCGGCGGCGTCGGGGAAGTAGAACTCGGAGAGCTCGTCGATGGCTCGCTCGCGGAGACGCCTCCTCTCCGGGGACAGGGAGGAGATGAACTCGGACGGACAACCGTCAGCTACCCCCCTGCCTTCCTCTTCCTCCTCATCCTCAGAGTCTACATGTGCAGACTTGCTGTCCTCATCCTCTTCCTCCCACTGCACCCCCTCAACCTCCCTCACCTCTGCCCCCTCTTCGTCGACTTTCCACTCCTCGCTCTCATCCTCCTCATCCTCCTTTGTGTCTCTGCGCTCATCTAGCTCATCGCTCCTCTCAACCGCGGAGGCGCTCGCATCCGCTTCCCTCGTAAAAACCTCATCGCCTTCCACCCCCTCTCCGTCTAGCTCGCCCTCAACTCCATACATCTCCTTCGCCATCCCCTTTTCCAACTCGCCATCGCGCTCGTCCTCCCCCGCTAGCCCCGCCCCGCTGTCCCAGCTGCCGTTCGGCCCGTCCGCCTCCTGGGGGGACCGCTGGCCCGGCCCGCTCTCACTCACTTTGAGGCTCTTGGGCTGTTGGCGGACCTCCACGGCGTGTTTCTGACGCAGCTCCTGCTCGCGCCGCTTGTTGTACTCCATCTGGTTGGTGAGCTCCGTCTGGTGCTGCGTGCGGATCAGGTCGGCCCGCGTGCGCTGCACCAACCCCAGCTGGCGGAACTCCAGCTCCTGGGTGGACTCGTGGTGCCGATGGAGCATGGCGCACTCCAAGTCCTTCAGGGTCTGCTTCTTGTTCAGCTCCTGGGGGCGAGAGGGAGACGGGAAAGTAGCAGGAAGCGCGCGGTGATATCGTGAGGACGTGAAACTGAGAATATTGAGTCAATTTCTCATACATGTAAATAACTTGGAGGAGGAAAGTTCAAAAATCTGAGATCAAAATGAACCCAATGCAATTATCGATTATTTGGTTATTGTCCCACTCAGGGAGAAACACTAGAGCAAGGAAAGATGGGAATTTGCACGTAGAAAATAGTGCAAGAGGAAAGCAAAGAGTGCACCCAGAGTGCTACATGCTATCAGGCACACAGGAGATGTAGAAGGTTTTAGTCCTGAAACAACGTTCTGAGGATAAAGGTCAAATGGTCCTGGGAGTCTAATCTGGAATTCCCTGTAATCCCACCGGCCATTTTAACAAGACCGTAGTATATTATTGGAGGGATTAAGATTTCCAAACTGAGCAATAATACAAAAAGAGATTAAGAGATTGTCTAGAGATTAAAGAAAAGTCTTTGCTGGACCTTTTTAGAGGCACATCAACAAGCGACAGTTTGTCACAAAGAGAATCGTCAACACCTTTAACAACAGCTGGCAGGGCGCAATCCTCATGTCTTTGGTTTCAGACAATTTTAGGAGAAAAGACTCTTTTTGTAAGCTTCATTGAGACTGATCTGCTTGGATCTACTGGACGGCAGGCTGTTATTTATATATATATGGTTTTGGAGACTCTTTTGAAGGTGGCACCTCTCGGAGCAGGTCCTGCTCTAGGTTGTGGCGGGCCAGCAGCATCTTCCTCTTGTACTGGCGACATTGCAGCTCATAATACTGCCTCTGCCGCCGCAGCAGGCCTGCCTCCTCCTCCGCCTGCAGCTGCTGCAGACACTCCTTCTGATGCACCAACCACTCTTGTTTCTCTCGCTTTGGTGTCGACTGGTTCTCATTTAGTTCCTAGGAGACGAGCGGCGGTGAGCGGAAGGAAGAAATTAGCGTCAGCCGAAAGATCAGTGCCGTTGGAAAAGTGTTAGTATGATGCAGGATTTGTTTTAAGTTGCAGGGGAGCGATGAAAAGGAAACGTAAGCGCAGAAAGTTATGCAAAACAGAGAAATAAGTTGGCGGTTACAAAAAGGTAGAAGCACCTCTTTGAGCTGCTCTTTGCGCTGTCGATACTGGCGCTTCTGGGACTCGAGCAGTCCCGTCAGCTCCTTCTTTTGTTGGCCCAGTATGTGCTGCTGAAACTTCTTCTCCTCCGTCAGGACGGCCTTCGTCTGAAACAACCACGGCGACACACAAGCTGATTAACGTCAGCGAAGGAGGAAAAACACTCTGCAAACCAGATGTTTTTGGCAGGTTACAGATGTTCTATTAATTTCTCTAGTTGTCATGTCAAGCCGCCAGCTTCTCGACATGTCTGGCTCTCCCGTCTCGTCTTCCCATGTCCTATTATCACTCACTCACTCACCCTCCACCAGCTCACCTCCTTCTCCAGGATGACCTGGTGCTTCTTGGAGAGCTTTTCTCCCTCCATGGAGAAGCTGTTCCTCTGATTCTCCAGCTCCTTGTCCAGCCTCAGCTGGTGCTCATCCATCTCGGCCTTCAGCTTGTTCTCCAAACCCATCAGCTGCTTCTGGTGCTGCCGCCGCATCCGCTTGTACCTGTGAGGAGAGACGGGGCATTGAGCTGGGCCAGGAGGAACGTCGATGACTACCACGGCTCTCTGTCGCACTGCTGACGTTAAACATTAGACCACGGTTGGGTCCATGTTATAGAAAAAACAAAAAACGACTTCTTATAGAAATATGTGTCTCGCAGGCGCCACGTTACCCTGACATCTGCTCTCTGAGGGCGGAGCCTTGCTCGTGCTCCTGGATCTGCCGTGTGACCAGCGAGGCGGTCCTGATGGTGGCAAAATGGTCTCTGCCTCGACGCCGCCTCCTCTCTCCGCCGCCGCCGCCTCCTCCTCCTTCTCTCCCCCCTCCACCTCCTCCTCCTCCGCCGCCACCAGCGGCAGCGGATAAAGCTCCTCGTTGTGGGTCAACTTCTGGCTGATATGGATCATCGTAGATGTTGTCATGGCTCTATGTAGCGGGGAACGAGCAAGAGAGAAAAGTCAAAAGAGTGAAAGGTTGGTGGTGGCTTAAAGATCAGTCTGCTTCCATTTAAATGAATATTTAATACAATAACACTGAATCGGTGAAGATTGACTCAGGCCAGCAGACATTGTCATGTCTTCACTGCTTTTGCTATAAACTAAACTTCTATTTCCTGTAGGCGGTGCGTGCGTGAAGCGTGTCAGACCGCAACAGTTTGTCCATATCCAGTATTAGAGGGAGTCAAAGCGAAAATAAAGACTATTTACTTTTTTCTTTCTTTTTTTAACATTCTGGACACGTGTGTGAAGGATTGGTCACCGTGGGGATCGACACACCCCCACTCATCATTTTGGACTGACCAGGGGCTTGTGCAGCACGGAGCTGTTGGAGGTGACGGTGTGCTCCCCCTCCTGCATCATGGCCATCTCGCCGCTGTCGTCGGAGCCGTCTGCCAGGCTGTTGACCGAGCTGCTCTGGGAGCTGGCGCTGATGGACATGGAGGGCAGCGAGTGGGAGCTCTCCATGCTGTTGACGGTGCCGGTGCGGAGCATGTACTGCTCCGCGTCCTGCAGGGAGTCGGACAGGCGGTAAAATATTAAACAAGCCAACAGAGTGACACGGGCCTTCGCTCAGGTGCAAGCCCACATTCTCAGGATTCCGTCATTTCCTTTTCGGGGGAAACAACCAACTGGATTTAAATGTCGATGGAAACAAAGGCCTTTGTATGGAGAGGAAGGGGCCACATCCACAATATATGGTCACTAGTACAATACAAAGGCACGATGGCTGCTAGAACCAGTGGTTTTCCCTCAGAACCCGATACAGGCTTCTTCCTCAGATACAAAAAAAGGCAGCTAAATGTATTTTCTTGTGTTTGACCAGAACACCAACGTTTCCGTTACTGCGAGCATCTCACTGAAGGTTTTCACTTCTTTAAACGTTTTTGCAGTTCTCTTTTTTTTTTTTTTTTTTAAATGCGACACGCGGATCAGTCTCGCATTCAATCACTATTTGACAGCTGAAGCCAATAGAAGCTAGTAGCATCCATTTATCTATCAGTAACTTTACAATCTAACTGTTTTTTCCCTTCTTTTTCTCCCTCCTGCTCTATTGGCCTCTTGGTCGTCCTCCTCTTCCTCCCTCCCATTCGTACCTCTTCCTCATCTCCTCCTCCCTCCCATTCGTACCTCTTCCTCATCTCCTCCTCCCTCCCATTCGTACCTCTTCCTCATCTCCTCCTCCCTCCCATTCGTACCTCTTCCTCATCTCCTCCTTCTGGGGCGGGGCCGTTGAGGGCTTCGTGGAAGAGGATTTTCTTCATTTTCCGGTACTGAAGGTTGTCCAGCTCGCGGACAGCGTCCTTGGTGCGTGCGATCAGGTCCATCACAGCAGTCATGGGACGCTCTCTGCATAGGAAATGGTGCTGGGTGGCGAGAATGAAAACAAACAATGGAAACAAAATCATTAACGTCAGGAGCAGGTTCCACGTGTACCTTGATAAAACAAAAACACACCAACATGGGATGTTTTTGGTTTTGTTCAACCAGAATAAGTTAAACCTCAGTGCCGTCATGCAAATCATAATCTTTCTTCCCGCATTGAACCTCCACGCTCTGTTTTCCTGACTGATTCCTCTTAAGTTGAGAGAAAATAAGGGAAAAACAAATAACGCACTTCCACAAAAGGAACTGGCCTGTTGAGTCTGTACAGAAACTCAGAAATGTTGACAAATGTTATTCCTAAATAACTGAATTTGAGCACTGGAACAAAGAAAATATAGAAATATAACGTCTTTTTGTTGATTATTCTTATCAAGGAAAACAAAATTGTACATAACATGCTTGTCCACTAATTGTGAATCAGAGAACATTCAAATGTGATTATTCCTTCAATTGGTCACCGGGCTGAAAGCTTTTCTTATTCAGATTTCCGTTTGTTTGATCATAGAGATGATCTTTTACAAAGAGGTGGTCACACCCCGGCCTTCATGTTCAGCAGCACCCTCTGTACCTTCAGCAGCACATCAGAGGTAGGTCGGTCCTGGGCGATCTTCTGTAAACACGAGTCCACAAAATTCCGAAAATAGTCCGACCTGAAAGTAAAATAATTGTGATTATAACAAGTGCCAGTCCGAGCAGTCATTGTCTAAGAAAGCAGCTGGTAAATGTTGTTTTGACTAAAATACAGACCAATGAATTCAGGTGGTACTATTTCTTTATCAATTTATTCAGCCATGTTGAAAAAAATAAAAAGGCCTCAATATCACGAGATGCTATATTGTAAATAAACATTTACATCCTCTTATAACAAAACCAGCAGTGGCGTCTTGTGCGGCGCTCAGGAAGCTCTCACCAGTGATTCGACTGCAGCACGGGGCTCTCATTCTGGGCGATGTGGTATAAGGCACTCATCGCATTCATGTTGAACAGAGGAGGCTTCCTTTCCGCTACAGAGTGACAAAGCCCGACATAGCGTGAGAGATGAAGAGCGAGAACAAAACAACAACAACAAAACGAAGATCAAAGCAACAACCGAAGAAAAGGGTCGGACGCGCTCAGCTTTGTGAACACAAAAGAAGAAACGCAAACTGGGCCGTCTCTTACCCAGCTCTATGCAGGTGATGCCAAGTGACCACACATCCACCTTCCCATCGTACTGACCCTCGTCCATGGCGAGGATCACCTCGGGGGCCATCCTGCATGGAGGACACAACAAAGACAATCAACCACTTTCATCTCTTCTTCTTCTTTGATCCTGGACCGACACAACACCCCCACCCCCCCACCCCACCCCCCTACGCTGCATGAATAGACATAGACATCATAACGACGGCAAGGAACCGTTTGATATCGCTGGGAGAAACACCACGGGACGCCGTTATAAGAGACACATAAGAGCAAGGACGTAATGGAAACAAGAAGAGGCTTAGAGGAGTTAACGGACAGTCGATGACTTTATTTTGTATGCTCTGCCGAATCATAATTCTGTCTAAAACATCCTCCCATGACGACGAGGATGACACGAGTCTCACCAGTAAGGTGTTCCTACGAAGGAGTTGGCCGGGGCGACGATGGAGGCGGAGCCAAAATCTCCCAGTTTGACCTGACCCGGCTCGGTCAGCAAGATGTTTCCCGCCTTCACGTCCCTGAGAGAGAGAGAGAAATGATCAGATAGGAGACAATGACTGGTTAGGGAAATCATGAGGAAGACAAAACAAATACAGACGCATATATATATATATATATTAAAAAATGAGAGAGAGAATGTATTGCCGATGCGGCGTGCGAGTCGAGTTTGTACAGATGAACTTATACTCCAACTGCTGCATCATTCTCCAAAAAAGCAACAACAAAAGGAACTGAGTGGAAACAAAACAACAACCAGAGATGTGACCGTGGAGTGGAGGCCAAAGGCAGAAACCAGGCGCCATACTGGCGAGGAGGGAGTTATTATCTGTAAACTCTCATATTCATGGACTATTTTATTGCCCTTGTAAAGACCCAAGTCAAGTATTCACTGCCATACAAAGGTTGAGTGTCGGGCAAACTCTTTGATATGGCTGTACAAATATTTACTCAATTGAAGAAGGCTTTTGTATTAAAAGGAAGCCGGTCCTCTTTGTACAACATTTAAACAGGGCTTTTATCAGTGAACTATTGGGACAGTCACGCACACTAATTCAAAGAAACTGCTGACCGCTTGAGAGGTGCCTGAGCTGGACGGGATTACATCACTTTCTCACGCCGGCTTCAGACTAAATACGAGGAAGCACAGACTGTGCACAGTCTGTGCTTCCTCTTCTGTGTTAGCTTGCTCGCTGCTAAGAGGACGCGTGTGTGGGACGAGAGCAGCACAGATACAGAGAGCGAGAAGAGGAACGGAGGTTACCTGTGAATCATGTTGTGAGAGTGAAGATACCCCAATCCCTGCAATGCACCATGGGTTATGGCGGCTATTTCCACTTCCTGGAGGGGTTTCTTGTGGACTGGGAGGAGAGAGGCATCGAGGTGTATGAGGTATAGTTTAACTCATGGATGCATAATTACTCATTTGTCACCATTATTTCCTACTTACCTTCTAAGAGGTCAGAAGCTGAACCCAAGCAGTACTCCATCACCAGCTAGGAGACATACAGAGAGTTAGACTTAATGCTGCGATTTATCAGAGCGGAACACACAGGACCGTTTTCACACTTCACTGTGTTGGAAAAGACTCTTTTTGGAGTTCATGTTCTAAAAATGCACAAACACACACACTCACCCAAGCGGTGTGCTCTCTCAGGTAGCAGCCATGGTACTCCACGGTGTTGGGGTGGCGCAGCTTCTGGAGGAACTTCACTTCCTTGATGATATCCTGCCACTTCTGCAACATCAGCAGACATAGACGTTGATGAGCACACCAAACTGATCTCTCGTCTGCGAGCGTTCGCCGGGTCTTACCTCGTTGGACTGCTTGCCACTATAGGACATCTTCTTGATGGCCACCACCTCATTCGTGCGGATGTCATGGGCCTAATGAGGAAACGTTAGAGACAACAGATTACCTCTTTCAGTTCCATTCTTCTGATACTTTAGTGTGTCCATATCATGAGAGCAGCCGACGGAGAAGAAGTGCATACAACTCACATCCATGAAGACGACAACACGTTGAAGAAAGTGACTTACGAAGTAGACCGCTCCGAAGCTCCCATGGCCGATCTCCCTCAGGTCCGTGAAGAGCTTCTCGGGGTCCTCCCTGAAGAAAAGCTCGGCCACCTCCGGGTCCTTCAGGCTCCCGGCCCGCACACTCGAGGGCATGGCCAGCGCCTGGCGAGCGTGGAAGAGGGACACTCGGTTATCGTCGACTATTGGAAAGGATCGAAAACACCAGCCGCCTTGGAGATGTGGTCACCCGTTTAATTGCACCAATGTCTATATTCCTGTTTAGTGTAAGCATTATGTATTTAATTGTTTTTTTATAAGCAGCCCTCAAGAGATATGAAAAACACTTTAGGTTTGAATCACTTTGGTTTGGTTCGAAATGTGTGTTCTGCTCAAAATTTGCATTTTAACTGTCGGAGTCCACAAAAATGCAAATGTGTGCTGAATCATATGAGCTAGAAATGACGATCCATCCACCCACCCATTCATTCATTCATTCATTCATTCATTCATTCATCCATCCATCCATCCATCCATCCATCCGTCACCCATCCATCAGTCTCTCTAGCAGAAATATATGGCCGAACTGTTTAACTGAATGATGAACTGAACATCTCTAAATCTGGGTTTAACACTTATAAAATACTTATTTCAGCAGATGATAAAAAGCGGCTTTAAACGTCCGTGTGTCTTAAATACACCTGTTTAATACATTGCATAATGCTTCCCAGCAATCAAAATGTCTTTTGAATTGATTGCAGATGCACCGTTCTTTTCCAATGGCAAATATTTTATCTTCCTGGTAAAATAAGCGTTGAGCATTAAGACAAAATGCTTCACACGTTCGTGGCTCAGCAAGATAATCATCTATGACAATATATTTTTTAAAACACAAACAAAAACTTTGTGTGAGAGTTGTGACTGATCAATAAACATTTAACAGCATCGGCCTCGTCGACGTATCGCTGGAGCTCTGCTACAAAAGAGGCAGCAGCAGGACACTATTTGATCGGTTTGTATTATTGGTGATATGACACTACATAGCCAGACATAAAATACATGCAGGTATCATTATGGGTTTTTTATGTTGACACATACGTCCCTTGTTTTCTGGTTGTTTATTTACATTTGTATCTAAATTTGTTGATGTTTCCGTTTTGCAAATCCTATTTGCATTGAATATGATAACGAATCACCGGCCGTAAATGAGTGATTCTTACATTACTGCACTGAGATTATCCAACTAGATGTGCGCCACTAGATAAAGGGTTGACATAACACCACATATTTGTACTTGCAACAGAAGCCTGTTGAGACCTTAACGTTCTTACGCTTCTGTGTGTGTGTCCACGTCAGACAGGAGCTGCGTGGTGTTTGTGTTCTTCCGAGTTTGTACCCTATGGTTGAATGCACTTATTGTAAGTCGCTTTGGATAAAAGCGTCAGCTAAATGACATGTAATATAATGTGTGAAGCTCTCAAGTCAACATGCTGGCACATACGGTTCATGTCAAATGCTTAAGAGTATTTTAAGTGGCCAGTTACTGAACAACCGGCGCCAGATGAGACGTTTCTTTCAAGGCCTTTATGCTGCTGTCAAAAGAGGAAGCACGTGGTTCCCTTTGAGGAAGAGAAGTCGATCTCGCAACAAAGCTTTTGAGAAGCCATGTGCACACCAGAAGAGGTTCTCTCTCCATCCTATATGCCATCTTACCCCCTGGCAGCGCCCAGGGCGTATTCTGGAAATACAACATGTTTATTAGCATTGTCTGGTGAGACAGAAGTGATCACCTCCAGGAGAGCTTGCCATCAGTGTCGTGCACAGTTTGCATCTCAGCTGAGCGAGCAGGAAGGCTTCTGCACTCGGCTGGTCAATTAGGCTATCGTTGCTGCGGCTCACCGAAGATAACGCGCATGACATGTATTCAACAGTGGACGACAACAACAACTTAGGGACGGCTGTGTGTGCAGGCTGCCGGCCAACAACATGCCTACATGTCAACGTCTCAGGGGTCTGACGGTTTCCGATTCATCGTGGTATTCTTCCCCCTGCAAAGAGGGACGCAGAGGCCCAATACGGTTGCTCTAGCAAGGAGTGCTGAATGATTTATAACATGTCTTACCGTGGCTTACTGGATCCACTGCAGCTAGCTCAAGAGCTAGCTGACCGGCCTGGCAGGAAAATATTGGTCTCACTCCCCTTTCCCCGGCACTTGGCGACTATTCAACACGAACAAACCGCATCCTGCCCGTCGATGCTTTTACTCAAAGTCCTCTCCATCCTGGTGCTCCCAGTCAATCGGACAGCCGGCAGGTCTGCAGGACTTGACATTAAGTAGAGAGGCGGTCGATTAAAGTGACAGCTAGCCGACTGACGCCTGCCAGCTAGCCAGCTAGCTAGCGGAGTATCAGAGCGGTCTTCCAGAGGAAAATCAGAAGCTAGCTCTGGCTGCCGTTAGCAGCGCGGCTAACTTAAATAACGTCACGCCAGGAGCCGCCCGGGACGTTTTCACGGGGAAACCGACTCGTTAATCGCCACGGGTCAGCTCCGCTGTGTGCCGTCATTACGTCAGTGCTGTCCGTGTATTTCATCTCCGGTTCGTGTTGTGCCCATTTTTGCTCGTGCCTCGTCCGTTTTTGTTCAGGACTTCACGATGGCGGAGCGGGGCGGGAGCCGAGAGGAAAGCGGAAGTGCTCTTCTTCTTCTACGCTTCGGAGGTAATCAACGACGCCCCCGCCCGGCCGAGCGGGCTCACAAATACACCAACGTGATTTAAAGAGTAAAAAGTAAATACATCACCCCAATTCATTTAGGCCTTTTCTGACAAGTCTAATGTATCCATAATTATACAACTCTTGAAAATAAGAGTAAATGTGTCTTCACGAGAAGTTTTTAAATCCAAACCAAATTTAAAGCTATTTCAGAAAATGTGTATATTTGACCCAAATAATGACAAAGTAACCTTTTAAAAATAAAAACCTGCCATTTTAAGAATTGATTCTTGATTTATCTAACACAATAATATAGTTGGGATTAACATAGTGACAAAAGAGTCGTAAATTTAACAAATAACTATTAGTATCAAACTATTACCACTACTTGAGGCACCCATCCACTTTAATAGTGACACATGTTTGGCAGCAAGCCTTGTTAAGTATTGTACACTGCATCACAAACTACTGACGATGCTCGTGTTCATTAACCAATGTCACAGATGACAGAATGTCATTTGAGTTTAGCCGTAAAGTAAACTATCTAGCCCTAATATAATTGTTTTTAATTCCTATTTATATAAAAACATTTTGACCGTTTGACGTCAGTTAAGTCAATCATCTCTGCACGCGCACAGACACTCGTCATCGCAATCACACATATGGCTCTTTTGTCTGAGCCTTTCATGATCCGCTCAGTATAATCTCTGCATTGTGCACATTTAGCTAACTCACATACACACACGCACACGTCCATATACATACATATACAGATATATATAGATATATCTGCTTCCTGCTTACAACCCTCAGCCAGGTTAGGGTGGTGCCTGCTGCGCCCCACTCAGCAGATATTATGCCATAGCCACGGCTTTGCAAAACCCCACAGCTGGCCCAATGCAATGAGGGCCGGAATGCCAAAAGCGTTGCTGGCTTTTGCGGTGGATTATAGCTGTTATGTAAACTGATTTATCTGAATTTATATAACAGGGAAGCAGACAGAGGGGTTGAGGTCGGGCCACACAAATAGTGTCCAGACCCGGCGCAGAGGTGTTTCAGCTCAGCCACTGGAAGAGGAGACTGACCGTGGGGCTTTAATCCCTGACATTGTCATCGGGGTATTTCATGAAGGAAATAATCCTTTATTTGGTTTTCTCCACACATATGTAACCAATACCCGTGCAGATTATCACACACTAGAATTTTAGCGGTAACTGGCACGAGGCTGTTAAATAGATCACAAATCAATTTTTGGGGTTTAATGTCTTCAAATCAATAGGGGCTTTAACAACAGACAGAGGACCTGACTAAGCCGCTCTTCTTTTAAAGTCTAACTCTCAAGTTTTGTCTTATCCTATTTTACTTTACATAAGTGTGTACGGTCACTCTTGGAAAATAATGCTTTTCCAATTAGGAGTAATGCATTTAACCGTACAATAGATGAGTGTCTCGGTCCAGAGGGAACTAATAAAGGAAACTGTTATTGTTATTAGAACCTTGTATTTCTGAAGAGGGAATGAAAGCAAATCATTGAACATGATTATGAGGCGGTCTTTTTATGAGATGATTGTGGAGCATTTGTGCCGTGGTTGATGGTTGTCATAAAGGAAGAAGACATTTCCGCAATTAATATATTCCTACAAGCATATAGAATGAGCATATAGAACGCATATAGAACGAGCCGTGGGCTCGGATGACAGTATTATTTTATTATTTTACAATGTCACGTCGACCCCCGCCGCATCCCTCCGGCTCAAAGATGCTGAACGTCAAACCCGTGGCTCCGCCCCCGTCTCTGGATGCAGCCACACCTCCTTCATACAACCTCCCAGCATCCCGGCGGGCCGGGCAGACCAGCTGGACACAGTGAGAGACGGGACTCCGGGCGAGGAGGAACTAGACTGAAGCTTAAAGAAGCACGAGGAAGACCGACGCCTCTCTGAACTGCAGGTCAACTAACCGCCGCTTCTTGGATTCCAGGGTCACATATAATGCGCTTGGCTTAGGAAAAGAAATCTAACCGGGAAAAGGTGAGCACAAATGAGCAGATTCTTATTTTCCAAATGTTTTTTTAATCTAATCTTACTATTTTCTTTTTCTTTCATCTTCTTATGAATCTATTGGAGTTAGGAAGTATTTTCACAATGTTAGAAAATGCAGACACGCGAGCACACGCTTTGAACGCAAAACACAGGGTTCAATCCCACAGCGGGAACAAAGCCGGCTCAATCTGTCTTAATCCCGACTTCTTGGCTCTGGCACAAACCCGCAGATCTGCATCATGAGGTCATAAAGTGTCACAGACTTCATGACTTTTCATAACCACATTTCCCTCCTGCAGACATGAGTTTGGGGGCAGCGTGCATCTTCTTGCGAGGAGGGAAAAATATTGTGAGTAGAGGAGTAACAATCTTTTTCCTATAATTTCATTTTCATGGGATTGTGATGATGTTTGAGAAAGTTTGATGGATTCATAACAACCAGAGATGCACTTTCTGTAGGCTTGTAGGAATATATTAATCAATAAAAATGTATTGTTTTCTCTCTCTGTGCAGTCAAGAGAACTGGCCGATGATGAGATTGATGGTAAATTAAATTCTCTACAATGACTTCATCATAAACGCACATCGAGTTCATCTACTTGTCAATCGCCACACAGCCTGAACTGACTACCTTTTTACACGCCTCTGCAGAGCTGCGCGAAGCGTTCAATGAGTTTGATAAAGACAAGGACGGGCTGATCAGCTGTAAGGACCTGGGGAACCTGATGAGGACGATGGGCTACATGCCCACGGAGATGGAGCTCATCGAGCTGAGCCAAAACATCAACATGAACCGTGAGTCCCTGCAGGCCAAAGACCCACCTGCTGAAGTAAATGACTAATCAGACTTTGGGGTTTTTGTATAATAAGATTTATTTGTAGATGTATAACTTTTTTTGAAAGGTACACACACAATATGTATTCAAAGAGGGGCCTCTGGGTGAGTCTTGTTGGTTTAATTGATCTGTTGAATAAATCCAGTAATCGATTATTGGACAGATAGTAGCTCGTTTTGATTCAGGATGAGTACAGAATGGGAGAAACACAGAAGAGCCCCCGGGGAGAGTCCTGAATCCATTGTCGTGATTTTCACTGCAGTCGGGGGCAAAGTGGACTTCGAGGACTTCGTGGAGCTGATGGCCCCGAAGCTTCTGGCAGAAACGGCCGGGATGATCGGCATGAAGGAGCTGAAGAACGCCTTCAAAGAGGTGAGGTGCAAAGATTTGACCGAGTCGCCCACCGCGATGCCACGGTTTAACCCCCGGGCCTCACCCTCTTACGCTTGTCTGCTCAGTTTGACATGGACGGAGACGGAGTGATCACCACAGAGGAGCTGCGCTCGGCCATGAGCAAGCTGATGGGCGAGCACATGAGCCGCAAGGAGATCGACTCCATCGTGAAGGAAGCAGACGACAACGGCGACGGCACGGTAGACTTTGAAGGTGCGTTTCAGCTCGACGTGTCCACGATGGTCTTCTGGACTAATTTCTCACTAAAACAACCGCGCTCTGTCTCTCTGCTGCAGAGTTCGTCAGGATGATGTCCAACAAATGACGGTTGAGGAGGCTGTCGATCGAGAAAGTACCGTTGCAGCTCTACAGGCGTTAATGTCGGTGGCGTCTTTCTACAAAGAATTGTTGGCTGTATGTTACAACGGACAAGTAATCATTTTGAAAATTGGAATGAAGTGCTGCAAAAAATAGAGTCAGTCAGAGGAGTCGGTGATGTCAACTCGATCTCAGAGAGAATTTTCCTTCTATGCAAAGATTAATTGATATTTCTCAAGATTATTGAACAAAAGTCCGTAAAATGAGTTTGATGGCATTTATTTCACATACAAAAGTAATTTTAAAGTATTCAATTTATGTCTTTGTGTTAATGTTATCATGCAAAAATGACATGTAAAGTCCTCAAGCATTCACTAAAATGTACATGTTTAGTATTATTCAGGCTGGGCTTGTTGCAATGTGTTGTTTTAACTCATTTATTTGTGGATTCATTCCAACAAATTGAATCCTGGGAACAGGTGTTTTTTTCCGGATACCTAAATAAAACATTGAACCATGTAAACTTTGCACAGCAGTTTTTGTTAGACTGAATGCGACTGAATCATTGCAGCTCGTGGTTTAAGTGGTGACCTGTCGCTCGTCTGATGTGCAACCCAGCATGACTCTACTACTTGCATAATAGCACAAAACTCCCTGATTATATAATAAATCTTCAAAATGGGATTTGGAAACCAAAAACATCAGCAAGCTGCTGCACCATCTGGCAATAGTTTGGGTTTGAACAACTTCCCTGAACTGGCTTTGGCGGGACAAGGAGATTAAGAGATCTCATACTGCATAACAGTATTAGTATTTTCTGCCAAAAAGGTTCAAAATATGTTCTGATGGAGGGCGATCATGAATGACGTCTAAGCCGTTTTTTAAACAGGCAACACCCACAAAGTTTTTAATGGTTAGGAAAATGTAGAAACAGAGGCAGAATGTGAGGAAGAGATAAATAGCATTAAATCTTGTAAAAGCATTTACAAGTAAAAGTATAATGAATGTAAAGGTATTTTATCTGGAGCAGCATCCAGTGCACATCCATCACATTTAGTCTCAAAATTGCATTTTTTGCGCATGCACAAATTTCCCTTCCCGCTGTGCGAACAGAACACCTGCTCCTTCTCCAGCAGCGGCAAACTGACCCAGAGTCAGCAGCGCTCAGATTAAACACACATGTGTGCGACCTCGCAGCCGCCGCGCGGCAGCCAGACAGATGTTATTGCGTGACATCCGTGGCAGGTCTCAAATGGGGGGACAGATTGGACACGGGGGCTTATAGTACCAATTACCAAAAGGGACGCTGCTGTTGAACCCGCATCTGTCAGCAGCACTCCACAGATTGTGCACTACGTACAACTCCGGCAATATGCTTAATGCATGCGTGAGACATTCTCAGGGTTCAACGTGAATTGTGAAGGATTTATATTGCTTAATGCGTTGGGATCTGATGTTCTGGGTGTTTTGATGGTGAGATCCCATTCGGTACCGAGGAGCGTGAAGAGAGGTCGACGGGGGCAAAGGAGGAAGCAGATGATGTAATTCTCGCTGATCCTCCCCTGATCGGGGCCCGACCTTTATTGCATTAATCCCCAATAATCTCTCCGTCGGCCGCCCTCCGACTCGGTTGAGAGGTAGCCACTCGGCAGCGGCTCGTTGACATGCATGAGAACTGCGGTTTAACCGATCACCGCAATCATCGTTGATGCAGTCCTTTGTTTGTTTGTTTTTTGATTTGTTTGTTCCAAAAATCTCTTTTTGCTGAGATGTTACACGCTGGGTTTCTGATGAGTTCATGCGGTTCATAAAGGTCACCTTGTCTTCTCCTGCTCACAATTAGCTGTAAAACATTAAACCTCACACAGCAACCCTTTATGTTTGAGAAATATAAAAGACAATACTATTAATGAAATATTCATCAGATTAATCTGATTAAATCCATCTTGAAGGAAACTTTTTGTAAAATGTCGTTGTTAATAGTTGTAGTAAAAGAAAACGTTTATCCAACATGAACTTAAATTCTGCTGAACTGAAGCGATTTCAGTCTTTCCATAGACAAATAAAGGAAATACTTTGAACCAAGAGGTCTAAATAGGTCAAAAAATATCTTCCTGTCACCGGTGGTGGTGGTGTCGAAGGCCAACGAGGACCCGCTGGAGAGGTCTGACCGCCTCAGAGCCATGTTTTGATTGGATAAAATCAAAAATGCCAACAAAAGCACCTTCCACTTTTTCTAATGAAGCAGTTTAAACGGATGTATTTAAATATTTGTGTCTCATGTAATGATGAAAAGTGCTTCCTTGGGTGCATGTTATTCATGTTATGTGATTCGGTCACAGCCTGAATGAAAGTAGGTTCTCTCTGATCCCAAAAGATGGTCCGTGGGCATGTTGGGTCAAACATCGATATCCTCAACCTGCATAAGGCCATGCGAGGGCTGAATATAAAGCATTTAACCTGATGCATGTTTGCGTGCAGAGGATTTATTTCCTGACCCCATAGTGGGATTTTTTCATATCCTTGTAATCTGTGACATCAAGTGTGCCCTTTGTGGGCGTAGATCGAGCATTTCAGAATCCACAAATGCTCCCTGAAGGGAAAAATATTTGCATCTGGATGACGTAAAGCATAATCTCCATCAGATTAAAAGGCTTAATCCTCCACATTACATACGTTGTATATTAAAATGTGTACATGGCAAAACAAACAAACATATACTTTCGAAGCTTTAGAAACATTATGAAGCTGTATTTGTATGATTTTTACGTTTATTTTTAGTTATCTTTGGACGAAGAAGTGAAAATGTATTGGGTCGAAAATATGATGGAAAAAAAGTCAAAAAATGTTTTGAAAAAAGAAAAAAATATGGTAGGTCGAGAAATATCATGGACAAAAAAGTACATTTTGTTAGCTCGATTAAATTTTTGCTTTTTAAAAGTGAATATATGGTAAAAAAAAAAAAGTTTCATGGAGAAAGATGATACTAGGTCAAGAAATGTCTTTAATAAAAACGCAAAATAAGTTAGGTCGAAAAGGGTCATGGAAATAAGTAAAAGAAAAGTGGAAAAACGTTTTATTTCTTTTAACTTTGCCAATTTGCCGATCAAACCATCGCGCTCCGCCTTCACTTCCGACTGGCCAATCAAAACAACGCGTTTAACAGACGGAAGCCGGAAAGGGACAAACGTGTTTTGCTCTCGTAGCTCAGGAGAAATGTGTACAACCAGAGACCGCAAGTAGTCTTCAAACTTTACTGTCACAGGCAAGCGAAAATTTGCTGCGTTCACCGGCACACACATCGATGCGTGCGCTGTGTGTTTTTAAATAAAGCGCAGTCATTTCCTCCGTGTTAGCGGCTAATGTCAGCTAGCTCCGCTGTTAGCCGCATGCTAACCAGCAGCTAGTCACCATATGGTTGGATATCATGTTACATACAGAATGTTTAAATAGCGGGACATCACTTTATTCTTAAAACAATATTAGGCTCCAGGTCCAGACATTTTTATTTTATACCGCATTATATCTAGATACAAAGAAAGTTTGTGGGTTAACTAAATTATGAAGGAAGGCTTTGTGAACTTTTCTTTCTGTCCACACAGGTCTCCACTGATGTCCCCCGGATGTAGAAGCCTTTCTCGGACATTTTTCTCCCTCAGCTATCCGAGGCGTTGCACCTGGAGAAGTTTGACCTCCAAGGCTGCTCTCTGCTCCTCTGCCTCCGCAGTTTCCCCCACACCTCCACCTCTCTCCCCCACACCTCCACCTCCCTCCACTGCCCTTTACGGCCACTGCCTCCTCTTCACGGGCCAACGAGCTTCGGCCCCCCGACGCTCACCCCCTCCTCGCCTCCCTCCCGCCCGCCGCTTCTCTCGTTCTGCTTGCCCCCCCGGCCCGATGGAGCTGAAGGAGGTTCTGCAGGTGCTGGAGCAGCTCGCCCCTCTGTCTCTGGCCGAGTCGTGGGACAACGTCGGCCTCCTGGTGGAGCCCAGCGAGTCCCGGCCCGTCAAGACCGTCCTGCTTACCAACGACCTGACGGACGCCGTCATGGACGAGGCGGAGGCCATGAGCTGTGACCTCGTCGTCTCGTATCACCCGCCGCTGTTTCGGCCGATCAAGCGCCTGGTTCAGAGAGACTGGAAGCAGAAATTGGTCATCCGGGCTTTGGAGGCCCGGATGGCGATCTTCTCCCCTCACACGTCGTGGGACAGCGTCAAAGGAGGAGTGAACGACTGGCTGGTCGGGGGACTCGGTGGGTGGAAGATGTGTCACACGCACACCTGCAGGTTGCAGGACGTTAATCTGACCACGCGTCCTCCATCTTGTCTCTTTTACCATCTCTGGTGTCCGTCTTTGACTCTCAGGTAGCGGGCAGGTGTCTGTGCTCAGTCAGGCCGCGGGCGCCGCCTCCCAAAGTCACAAGCTGGAGTTCACCGTGACGAGCGCAGAGGAACTACACGGCGTCATGGAGGAACTGAAAGCTTGTGGCAGTGAATCAACGCTGCAACATTCGGCCAACAGGTTCCATCTTTTAATCTCACTGCAGAGAATTTACAGAACATAGAATAGGTTTCTGATTACAGTCCTCCAGCTTTACTGCAGCAGGAAAACCCACTGAAACTTTCACAACGGAGCTATTTTAAAACCTGCCCTTTTCAAGGTTGTGAAAGCTGTGTTTGTGTGTCAATATCTCGTAATGAGGAAGCCGACGCCGCTGAGGTATTCACAACAACCGGCCTGCGTTTATTATTCTGCGGCGGATTTGTAGAGCTAATTAGCTCGTGAATGCAATTCCGCGGTTGACTTTCACACCTCGGAGATCAAAGACGCCGTCCCCAGCTCCAGTAGCACAACGTTGACACCTCATAAAAGTCCCGACGCCCTCCGAGTGATTGCCTGCTCAAGTGTGGACTTTCACAAAACACTGAAAAGAACATAATCTAGTTATCTATGTTAATGGATTGGTCGTAATATAAGGTATACCAAAATTGTAGATAAAGAAAACAACCCACTGATCACCGCCGAGGTCCTTCGCGCTGGAAAGTAATGGTTCATTTCCCCTGTTAACAGACCAGATAACGGCGGCGTCCACGTCAGCGTTACCTGCAGCGACTCGGCGCTGACCCCGAGTGTCCAGACTCTGCTACGGCACAACGCCGCCAGCCACTCGCTCAGCATCCTGAAGTTAGAAAAGGTACAACAGGGACATCGAGACATTCTGCCAGTTAGTGTTTGCACAACCAACGTTTTAGTTTCAGAAATTAGGAGGAAAAACAAAAGAGTTAAGGAGGAAACGGAGATATTTATCCTAAAGTCCTGGCATGAACAGTATGTTTCCCTCCCTGCAGCCGCCTCTCCCGGGCCACGGCCAAGGACGACTCATCGCTTTGGACCAGCCGGTAACCGTGGCAACAGCCGTCCAGAAAATGAAGTCCCACCTGGGTTTGAGTCACCTCCGCTTGGCCCTGGGCTCCGGGCGGACGCCAGGTAACGAACCCTCACGGCATTGTACCGCTGTTCCACGTCAAAGGGATATGAAGAGTTCAGCCCGACGTCCTGAATACTCAATACTTAAAAATCCTATGGAGCTTATGGGATAACGAAGCTGTGTAAAAGTGTGCGGCAGTGAGTCGTTATTGTGGTTTCCGGCAGAGTCCTCGGTGTGCACGGCGGCTGTGTGTGCCGGATCTGGGGCCTCCGTGCTGAACGGGGTCACGGCAGACCTCTACATCACAGGTGGACATCTCAAGCATTATCACGAGCTTCATTCGAAACGATTCCAAATAATGACTTTCGTCACTTTGTCCCTTGGTCCAGGCGAGATGTCCCACCACGAAGTGCTGGACGCGGCGGCGGCGGGAACCAGCGTCATCCTCAGTGACCATAGCAACAGTGAGCGCGGGTTTCTGGCCGTGTTCCGGGAGAAGCTGGCCGTGCGTCTTCCCGACAGTGTAACGGTGGCGGTGTCGAAGGCCGACAGGGACCCGCTGGAGGTGGTCTGACCGCCCCGGAGAGACGTTTTGATTGGACGAATCTGATGGAGCGGTTGAAGCAGATGTGTACGATGCGATTACGCTGCCCAGCAGCCGTGAAGAGATTATTTAAAGATCTGTGTCTCATGTAATGATGAAAAATGCTTCCTTTGGTTCATGTTATTCCTGTTGTGTGTTTCTGCCACGGCCTGAAATAAAAACAGGTTTCCACAAACGTTCCCTAAAAAGGAAGAGTGTTTGCATCCGGATCACAGAAACAATAATCCGATTAAAAGGCGCGTCGTTCCCTCGCGAACACGCTGTGATGCAGGAAGTGTTCAAACGTCTGAGGCAACATCGCACATTTAAATACAAATCCCCCCCCATGGTGTGTTTTTTTTTTTTTTTCTCTGACCTTTAGGCCTCAGTGAGCAAATAGAGGTGGATATCAAACGACTTCCCACGTAGATGTTAGAGAGCAGGCCGATGGTAACACTGAATGCACTTTAAGCAGCACGCCCCCCCCCCCCCATCCAGCGACGGCGTGAAGAAGAAGGAAAATAAAAAGCAAACAGACGAGTAACAGTCCTCATCACGGGCTGTTAGGGAGTCCGCCGGCCGACGCACCTGTCGGCCCCTAAAAACATTTAAGACACCTCGCCGCTCCCCGCCGGGGTGAAGGCTTCTGTCTCCGCGTGGCGTTCACACCTCCGCTTCCCCTCAGACCCCACCGCCGTTTATCCCCCTCCGACACGCACGCGGTCACAGATGGAGAAGGACAACAGCAACTAGAACAACATTTATCCTTCACTCCTGTGAAGTGATTCCAGCTGTCGCGCTTTGCCTGAGCAGGAACGTCTGTGAGCAGGTAGACCCGAGTTTTATTAAGTATCAGATCGGTTATTCTGTTTGACCCCTTTTAGTTACAAAAGCTCTGCTTTAATCCGCTGCTAACCAGCATCTATGGGCAGTTTCCCTCCAAAAAGTACCAGATTACCGCTTCTAACCCTCTTAAGACTTGTCGCGATCATTGTTACCTAAAGGGCTTTTTGCAGATAACACTGCCATTATTTAGCTCGACACATAAATGAAATAGTGTGTTCTCTTCAGCCATTTCACATTTCATCAAATCAAAAGAATAAGCTCTCTCTTTAATCAAAATGTTACTGCATCAGTCATCAATCCTTCCCATAACACCCATGATGTGTACTTTTACCTGAGGTACCATTTGTTTTGACTTCTTGAGTATCAATTAGATTTTTAGTTGAGTCTTTCTGACTAATGGACACGTCGTGTGTGGTCGGCTCACCAAATTACGCTCAAGTGACTGTGAATTTGGACCGACTACGCAGCAGTTCTAGTGTTCAATATGGCAGAAGAAGGATGACTTTAATACCTTTAGACTTTAAACCTGTAGACACCAAACTGCAGCCATCGGCCAAACTGTCTTCCTCTTCCAGCTTCATCCAGGGAGCGACTCCCCGCTGAGAGGAAAAAACATGTCGTCAGGTCATCAGACAGCCGCGGGGGTCCTGCCAGTAAACTGCTAGATTTATGCGTGTGTGTGTGTGTGTGTGTGTGTGTGTAAGAGGCTTTTACAAGTGAATCAGCATTACTACACAAAGTCCAGGTAACAAATCACATTTGATTCACTCGACACACAAACTGACTAAATGCTGTGGTAACAACTCAAGATGAGTTTGCGTCGTGATTTGTTTGAGCCGGTCACCGTTTCACCATCGTGGTGTAAATAGAACCGTGTCAAAGTTCACAATCAAATATACTTATTATGTGTGGATTTGATTCCTGACGCAAAAGCGTGGAAGCAACATTTTACTGTTGCTGAAGTGGAGCCACTTTAAACTACTTTACGTAGTTTGATGTTTAACAATGCATTACGTCTCCTAATTAGACATTATTTTGGTTGCATGTGTAAAAATGATTAGTTATTAAAAGGCAAGATATTTGCCGCCAGTGAAAAAGAACAAATACAAGAACCAAAAGAAAAAAAGAACTGCACTCAAGCAAACATACTTTTCCTTCCTCTGCCGACATGAAACAACACGGATGCCACTCGTTTTCCGACCTGACAGCAAAGTAAACCCGAGATGTTGCAAATCACTTGTATGACCGTTGTTGTTTGTGTTTGTGGAGCGGGGGGGGGGGCAATGATGAGCCGTGCAAGAGAGAGAAAAAAGAAAAAGAACCCAAGGAAAACGCGAAGCCATTTGGCCTCGTGTGTGAAGCTCCACACACCTATTTAACCGAGCGGGTCCCCGGCGTGAGCCTCAGTACCACAGCAGAGGACAAAGACTAAGGACAAGAGAAAGGGACATTCTGAGGAGACGTCTCCGGTGCCACGGAGGGTTTATGTCACAAGATCTGCTCAAGGAAAGGAGACGACGAGAGTCGGAGGAGGAAATGTCCGTTTGAAGAGGACGAGGACAAGCAGAAAGCCCAAAGACGAAGATGCTGAGTGTGGAGATGTACCCCGGTTTGACCCATCAGAGGATGGGAGACTGCTTCTACAGAGGTGAGAGGGTGTGTGTGTGTGTGTGTGTACATGCATGCAGAATACATTAATGAAGTATGATGAAGCGTTTTGCATGTTTGCTTTACACCTCTGGGTTTGGCCTCTTTTTAATCAACTGGTCACGATAGAAATCGGATTCCAGATGTTTGCCGGGAACACCGGGTTATACTGGTACACATCCGGCCATTTACAGCGAGGTTCTTGTCCTTCCCACAGACCTTCCGTCTCAGACGTTCCCTTCCGCCTGCGACATGGCGGCCAAAGCTCTGCCCCAAAGGCTGCTGCCCCCCCCGGCCATCCCCAACAACCCAGCCGCCAAATCCCCCACAAGCGAGGTCAAGGTGGAGCTGGAGAACGCGCACTTGTGGAAACAGTTCAGCTCCGTGGGCACGGAGATGATAATCACCAAGAAGGGCAGGTGAGTGAGAGTCAGCGAACTTTGACCCCACTGCATGTAAACTTCCTCCTCCTATAATGTTAAAACGTCCGTAACCGCCGCCCCTCCTCCTCCTCCTCCTCCTCTCAGACGGATGTTCCCCGGGCTCAGGCTGAAGCTCTCGGGCCTGAACCCGTCCCTCCGCTACATCCTCCTCCTGGACATCGTCCCGCTGGACAACGCCCGCTATCGCTTCCAGGGCGGCGGCTGGCAGGCCGTTGGGGGGGCGGAGGCCAAGCTGCCGGACCGGGTTTTCATCCACCCGGACTCGCCGGCCACAGGGGCCCACTGGCAGAGCCGCACCGTCTCCTTCCACTGCGCCAAGCTCACCAACAACACGCTGGACTCCCAGGGACATGTAAGACCCCGCAGACGGGCCGAAAGACAGCGACGCACCTCGCTCGTCTCTGCGGCGCATTTGGAGTCAACGTCTCCTCTTTTGATCGCAGATCATCCTGCACTCTCTGCATCGCTACCAGCCCAGAGTTCACCTCATCGAAGCGAGGGACGTGCTGAGGTGGGGCGGAGCTCAGCGCTCCTTCGTCTTCCCCGAGACCCAGTTCCTCACGGTCACCGCCTACCAGAATAACAAGGTACCATCATACCACATCCACACGGGGGATGTTATCAATGACTGCTGTAGTGGACTCAAGGTTGCCGAGAGCATATTTCTCTGAGTAACGATGGAAACTATGCAGGAGATTCAAAGCACATCAACTGAGAGCCGAGAACAAGAGCGGTGCAACTTTTTGCCAACTGCAAAAAAAATGTTTTGTTTTTTTCAGATCACAGAGCTGAAGATCAACTCCAACCCCTTCGCCAAAGGCTTCCGGGAGGACGGCATGAACAGCAAAAAGTAAAACACGCCCCCCCCCCACGGAAGCACGTCACGCTGTTGCACACTCAGAATCTAAAGCGTCTATTTCCCTGCAGGCAAAGAGACGCGAGACTCAAGCGCAAAGTATCCGTCGTGGCCGACACCCTGGATATCGGTAAGCCCTTTAAATTCGACCCAACTCGACCGCTTCTCCCTGCACCGCCTTTGAATTGCCTCGGCCCTAAATACGCCGCGCGCCTCCACCTTTTCCCCCCTCAGCGAACTGCGACGCATGCGACTCCGCCGAGCTGCGGGCCGCCACCTCCAGCGCAGACCTGCAGGCCCTCGCTCTGGCCTCCCTCCCCCGGCTGCCCGACGGCCCCCCCTGTGGGTTCGGAGCGGACGGCGCCTCCTATCGGGACACTTTGGTCCAGGAGCATCCGCTTGACCTCGGCCAGGACTTCATGGCTTCTCAGATATCCGACATCGGGATCTCCATGGCCGACGGCATGCAGGACGCCCGGGGAAGTGAGGGGGAGGATCTTATGGTTGAAAGGTAGGCGTGCGGAAGGGGGAGGAGTTTCCTCCTGTGTCCATCTCCCCAAATTCATTAAGCAACAAATCGACACAAAGATGTTCATATAAATATATTTTTTCTTTTTCTCCTCCCCAGGTCGGACGCTGTCGGTGGACCAGCCTACACTTCCACTTTCTCCACTACCAGCTGCTCCTCCTTCCCTTCAGCTCCTCTTCCGCAGTCCTCCTTCTCCACCCTCCCCGTCCGTGACTCCTCGGATGCGTCCATTCCTCAGCCCATCGACTATCCCTCCATTCTCACCTCCTCCCCCGCCCTCCCCTCCTCCTCCTCCTCCACTCCCTCGCTGCACCAGACCTCCTTCACCTTCCCCACGCCGCCTCCCTCTAACTCCTCCTCGCCGCAGTCCCTCCTGTCCTCCACCTCCTCCCCCTGCGACGACACCTATCACACCATCCCGGAGGCGGAGGACTCCTCCTTTCCCGCCCCACCGTCCGCATGTCCGCCCGGTCTGCAGGCGGAGCCTTTCCCCAACTCCTCCGTCGACCAATGCGCGCCGGCATGGATCCACCCAAGCGTCCTGAATCCCGATCCAGCGACCGCTCAGCACCTCCACAACTACGGCCACCCGCAGGCCGCCGCCCTGCCGTGCTCGCACGGCGCCCCCCCCGCATCTTTCGCCTTCCCCGCCGTCCCCCCACACATGCAGAATCTGTCCTTTCCCAACGTGTCTCCCGCCTCGGCCCACCACGCCCTTCACCTCCCGAATCTGAGCCACCAGGCTCAGGGTTCGTCTTTGGCTGCTTCCTTCCCTCCCTCCTCCTTCACTCATCCCTCCTCCTCCTCGCTTCCCCACCCTCACTCCTCCTTCCAACCCCCTTCTTGCTTGGCCGTCTCCTCGGCTCCCTCCGTGCCCCCAACCGCCCATCACCAAAACCTGCGCAACCCCTCCACCTCCTCGTACCCTCCGGTGGAGATGGCCGCCATCTCGCAGTTCAATCCGGCCGCCCCCTATCGCCCGGAGAGGGTACTGCACCACCCGTCGCTTCTCCCTCAGTTGGATCCATCGCTTCCCTCCTCCACCCCTCCCCCGGCCCTCTACCCCGCCTTTCCGTCCTACCCCCTCCGCCTTTGTCAGGACCCTCACACGTCCCTCTCCATCCCGTTCAGGCATCTATACAGACAGCACCAACACGGACACGCCCACCCCCAGGCGCCCTACCTGGATATGAGCTCACGGGCTGTGTTTTAAAATATGCAGGAATGTAAAGTTGTAAAAATGTTTCGGCTTGAAAGCGCTTTTAGTTTTGTTTTTTCTTCCTGTTTTGCAATTTCTAGCGTCGGTTCAAGAAGCGTTCAACGTGCTGATGTGTGTGGATGTGTATTTAAAAGTGTTAAGACTGATCCAAATTTGTAAATAGCTGTTTAAGATTTCCTTTCTCAAATGTGCATTCCAGTGTTATAATAAATAAAAAGCTTCCATATTCCAGAGTGGAGTTATTACTTTTTATTAGCTCTGCTTAAGACTGGAAACAGCTGGTCGGGCATTTCGGGTTAAATCTGGTTTGATTTTTTTGCACCAATAATACGTTGTTTTATGGGACGCATTGCATCCTGGGACCTTTAGTCTACAGCCTCTGGTAGCATGCTCGCCATGAGGGTCAGGACCGCAGTGACCTCAGTGATGTGCAGGCCCACCATGTTAATCATTTCCTCCGCTGACATTTTTAACCACCACACCGCCCCCAGAAATGACGTCAGTGGAGTGTTTGTTGTATATATGTCAGCCCTGTGAGGCGGGGGACGTAAAATCTAATAAAAAAATAAGATACAATTATAAGAAAAAGGTACCAGCAACGCCACCTAGTTGCGGAGTCTAGGTCTCCATAAAAACAGGTTATTTTTCTTTTTATTATTAACCAAAAACCCATAAATAACTACAATTGTATTAAAAGTCCAGCTGGAAAAAAGTGCTAAAAAAGATTAAGAATTCGACCAGCCACTGCTGCTGATCCGTCCTGCCCTTTCTTCTAGTTTCCGGTTCCGTTCCTTTCCTGAGTGAGGCGTCCAGTCCGTTTCTTTCCTCTCCTCATTTGCACCCCGCCTGCTCGTCCGCTGTCTTGCCGTCCTCTCGCTTCCCCTTCCTGTGGCTTCCCCTTCCATGCCGTGCTCAGTGTCCTTTATAGCAGCTGTGTTAATTGGAGAGGGGAGGTCCTTTCATTGTGTAATGCGGTTGGCCAGAGCTCTCTGTAACTGATTAGTCCCTCCAGGTGCATGTAGTTTACTAAAAGGTGGGTTAATACGTGAAAATGTAATAAAACAAACCGTGCTAAAATGTAATAAAACAAACCATGCTAAAATGTAAAACCAAACCATGCTAAAATGTAAAACCAAACCATGCTAAAATGTAATAAAACAAACCATGCTAAAATGTAAAAACAAGTTATGCTAAAATGTAAAACCAAACCATGCTGAAATATAATAAACCAATAATTTACAGAAACCATAATGTCCCCCTGGTGACACACACACTGTTCTCTACGGGTCTGTTAATAAATCTTAAATCTAATTTAATCATTCAATAATAATCAATTTTACAGAACATCCCTAAAGGATCACAAGCCGCGTTTTACAACACTATTGTAGCTGTAACTATATAAGCTTTTAGGGGAAACGATTTTATACACGAGAGAAAAGCTCTTCAAGTGTATTTTTTGGAGAAGCTGAGAGCAAACCGCTTGTGGGCTGATGCTAAGGGTCAACTTGGTTTTGCCTTGAATTTAGTCACCCATTAACCAGTAAGTGTGTCAAAAGAGGATGAATCCCACTGGTCGACGCACAAACCTTCCAATCGCACCTGCATAGCTTTCCCAGGTGAGGGAAGAAGGGTAAGGTCTTTCATATATACAAACTTATTCATTGTAAATTAGATTTAACATTTGGTAGCTTTGGACGCCTGGTTCCGATTGCGCTGCGTCTTTCGGGCTCCTCTGTTTCTGCTTCAAACCAGCAGATATCAGCTGACTGCTGAGCGTCTAGATACATTCACCTCGGGGAGCAACTAATGCAGATTCACACCTCACTTTAAATCAGTGACACACACACACACACACACCAGGTTTCTCCGGGACGATGATGGCCGTCACTCGCTTGCGTCCCTCGCTCGCTCGCCTGCCCTCGCCGAGGCTGCTGGGTACCGGGGCCTCCAGGACGGCCAAGCGGCCCGAGCGGCTCTCGGCCGCTTTGAGCTTCCAGGAGCCGGGTGCCTTCAGGGTGAAGAGTCTGGGCGAGCTGCTCCGGGCTCTGGCCGTCTTCCGTCTATGCTCCTACCCAGCGCTGGTCAACAACTGTGGGAAGGTGAGAGTTGAGTCTGTCAGCTTTTTGCTGCTCGGAGGCAAGTTGGATCGATCAGATCGACGAGCGAATGGACGACAAAGAGTCGGTAGCTGTTGTGTGATTCTTGCTTTGAATGAGAATGTGGAGAATGAGAATGGTGGAGGAAGTACAAAGACTTCTAACTAAAACACACATGGTGCTACAAGTACTCAAAGCAGACTGTTCTATCATTAGATTATCATCCCTCGTGCATTAATGTGAAGGCAGGATTTTAATGGTGTGAGTAGTTGAGGGGGATCGTTTCTTCATATATTTTGTAAAGAAGTGAAGCTGCTTTCATTGCACATTGATCTGCTGATTGCTTTTGTGATTCAAAGATTTCTGTTATTGTGAGTGACATCATCCTAATGCTGAGGTTTAGTTTTTAGCATCACATTTAAAATCATTTAAGCCAAATTAAAAGGGGAAAAGCAGTAAATCCTCAGGTTTGTGGAGATTTGAATGAGAAGTAGAAGGTGGCATGAAATACAAAGGATAAAAATAGCAAATCCAGTCACTCTACCTCACCTCCTCCCCTCCTCTTCCTACAGCTGATGTCGGTGGCGCGCGCCCTGGTGGGCCGGAGGCTGTTCTCCCTGATGCTGCGGCCCACCGTCTACGCCCAGTTTGTGGCCGGCGAGGACGAGGGAGAGATCTCTCAGTCCATGCAGAAGATGAGCTCGCTGGGTCTGAGGCCCATGCTGGCCGTGCCGATCGAGGAGGATCTGGGGGCGACCTCGGGGTGCGGAGGAGTGTTGGCGACTCACTAAATGACGGCGTGCAAAAAAAAAACCCAACAACAAGCCCAAGACTGATTTAGAAAGCCTCCCTTCTTGACACGCTGCACCTCAGCTCCACCGTTGTCGCCTTTTTTTCGTCTCCCACAGCGAGAAGACCTACGACGAGAACCTGGAGGCCATGTTGGAATGCGTGCGGATGTCACACAGCAACGCCTGGAGCAAAGAGCCCATGATGCAGCTGAAGATGACGGCTCTGCTCAGCCCGGAGCTGTGTGTAAGGCAGCGGCTCGTCGCCTTCAGTACTCTGATAAAGTGCTACTGTCACATTTCATGTAAATGAGGTGTCATGCAAGTAGTGTTCATTTCAATATGCTACATTCTTCCACAGAGTAGCGGTGGATTTTTATTTTCTTTGGTTCACTAAAGAGTCTTCTGACTATCTTAGTGAGGAAAACTCGCTGGGATGTTCACAGGTGTTTTAAGAACAAACAGCAGCTGGATGGGGTTCAGATATGTTGGGAAAGAAAACGATAAGAACACACGTGTGTGACGTGTCTGATACGACTGAACTGCTCGTTTTAAAGGTCAAACTCACAACGCTCATCGGCCAACGGACGCTGAACCTGAATCTTCTGGTCAGAGCTTTGGATGGAGAGGTGAGACATCCTTCCCTTTGCCCACGTCTACATGGTTCTGGTTCTGTTAAATGACCTCTGGCCTTTCTCCAAAACTGCTTTTTTTTTTCTCCAGCCAATTCAATTCCCTGGTTTAAACGAGAGTGAAGTGGCCCATTTCCTCTGTGGCCTGCAGAGACTCAACAAAATAGCAGAGGTGCACGTGAACGTGTGATTCTTCACGGAAGACAAAGGCGCCAAAGCGATGTCAGTCATTTGGAATTACGTTGTGTATATTTTTTTTAGGCAAGCATAAACAAAGTCAGAGTCCTGGTCGATGCAGAGTACACCTACGTGAATCCCGCCCTCTCTCTGGTCACCATGGCGATGATGAAGAAGTTCAACCAAGATGGTGTCTGGATCTGGAACACGTATCAGTGCTACCTCAAGGCAGATACGCTTTTTTTATCCCTTTTTTTTTTACAAATATCACTGAATACTGTAGTCAGTAAGACAAAGTTTGTTCCTCCGTGATCAGTCGATCCCCTCCGCGTCTGTTCAGGAGTCCAGGTCTCTCCTCTTAGAAGCTCTGCGGGTGTCAAACGACGAGGGCTTCGGCCTGGGGGTCAAGCTGGTACGAGGAGCCTACATGGACAAGGAGAGGAAGCTCGCAGAGAAGGAGGGACGTCCGGACCCCGTCCACCGGTGCTGGGAGGACACCAACGACAGGTGGGAAAACAGGAAATGGTCAATACTCACAGATAAACCAGCCATAAGATCAGCCCCGTGTCATCCGTTCGCTTGTGTTGGTGCAGTTACAACGGCTCCCTGGACGTGATGCTGGAGGCCGTCTCCCAGAAGCCCGAGCGGTACAGGATCATCGTCGCCACTCACAACGAGGACTCGGTGAGGCGCGCCGCCAGACGGTGAGATTTTGTAGGTGTTGTGCTCTGAACCCCCCCACCCCTCCGTGACCCCTCTGATTCATGCAGCCTCTCGGGCCGCAGCTTGTGACGTAGCTCTTTTGTGCCACGCCGCGTTCAGGATGGAGGAGTTGGGGATGGACAACGACGGAGGCGCAGTGTGCTTCGGCCAGCTGCTGGGCATGTGTGACCACGTCTCCCTCACGCTGGGTGAGCGCTGAGCTGCTCGGGCTGCAGCGCCGACCGCCTCTCCTCATGTAAAGTACAGAAGGCTGAGACCATCTCTCACTGTCTGTCCTCTGTCCTCTGTCCCACAGCAAAGGAGGGCTACGCAGTGTACAAGTCAGTGCCGTACGGCTCAGTGGAGGACACGCTGCCCTACTTGGTGCGCCGGGCTCAGGAAAATCAAACCGTATTGCAGGGAATTCGCAAAGAGCGGGAGCTGCTGAGGAGAGAGCTCCACAGGAGGCTGGGCCTGCGGGCGACGGAGGGAAACCCCTTCACGCGCTGAATGAAAATGAGGCGCTCGCCCTTCGTTGCGTCTTGATAACCTATATATTTATGGCGTTGCGAAAGACTAGCGGGATCGGGAGAGGAGACCCGGAGGGCAGAGTTTGATCCCTGCAGAGAAACCCGGAGGCCATCGCGCAAAAAAGGTATTGCGTATTAATGCAAAGGGGGTCAATGAAGAGGCGTTGGTGCCGAGCAAACGGACAGAACGCTTCACAAGTTGGTCCGTTGAACAATTGAATGTTGAAATCTATGCGCTCTTCAATATTTCTTGAGCGGTTCAGTTTGCAGGACCCAAAGAAAGCTGTAAACCTCTGTAAGCAAATCAAGAAGCAAAGTGAATGAAAATAAAACTTGCAATAGATGAGATTTGATCTAAATTGTTGTGCGGTTTCTTCAAAAAAATATTTGTTTGAATATAAAGGGATTGTTGTCACTATAAAACTGTCCCATCTTTGTTGTGTTATGTAAATATGACTCCTAAAAACTTGTTAAACTACTATAAAAACAGGAAAACTATTAAATATAATAGAACATGTTAGTACATTCGACTGCAGCAGTGATTCAACCCTTCAAACTAACTTTTGGAGGAATGCATCGGGAATAACCGGCGATCCAGAGCTGCACATCCAGCCGCGAGGGAACACAAGACAACTTGTAGCAAATCTCTGCTCTCGTTTGGGCTCCGATGCAGAAAAGCGGTTTTAGTTTGTAGCGTAGCTGCAGAATCAGATTGTGACAACAGGGAGCTTCTCGTGGGATTATAATGCAGAGTAATATTTGAGACATTGCCGCTTTCTGCAGGTACAACAACCCAAAACGTAGCGCCGTAATGTCAATGACTTTCACTGACGTGGCGTTTAGTGGAATAAGACGTCTGTTCCTGCTTTGATATTTTCCTTGAGCTTATTTTTAAATAAATGAAACTTGAAAAAAAGACGAGCAAAAAACACTGTTTTATTCTAGTAATTGTTTATTAGAGAAGTCAAAACTTGAAATACGTGTAACCGAACCCAAAGCCAGCCGCACTGCATTACATCATTTTCTACAAGCAACAATAACCTTAAATCTCTTGTCAAAACAAGTTGGCCGTACTGAAATACCACACTCTGCGGTGGGCTTTTGGGCGCCACGTGGCGGCGGTCGGACCACATCCGAGTGTTGAGCACAGAATCCCATTGATGCGACTGTTGTGGAATGAAGAATAGTCCAGCTGGAGCGACTGAAAGACACACGGTTCAACCTCAGTAGTTGCTTTGGTTCTGATTCCTGTAGCCGCCTCTATTGTAGCCGCCTCTATTCCCCTGGTAGCCGCCGCCTCCTCCCTGGTAGCCGCCGCCTCCCCCGCCTCCATGGTAGCCGCCGCCACCTCCACCTCCGTGATAGCCGCCGCCGCCTCCGCCTCCTTGGTAGCCGCCGCCACCGCCTCCACCTCCATGGTAGCCGCCGCCGCCTCCACCGCCGTGATAGCCGCCGCCTCCGCCTCCATGGTAGCCGCCGCCACCGCCTCCACCGCCATGGTAGCCGCCGCCACCTCCACCGCCATGGTAGCCGCCGCCACCTCCACCTCCTTGGTAGCCGCCGCCGCCATGGTAGCCGCCGCCGCCTCCACCTCCATGGTAGCCGCCGCCACCTCCTTGGTAGCCCCCACCACCACCTCCCTGGTAGCCACCGCCTCTCTGATCTGTTACGTGCAAAGAGCCAAACGTAAGTGTCCACATGTCACGAAGCTAAATTAATTTTTCTTGTCTTAATGGTTTGCATACAATAAAAAAATAAAGCTAAATCAGTATCTGTTTGGGGGATTTTCACGCTGCTTTCCAGTAGAACCTTTAAAAGCAGCGATTAACTTTTCCTGTTTACATCTAACCCATCGAGTCTTCAGGCTAATCACAGGTCCAATGCCAACTGAAGCCGGTTATAAGCCGCCTGGTTGAGGCGCATTGGCTCGGGGGGGGTTTCATGTGGTCAGGATTTTGTTTAATCCGAAGTGTGTGACGTAACACGATTCAGCTGTTCCCAAGCACCAGAGAGCCATGAGGGAGATGCCAAATAGGAGGAGGAAATTAAAAACTATTGATAAATAGTTTGACAAATAGGACTAAAATTTAGAGTGAGGATTAAGCAGAATATACATCCTGGTAATTACAGACAGTGAAGAAACAAATGTGTGCAAAGGGACAAAAAGGTCGAGAACGGCTTAACTTACCTCTGTTGTAGGATTTGTTCTGCTGGTAGCCACCTTTCTGGTCTGTAATGCAACAAAAGAACCAGTTAGCTCATTGTGTGGTCAGACACGTGCACATGATAACCTCAGCGTGACTTAACACAGCGATTCTTAACTGGACAGCACCACGAGTGAGACGTGCTGGTGAGCCAAACAGTGGGATGAAATAACCAAATGTCGCGGTGAAATTCGATTCATACCGGCAGAGAGAGGAGTATACTTTATAATCCTTGTGTGCAGTTATAAATAAACAACGGTTTAATTAACATACCTCTGTTGTAAGATTTGTTCTGCTGGTAGCCACCTTTCTGGTCTGTAATGCAACAATAGAACCAGTTATCACTGTTCCAGAGTCAGAACTTTTCAACCCATCATAAAAAACAAGGAGAACATAAGAGACGTTGCAGGAACTTGTCCCGGTACGTCCACCATGGCACTGAAGATTTAGTTCAATGTTTGTTCCGTTCATTGTTCAACAGGCTGGAAGTAAACAACACACGGCACACACATTTCTCACAGGTACCAAACACGCACCTCTGTTGAAGTATCCTCCATAGATGCCCTGCTTGAGGTCGAAGACGCGCTCGTTGTTCTCCACCAGGCTGCCGAGTTTCTCCGCCAGCTGCAGCGCCATGTTCTGCAGGGAGGTGGGCTCGGTGCGGTGCATCACCACCGTCTGGGTGGGCTGGTCGAGTGACGCCTGGCGGCGAGAGGACAGAAAACAACCTTTAGAACACTCACAGGAGGACAAAACAAAGTGCATGCCAGGCGGAACGGAAGCGTACCATCAGCTCCTCGTTGATGATCATCTTGCTGATGATGCTGTGGACGGTGGGTATCTCCAACTCAAACATCTCAGATAGGGTCCCCATGCTGGAGGACAGACAAAAGGGTGTTACACAGACCGACCAATAATGACACTGATCCAAAGTGAGGCTTCAGCTGAACGCACAGCGGTCCGCACAAAGCAACTCTTCAGTAGTGACTGCAGCGCCACCACCTGCTCACCTGATGGAGTCGTACACGCTGCTGTAGGTGAACAGGTAAGTCCTCAGTGACTCTTCCTGGATCTTCCTATAAAAAGAAAAAAGAAAAAAAAGAAAACCAATCAGGAAATGTATTGAAATACAAATGATGTGGAAATGCACAACGTTTGAAATGAGAAGAATCAAACTAAGTAACAAACACGTCACAACGGATCGGAATGCTGCACGCTAACCTCACGAGCATCTCGCGCACTCTCTGCGTCTCGGGGAACAGGTCCCAGACTTTACTGTTCATCTTCTCGTTGATGATGAACGAGTGGCAGGTACGCCAGTCTCCCATCTTCATGGCCTTGCTGGCTGCCACCACATGCTCCCTCATGCTCTCTGGGGGCCCTGGGGGACAAAGAGAGCCACGGTTATCCTCTCGGGCGGCGCTGTTGTGCTGCAGCGGCTCATGTGGGGGGCGTGTGGCGTACCCAGCAGCGGCTGCCTCTCTCCCACCCTCAGCTGGTGATGGAACTGCTTGCTGATCATCCTGCGGCGGGCATCGAACTCGTGGGCGGCCATGTAGGGGATTTCCAGCAGCATGGCCGACACCAGGTACACACACTCCAGCAGCTCCAGGTTGATGTGCATGTGGAACGGCACCTTAAGGTAGGTCAGAGCGATGGTGTGAGAATGTCTTCAGGTTGGACCAAAGTGAAAGATCAGATCACAGGCAAACGTTGCCCCTCCCCCTCCCCCCTGTGAGGTCATAACCAAAGAGATTCTCAGAGGTCTTCAGTATCACATTCGTGGTCATAAGAGTACTACGCATGTGGGGCTTACTTGTCTTCTCTTTTCAATCTTCTCCTGCTCTGCGTTCCTCTCCTGCATGTTCCTCATGAGCAGCCCCTGACCCAGGAGCTCCTTGGCTCGCCCAGAGGACTGAATGTCCAGCAGGGCGTTGTGGGCGTCTTTAATCATGCCCTGCCTAAATGCACAGATGCCGAGTTGCACCATGGTTCTGTTGTACAGGATCTAAACGAGAGGGAGAATACGTGCTTAGGCGCAAAAGCAAGATCAGAGAACACCTACGAACCCGAAAACCAAGAGCGTCTCCTTTACCTGCACGGGGGGGTCGGCGTGCTGGATGTTGTCCTGCAGGTGGCTCATGAGCATCAGGTCGCGGGCCTGGTACCAGCGCGAATGCAGAGCGTGGTGGTAGATGTGGCAGAGGATGGCGCAGGTTCGGATGCGGTCGGTGCGATCTTTGGCGTAGATGAACTTGCAGAGGCGGTCCATGATCACGGCGCTGTCCTCACCCTCGCTCTCCTCCTGGTCCTGCTCGGACTGAAACGGCGGGCGGGGACACGTCTCAGCGCAACGCACTCATTGCGGAATGTACAGAGACGACACGCATTCACTTCTACTTCTGCCCGATGGTCGTTAGTTTCATGCCAGTTCCTCTTTATGGCTTTAATGGCAGTAATATGGGTTCTCACACCCGCCTTCACCGCTCCGGTGCTTTCCTCACCTTGGACTCGACCGGGAGGCCCAGGCTGCGCCGGTGGGCCTTGTAGTCAAACTTGTAGTAGGTGTGCATGATTCTGCGCAGGTAGACGCGGCAAATCTCCTCGGTGCTGCCTTTGGTCTCCATGTAGTCGAGCAGCCGGTCGATGATGCCGCAAACGTGCCCCTCGTCTTTCAGGTTGTCGACGTATTCTGGAGGAGGAGAAAGAGAGCAATGAGCCGGCAGAAAGAGACGATGGACATCGAACTGGCGCAGGAACACACTCCGGTGATCCTTCCAGCGTCATGTTCCAAAACTATAGGAGGTACGTTCACATCACAAATACTGGGTGGTTTAAAATAAATAAAGGCTTTTTCTGTGGAGTTTCCTCACCTTGTGAATGGGGATCGGTGTTCTGCATGATCTTGGTGAACTCTTCATCCATCCTCTCTACCAACGTTAAGATGCACCCACGCACCCGGAATGGCTGACAAGCAAATGAGGCAATAAATAATTAGGATTACTGCAACGCCAGCTTCTCCTTCTCAAACAAAAAAAAAAGTGTGCAGTCGGTGCAAACGGTGTACTACTTTCATGCAAGTTTAGAACAAATGCCGGCGCTCCGTGCAGTTAACGGACACACACACTCAAAAATAACAGGAAACTGACAAGATACCTGGTCTGAGATGATCAGACTCTCACTGTCCTCTGCAATGTTCTCCCCGATGAAGATGTCGTTGTGTTCGAACAGGATGTCCAGCAGCTCATCGATGCACTCCAGGCACTTCTTCCACATTTCAGGCTTAAAGAAAAAGAAAAAACAGAGTGAGAGTTCTGACATGTTCCTGTATTCAAGCATTTAACACAACGTACAAATCAATACAATAATAAGAAACGTCTATGGTTCTTTTTATTAATACAAAAAACAAAGAAGGATATTGGGACTTTAAGGAATTTGGACACCACAGTCTTTCCAGGTACAAACTCCTACCTTCATGAAGGCCGCCAGGTTGGGGTTGTAGTCGTACAGGGAGGCGATGATGTTGAACTTGATCTTCACCAGGACTCCTTGGCCCAGGTTATTCTCACCAGCGATGTTCGCCAAAGCGTGGAGCAGCTCGATCTGGGCCGCCCTGTTGGAGGGACACACAATGCGTGCAATGAGAGATCAGAGAAATTGACCTCATTTTGATAGTTACTTAATGCACAGACTGATGTTACAGATTGAATGTTTCATGCAAAAGCTTTTCATCCCCCGTGATTTATCACACAGGACAGTTTCTTTGCCATAAAAAGTATCTACAGCTTCTTTTACATGGCGAGTATTAGTGATCTGAAGACGATTGTGGCTAATGGAATTCATTCAAACAACAGTTCCTGTTCCCGTGCAGCTTTAGTTAGTTAATGACGTTACCTGTCTGTGCCCTTTTTGCCTCTTGCTTGCAGGATCTCATTCAGCTTCTTCACCACCACTGGTACATTGATTTCAGTGCCTTTGGCAAACATTTTAGGCTTTTCCTAGCGGAAATGCATATAGCACACCAAATAAATATCGAAACAATTTGTGGATTCCCTGAGACAAAAGGTATAAAATACACAAAATGCCATTGTGCAAAAGACAGAACACTATAGTTTTATAGCAGAGAAATGAATTAAGACAGTTGATGATCACTTCATTACCTTAACCATCGGGGCGCCTCCTTTCACCTTCTCCCAGCCCCCCTCCACCCCCTCTCCTCCCTCCTCTTCCTCAAACTCCTCCTCGCGGAGCTCCTTTTTCTCCTTTTTCTTCTTCTTACCGATCTTTTCAGTGGACTTCTCGCCCTCCTGAGCCCTGTGGACGGACAGAGCGGGTCGTGGTAAGTATACAGACGGGGGATGAAGAGGACCGCAACCGATACTTCATTGCCATTAAACAGGACACAATGTTACTACACTTTTGGAAAATAGATATGAAGGAGAAGAGAAAATACAGGCAGGGGAAGACTTCTGGCTAGTCTTAGGGGATCATTTAAAGGGATTCTTTAAGTTGTTTTACTTATTCTTACATATTATATTTACAAACGGTTGTTGATATTCAATGCTAAAAAAAAGGAAATATGTAACAAACATTTTTTGAGAGTAATTGAGTCAGAAAACACTTTTTAAAAAGGCGGAAAGAATAAAGTACGCGGAGAATAAGACTCACTTCTTGAGGAAGACAACAGCCAGGGAGGCGCCCTTTCCGTCCCCTTCATCCGAGCTCTCACTGCCACTGTCGACAGTGTCGGAGCCCCAGTCTTCATCGTCATCACTCGAAGAAGACTCATCCTGTCAAGGGAGAAGACCCCCAGCTCATGAGAAAGAGGGAGTGTACAGAGGGTTGCTCACTGTTCTCGCTCTGCAGAAGAGTCAGACGTGGTTCACTGGCCTCTTACCCCGGATCCTTTAGCGGACTTAAGGAACTTGCTGGCATCTGGGGTAACCTCAGGCTTTTTCTTCAAGAAGGACTTGGCTGGAACGCCATCTTCATCTTCCTCTCCATCGCTATCAGAAGATGAGCCTTGAATAACAAAAATCAGGATGAGTTATCAGGTAATGAAACAAAAAAAAAAAAGATTCAATTTTACTCACGTTTCTGATGTTAATAGTTTATGCAATGGTTTATGTGATGAAGGCCATCGTACTTTTTCAACATGTTAAAATATTTCACCAATTTACTCTGATGTTTGCATGAACACAGCCTGGTTTATTTATTTGTATAAGTTTGGACACACCTTCTCATTAAATGAGACGCTGTGTCCAAACGTTTGACTGGTAATGTGTGTATATAATATATATATATATATATATTATATATATGCTTACCAGAATCCCCTGCCTCCTTCTCCTCCTCTTCATCGGCCGACTCCTGAGGGTTCTAGCAGAAGGAAGACAGCAAGATTTTACTTCCATCTCCCACCCACATGGAGGCCAATACACAAACGGCAAGTGCTTCTTTTACTTTTTCATACACAGACTTGCATTAAACGTTAAAGAAGACTACCATCCAATTTTGAAGGGTAGTTAAAATCCCATAACCAGCAACGTCTCTGTATATTTCATGCCACAGAAAGTTTATTAATTTACCTCCTTGTATGAAGTTATTTCTGTTTCGTAGTCTCTGTTGTACTTGCGGATCTTCTGACGTAGCGTACTGAGGGCTTTGGCGTTGTGCTTGTTCATCTTCTTCTTTCCCTCTTTGTCCTCCCAAACCTGCAAAGAAGAAAACAGTTATTTTTTGCACCTCAAAAGTGGGGACGTGGATTATAAATTATGTCAAACTGCAGTAACCAAGTTTGACAAAAATGATATGCTAAAAAAATATATATATTTACACTGTTGTCATTTGACTTTGGAAGTTTGAGCTACTGACCTGGTTCAGATAGTCCTCCAAGTCGGCCAGCAGACGGATATAGAAAGAGGGAACACCCTCTTTGTCCACTATAGTCTTGCTTTTGAGGAAGGCTCGACATAACTGCTCAAACTCCTCCAGACATTTGGCCATGTCGCGAATCTTCATGGCATTTCGGATGGTCTTGATGAGGTTGGTCAACTCCTCGAACCTAAGAGACACAAGCGTGAATTCGAAACCTCGTAGCAGCAAATGCAGAGTTTAAGATTTACCGCTTAAAAAGACGCCACACCAACCTTTTGTCTTTCGCGCTGCGGACCACTCGCTTAGTGTCCTCCTCATCGTCACTAAGAAGCAGCGACCTGTGGAAACAGCATTTGTGCAGGAGGTCAAGACAAAAAGTAGAATGCGGGTGCGATGGCAGAGCTTGCTGAGAGATGTACTGACGGCTTGTAGGTGGTTCCGGGTGCTTTAGGGGTGATCTCATCGGCGGACGAGGACTCCTCTGACTCGCTGTCAGACCCGGTGGCGAAGAAACGAGACATTGCTGAAGGAAGGGGTCAATCTGTGAAGACACAATCACATCTGTTAAGAGTGATCTGTTGGAAATATGTGCTGCACAATGTGTGGAATAGACGATGCTTGGCAGATCTGCACGAACACATTTCCAGAAAGATGAGTCAATCCGCTGCGCACAAACGGGCAGAAAATGGGGTTTTAAAAGAAACACCAGGAACAGCGTCTTCATTTCACTTAGTTGCTGTTGCGATGGAGTTAAAAAGGTGCAGAAGTACGAATGATGTCGTCTTGGCTAGCCAGCATTAGCTTAGGTTACAGCGTCACTACGGAACAGTTACCGTTAGCCGATAAGAACCGTAGCTAGCGCTTGATTGTGCTGCTTCAATAATGTAAAACATATAACAAGATTAATACTAAGCGCTGATACAAACAAATATTCGACTGTTTTCGGCACAAAGGATGGCGTCCGTGCGCACCGACGTCGAACCAGGTGGGTTAAAAACGCTTTGGATAACAGCGTCAGGTAAATGACGTGTGATACCGACGCGTGTTAGCAACCGGCTATGTAGCCTTTGCTAAACTATATCGCGCTGACAGATGGACAACAAACAGTTAAAAAAAACTCGACATCAAACTGTAGCTTCAGCTCCACGTTTTACCAGTTAGCTTCGATCGAAACCACCCAAATGCAAACACTCTACAACCGAATAAAGTGCGTGACTGAACGTTAACATCTGATAACACAACGGCAACACTAACGTGGCGCGGGATGGTTGCTGTGCTAAAGCTAGCAACAAGCTAGCAACAAGCTAGCGCGAAGGGGCCTCCTCGCATGTGTAGCGAGCCGGTCACGTTATCTAATCCAAGGCGAGGATTTATCGCCCGTTATTTAATTAAATCTTTGGACAGACTCACCTACGCCCTTGTGAAAGTTATTTTGCGATGTGTCTTTCTAGTTTGAATCCTTTTTAAATCCAGTTTTGCTGTTTAGTGGCCACAAATAAAAAGGCGTGCGACGGCCTGACCGGGAACTCGAGTCGAGAAAGGAAGTAGAATCCAGGTCGAAAAAGCTAAAGCTTTACGGCAGCGCCTGCTTTACGGCAGCGCTTCCATAGCGACAGGCCGGGGGAAACGTCAACTCACAGACGTAAAACCATTTATCTAATAAAAAACACAGAATATAATAATAATAAGAAGAAGAAACGACAAAGTAACCTCAGACAATTCACAACACGTTTATTTCAAAATTCACAGATGATACATATAGAAGTAAGAAGCAGAAGTTGTTATATTAGTATGTACGAACATTGGCCGTGCAACAATTATAGTAGTATCGTATAATACATCATATTTACAGTGTCCGTGGAAAAAGGGTACGACATTAATATCAGCCCTGTTGTCCTAACTTTTCTTCAGCAGCTCTAGAGGGGGGAAATGGATAATTACATTAATAACAACTTAATAACAAAATGATAAGCGGCATCTTGCCACATTTTAGATCAAGATCAAACAAAACACCAAGACAGAATTCTTATTTTTACATTACTGACACAAGTAGTATTTGGGTAAAAACTTGTTTAACGTTAGTCTCATTAATTTCCAAACTGTAAAATGTTTAATTTTCCTAAAAATCCTCAGTTTGGAAGTAAATTAATAAGATCGAAGCTCAGTAATTAAACTTACCTTCTTTGAGCCTCTGTATTTCTTCGGATTGTTGTTTGAGTTGCTGTTTAAGCATGAAGCAGGTGGGGCATTCTGCAACACAATTTGAATCATTACATTTCTGAAGACAACTAATCGTTTATCATCTTTTTATTGTCATACATATATATATATATATATTACACACACATACGACTTTGATAAGTGAAGCTGGATAGCTGATGTGTAACTACTTTTCATTATGGTCGCTATATCATCTAGTCACTGGGACCAGTTTGAGGTCAACAACATATAGTAATCGGCATTATACGTTGTAATACGCTTATAGCATTGTATGATTATGGCAGTTTGCATGCTGCCGCAATCATTGTGGGACTAATCAAGGAATATCTTTACTTAATATCAAAAATGCTTTACAAATAATCACAAAATCATTACAAGAAATATATAAATACATGTATATTTTATCAAACTATTTATAATCACTGTTATAAGAGATTTTAATTTAGTTCATTCACGCAGTCATTGTTTGCGTCAAGCAAACAATACATTCAAACAAATGATGATTACGATGCATCTAAAGTATGTTCAAAATAAATGATACAGCTTTAGAATCCATGTCTATAATTGCTCATTGTGTAGAAAAGTATACAATGAAACAGTTTGACACGTAGATATGTTCATCTTGTCATGACTGAACGATTGAGCTTGTGTCGTTCTTCTGACAAGCAGCACTGATGAAAACAAACCTTTTAAGGTATCAGAAAACATTTAACCTTCATTAGTTTGTGTAGCTCTTGCTAAGTATTCCAATGGTCCTCATTGTGACCGTTCAAAAACATCTTTGATGAAAGGAAATGTCATAAAGATACAGGTCAAAAAACATTTCAAACAACTGAAAGACAGACATAACTCAGAGAAACACACATGGAGTCTCGCCAACCGGCCCCTGTAGATAATGTACCGGATCACACCAGAGGGTTGAGTCAGTGGCCTCAGCTGTTCACTCTCCCAGCTTACCGTGGCCTTTTCCTTTGGCTTGCAGAGCTTGATGGCTGGTCGCGGGCTGTTTCAGGGCCTTGTGTCTGCCGACAGCATCGCAACACGTTGAGACCTCGGCAGCAGAGCTGGATAACGCAGACGTGCTGGATGGATCTGAAAGCGTGTGATAAAGATCTGGTGAGTAACGCACAAATAAAGTCATAAAGTCAAGAGTACTGGACACACTTTCCCAGAAACATACAAGCCCCGGTTTTGAAAACCATAAAAAAACAATTTAAGATGTAGGAGTTTACAGCTTTAGTAGAAATACTAACCGTGCAGTTCTTTGAAATAGAAAAAAGGGTTGGTTGAAAGCTTTTATTACCCATTCTTTTCTTCTTTGCTAAAGTTTCACCTCTGGCTAAGGGCTGCTTCTTTGAATGTGTAGCCTTCGTCATTGGGTTAGCAGCTGCTTGTGGGTAAAAAAAAGAGGAAAAAAAACACAAAAGAAATTTAAATTTATGTTACTTCATTGTTACACGTGTATTTGGTCTTATTTGTAACTGAATAAACAGTCCACCACTGTACGAGTACCTGTCGGTCCACGGGGTCTGTTAGCGTGTGATGATGACGATGACGATGATGCTGCGTTGCTTCTAGCTGATGGCGGCCTGAGACCTGCTGCAGGTCTCTGGATGCCTGACGGTATGCCACTCAACTGAGGTCTCGGCAAGCCTGAATTGGGTATCTTCAATCCTAACGTCAGCACAGAGGGGGGAGAGTGAGGACTGAATACTCTGTGCGGCTAAAAGCAGCACAGAAATTAAATCAGCAATAAGAAAAAATGCCTAAAAGTTAGGTATAAGATAAGATATGTGTACAATTCCCATCCCATCCGGTTTTAATTTACCCTCAACGTGTATGAAGGATAAAACCGCAACCATAAGAAGCCCTAAAATGGAACACACACACCGCCTACCTGTTGTAGAAGCCCGCAATTTGTAGGAGCTTGATACTCCTGTGGCCTTAAATAAACAGGAAATGGAGTCAATAAGTGGGTTTAGGTGTAACGGACATGACAAACAAGTTTAGCGATCAATTTCTTTAAAACACAATGTGCTGTTGACACTTTTTTTGTTTAAAAAAGGCGAATCAAATCCTGTTACCTGGGCTGCATTAAGCGTGTTCTTCGCTGCTACAGCCTGGGTCCTTTGCCTCGTCATGGGCAGGCCTGAAGTCGACGCATCAAACCTCGCGGGGAGGGCGGCGGCGCCTGGCTTCTGCCTCAAAGGCTGGGACGCAGCTCTGAAAGGAGGCAGGAGGGATTTGGCCGCTGGATGGGCAAACGTCGTTTTGCGGTCGCAGACGATGTTTGACGGAACATCTGATGGCGTCGGACCAGCTGGCAAAGCGGGACCATCCCCATACAGCCTTTTCTGCGCCGCTATCGTTTTGCCCTCCACTCGTTCGGCGGTTACGCTTAAAATCTTACAGGTGGTCATCGGCGTCGAAGTGATCGAAATGGCTGCCCTTAAATCCAGGGATTCATCCAAATTGAACGTGTTTTCATTGTTGTTTTCCGTTTCCATGTTTTGAAGGCCCAAAGTGTCAGAGAGCCCATTTGTCAAAGGCAGACTGGATCGTGATCGGTTCGTAGTCTCGCATTGACCATCGCCAGAAGCCACTTCAACCGCTGGACTAACTTCCAACATGCAGTCAGGGGTGTCAGCTGCCTCTGTATTAGGGACTGTGCTCGATGATTTCCCATCATCTTCCGGGGGTTGGGCTTTGGAACTGCTTTCTTTAGGGGTACTCGTTGCATTACAAACCCCAGGAGGAGTGGACTTGTCAAAAGTGTTCTGGAGGCTCGTTTCTGACAAAGTTATTGTGTCGTTCTGCTTGGGAGGTTTAGCATCGAAGGTGTTGTTCTGGAGAAGAAGGGTCCCAGAGCCAGCGTTTCCTATAAAAGTATTACCGCAGGATATTCGAAGGCAATTTCCATCAGAAATGCTGTTCTGCACATCAGACGAACCGGTTGCCTTTACGGCCGGGAAAGTTCGATTAATACAGAGGGAGGTTTCAGTGGCGTCCTTAGAGACCGAAGTAGCCGGATCTGTAGGCTCGCTCTCTCCTTTGGGGCTGTTTGCATTAGACGGGGTAAGATCCACTGTCATATTCTTAGGGTCGGGTATTTGAACAGTGGTGTTTAAATTGGTGGAAGAACTGGAATGGGAGGACTGGAGAGCAGTTAACGCGCTGCTCACAGACCCACACGTTTCCGGGCGCGGTTGCGCCTCCTCGCTCGTCAACTCCTCGGCCTCGTGGCAGGAAAGCGGCTCTTTGTTGTTAGCTTCCTCGGTGCTCGATGTCCCCGGAGGTTCACCATGAAGCTCCGAGGCGACGTTCTTTGAACTGGTGTCGCACTGCGTGTCAGAAGTGGAGAACTCCGACGCAGCACACTGAACAGTCACAACACTCGAGGAGCTTATGTCTTGAGTAACATTGGAAGGATGCGTATCAAATGTGTCTTCACCCGATGTGTGAACCTTTACCTCGTTTGATCCACTGTGCTCCGACGAGGTCCTAGAGCTTTCCAAAATGTTCTCTTGCGTGACATGCATTGAAGAGGTTTCTCCTCCGTCTGTGGGCTCTGATTCACGCGTGACATCCAGCAGAGTAATTTCTGGGAAGTATCGGGAATCCAGAAAGCGCTCCGGACGATACATACTCTCAAGGGGATCAACCATCTTATCGCAAGAGACTGACAGTTCAGAAGAGTGGAATTCAGAACAGTTTTCTTGAGCAACGTCACTTGAGCTCGTTTCCAACAAGGTTGTTGTTCCATTCTGTCGTGAAGGTTTAGCACCGATAGCCTCACTCTCCGCCTTCGGATGGCTCAAACAACATTTGAGAAGATCCGGCGTCTTTTTCTGAGCAGGGGTGTGTAAGTCGATGGAGGAACTCGACTGGGGGGGCTGGAGCGAGTTCAACCTGCTGTTCACAGACCCGGTTGTTACAGGTGTAGCAGGTATTCCTGCAGGATGAGGTGAACTACATGTAACATCAAGGAAGGTCACTTCTGGCAAGCATTCCTCGTGCAGCCAGCACACGCTTTCATCTGGGACATTGAATGACAGCTGAGAAGACATTTTCCAGCTGTTCATTAGGACCCTCCGGGCCTGCAACGACTTAATCCACACAAAAAAAAACTGACATTACCAGATGACGTAACTTACATCGGGAAAATGTCACAAATATTTACAGCTCTCATATCAATCTGGCTCTACAACTGGGCTATGTTACAGTCTACAAAACAAACGCCTTGTTTACACAATAAGACAATTTAAAAAAACTGTATTAGCAGAGACAAAGGTCATGCGCTGACCGGTGTCGGTTGCAAATTATGATCAGACATGAACATGTGTTTCCCTTCAGTTTAGCGAGGCAGAAGACATATGACCTTGTTGTCTTTCAATAATACCGCAATGTCAGCCGACTACGCTGGAGCACAGACAGCGCAGTTCGCGCGGATAGAAAGAATTATTGAAGATTCATCTCGAGAGGTCACGGAGACGTTAGCGACGTTACGCTCTGTCATGAAACAGTCCCAGAGGAGGCTAAGCTAACGCTAGCGTGTTAACGTTAGCTGGTGGAACGGAAACATCTTTACCTCAACAGCCCGGACGCTTCTTGGTGGAGGTTTATATTCGTGGAAATACTTTAATTATTGTTCTTTATTCATTCGAATCCGTGTACGGAAACATGCACCAATCGAACAACAGTGTGTCAAACTAAACATCGAAAAGTTCATAAAGTTACTCACAACTGCAGCGCCGCTCTGGTTCAAAACACGTCACTAGCTTCCTTCACGTCGATTGGTTAATTCCGACCAATCACAGCTAAACGTTTCTTCTTCATGTGTTTAAAATGAATGTCCATGTTATGGTGTTGTACTGCCACCTACTGTCTTGATAAAATTACATTTTAAATTGAATAGATTTTTTTGTTTTTTTATTATGGTGAATTCCAAAATAAATTGTAAATATGTACGCCACATATTACATATCTTATATCTAGCAAGTTAAATTCATATTAATTGCACGGTATACATAGATAGCTTTCAAAGACCGGGGGGGTTGGGGGGTTGTGAGCTGAACAATAGAAATTGTTTAAGCTTCTTAGCACATCGAAATTGTTTGTGATTTTGAGTTCACTCAGTCAACAACACAACCATGTCCACAACGTGGACCTCAATAGTTTACGTTGTCCTTTCGCACCCCAGAGAGATAATCCTTGATTTGCTGTAAACACGGCTATGTAAAATGACCACTCTTTAGTTAAGCTTTATGACAAGGCACGTACATTTCATCACTGTGTTCAGTTCCAAAAATATCTCAATTTACATATTACATTCTCACTCACACAATAATCACAATTCATCTTCTTCTCACTCTTTTGTGGTTTTCTTCAGTTTGGTCTTCAACTCGGACATAAGTGGATTTCCAAATCTGGGGACACCGAAACAAACTAAGAATCAGAAAATGTCCCAGCACAAGATGCCTATTTCATGCTGATATGTAATGTCAATCTTCTTAGACTTTTAGTTTTTTACCCTGGATGTCTTGGTGGCATCCATTTTGGTTTGTGTTGGGTCTCATCTTCGGTGTCACTCCTCTCTTCTGGCTTTGTCTCCTGTTGATTCAGTTACATTTGAATAATGTATATACACCTTAGCGTAAGAGGAAAAACTGTAATCAAAGATTATTAATAATACCTGTGATAGGGTCTCGGGACTATTTTCATCTCTTCCAACCAGCTTTGTCTTTTTTAAAACAGGAAATCCCCCACCAAGGCCTATAACAAAACATTATTCACTGATAACGTTTTTTTAACCAAGGTACTTTCCATTAATTAATTAATTCATTGCATGTGACCTACCAGGGAGTTTTATTCCAAAGCCCAAGCCTCCCAAAGGCCCACCTACAGGGACTTTGGGAGACATGTGTGGGGAGGGTGTGGGATCCAATGAGGGCATATTTAGGAGGGAGCGGGCATCTTTGGGTGGCCGTACATGTGGGTTTTTAACAGAAATTCTTGACCTTTGCGCGGTAAAGTCAAGCGCAGAGCTCTCCACCTGGAATTGCAAATACAACTCTATTAACACCACCTCTTTATGTCTTATACCAGCTGCCTGGTTTCAGTCATGATTCAATGAGAGGTATGTGTGTTATTGTGTTATTATAGAAGCAATACCTCCATCTGATCTTCAGACGTTGTCGCTGGATGTTCTGCCCCGTCGGCCATGTTGAGCCCAACGGATGACTTGGCAACTCCTTCATTCCACCCGGGCTGGGGTTTGTCCACTGAGGGCAGCTTCCTCTCGGATTCAGTGCAGACGTCGCTCTGTGAGCGAGATTCCGTCGGCACTATTTCATCCTCTAACGACGCCTCTGAGCCGGATCTTGATTGTTCTGGTTCTGTGCCTTTAATATCATCCGGAGAGTCGGACGCGGCCAACTCTTGAGGCTCATCTTCAGTCGGGGTTTTCTCAAATTGGTAAAGAAAACTCCTTTCGGTCTGTGGCTGAGCTTCGACTTCTCCGTCGTCTTTCCAGTCGGAGGCCTCGGCATCGATCTCATTCCCTGATCCAGTTTCAGCGGATCCCTGATGTCTGGCCTCTGGTGAGGGGACTTCCAAATCGGGGTGAAATCCTGCCCCTCCGAATTCTTCCTTCTCCTTCAGATCCGTTTGCCCCGTCTCAGCCGCTTCCTCTCTCAACGTGTCCCGCATATCACAGTTGGGTTGTAGGCTAGACAGCTCGGAGATGTCTGCTGATCCTGAGACAATAGCCAACGTGTCATATAGGCTTTGAAATGACCCGGACTGGTGAACAAATCCAGTCTCTACTGTTGAGGAAGACGTTTCTGTGTGACCCAGCAATTCAGATTCCCTTGAATTTGACTCCACAAGCTGGTCTTCATCCTTCTCCGTCTGCAGTGACGATATTTCCCCTTGCTCCTCATCGTAAGGCTCAGTTAGTTCTCCCGTCCGCGGGTCTACTTGTTGTTGGACCTCGTCATCGACCACACCCTGACATCCGCTGGATGAGGAGACAGTTTCTTCAGCACAACTCTGCTCGTCCACTCCTGAAGTGAAATCTTCTGCTTTGGACTCTGCCGTCTTTGATTCCTCAGGCGCTTCAGAGTCTCTTAAAGTCTCATCGTTGATCTCAAGTGCTTCGTCCGGTTGTAGATTGCTCTTCTCCGGTGACCCAACAGATTCTGCAAGTTCCTCGACCTGCTGATGTGACAATTCCATCTCATTCTGGCTCTGCATCTCATCTTCTGCTGCAACCACCTGCTCAACTTCCCTAGCTGCTTCTTTCACATCAGCTTCCTGTCTTTTTACATCTTCAAGTAGTTCAGCCTCAGTCTCATCGTGCCGTTTCAAGCATCCAGATTCAGTTATGTCTTCCAGTGAACTAGGAGCCATGTTTCTGTTCTGCTCGGAGGTCAGCTCACCTACGTGACAGGAGCTAGTCTCTGTCATCTTCTGCTCTTCAGCCTTGAGGAAAGTTTCCTCTGATGCTGAAGCTCCTGTCGTCCTGCTGCTGCCTTTGGGATCACATGACCCTTCGTCTATTTCTAAGTCAATTAAAATCTCTTCCAACCCATCTTGGGGCTCGTTTTCCGCCTTATTGATCGTGTCTGTTGGGCCAATGCGCATCTCAAATTCCTTTTCTGTGTGTTCGATGGCCGTCTTCATACAATCAACCAAAGATTCTCCTTCCTCTTCCTCAATTAAGTGTCCAGATTCTCGGGTTACTGCTTGGTGCGGTTTCTCTGTTTCTTCAGGCAATCCAGCATCTCGCATGCTCTCTTGCTCCTCTTCCATATGCTCAATCACCACTAAATAGTCAGCACCGGTTCCACAGCCACTGTTTTGAAGGCTCTCTGGCGCTTTGCTCCCCACCTCGCCCTGGGCGTCCTCACAATCTCCTTCCTCCAGGAGCACTTGTGTTGTATTTCCATCTGGCCCTGGCACATTGTTATACTCAGGAATTCCCTTTTGTGTTTCCTCACACGATGGAAAGTTGAGCGCCGAGACAGCGAGCCGGCCTTCAAATTTCCCCGTGGGACAATCCTTAATCGCTGCTGCCATTTCCTGCGCAGTCTCGCCTTCGGATTCTACCGTAACGGCGTTAAGTGTACCTGCCACGTCCATGAAACTTTCTTTGCCTTCTTCACCGAGGAGCCTCTCTTCTTCTACTTTATCTTTTTCAAAAAGTCCCGCGCCTACTGAGGTTTGCGTTGTTGTCCCATCAGATTTGACCACCATGTCTTCTGTCTCGTCTTCACCCACCTCTCTGCTTTCGGTTTGCACGTCAGCGTTCGGAGCCACATCCACTTGTCCTGCGTCCGGGAAGTCAGCCGCCCGCGGCTCCGGTTCAGCATTCTGCACGACTTCTTCACAGCGTGGAACATCCTCAGTCAATACGTCTTCTCTTTCACTTTCTCCAGCGAGGGTTTCGACGGCGTCCTCCGGCTCTGTTGTGCGGTGGTTTGAGTCCTCTTTCTCATATTCCTCCTCAATGACAGCATCCGCCTCCTTCGCCTTCTCAATGCTATCGCCCTCACTTCTTTGAGCCGCCACAAGTTCCCGCTCAACAGCGTATGACTCATCCTCGGACTTGATGTCGCTATTGTCGCGGGCCGTTTGTAGATCGACGTGCAGTGAGGTGAACTCTGCATCTCCCCTGAAGTCCTGTTGGATTTCAAATGGTTTTGCTCCTTCGTCAGACTTGATACAGGCCATCTCTGGTACACCGTCACCATCTTCTACTTCCTCATGCGTCTCCGTTGACTCCGCTTCATGCACATGCACCTCATCCCCTTCTTCTGCACTCAAATCTGTGATCGGACATATATTTACCCCGATGTCTGTGTTCTGTAAACCTTTTTCATCTTTGTGCTCCATTTTATTTTCTGCTTCCTTTCCATGGATATTTCTCACGGCTTCACCCATCTCTTCAAAATGCTCCGGTGTCACTGCCCTCTTTGTCTCCTCTTTGTCTCCGGCTTCTCTCCCACTTTCCTCCACGTCGTCACTCATTGCATCACCTGTGCGTTTTAGCCACCTGGTGTTTGCATGTTCCCCATGACCACCACCACCATCATCATCATCATCATCATCATCCCTCCCGCCGGCGCTCAAGGTACGTTCCCCGTTTTCTTCACGTTCGTCTTTATCTGCGATCGGCCGCGTGGCATCCTCATTTCCCACGTGTCCTCCGCACGCGCCCTCACTTTGCCCGGATGCTTTTCTCTGTGTGCCTCCGCTCGGCTGGGCTTCGTGTGCCACGTTTTCTTCAGCTCCTAAGTCGATTTCTGTGGTGCAAAATTCCCAGGCAACAAGTGGCCGGGATGAGCTCAGCAGAGAGGCTGTCGCAGGAGGCCGCTCCTCGTCGGCGATCCTTGCGCCGGCATCACCTCCGGTGGGACCAGAGTCGACGCGCTCGCTGGCGTTGGCGGGGACGTTGGCGGGGACGTTGGCGGGGACGTTGGCGGGGATGTTGGCGGGGACGTTGGCGGGGATGTTGGCGGGGATGTTGGCGGGCTCCGGGTTGAAGAATCTGTTCACAGCTTCGGTTATGTAGTACTGAGAAGAAAATGGAGGGAAAGAAGTGAGACATTTTAATTTATTTTTAGGCCATGTCAACATATTTTTTACCACATGCATTTATGGCCGTAGTTTTGAGCGGTTTCACATGAGGAACTTAAACTACATGGCCAAAAGTATATGGACACAACTGTCGACATACCTTCGGATAAGGCTGCGTTTTATGATTTGGAATAAGGTCCTTAGTTCCAGTTAAGCTTAGAATATTGACACAATAGTGTCCTTCCTGTTTGCAGCAAGGCCCTTTCAGGTTTTAACATTATAATGCCTGCATTCACAAAGCAACATCGAGTGTGGGTTAGGGTTTATCGGTTAGTGGAAGATCTTGACTGGCTCGCCCACTACATCCAACACCTCTGAAACCTTGGTGTGAGTTCAATATTTAACTTCCTATTAGCTCTCCTCTGTTAACATTTGCCCTTTTCATTATTTAATGCAGCACCGTGTTTGGAACTGTTCATTTAATTGACCAGAAATTAGTACCAAATGAATTAGTTGTTTATTTGGAAAGCTTTGGAACTTCTTTTAAAAAATATAATTAAAAAAAAACAAATCTATAAAAACTCCAACATTGTAACCAACATATGCATGCGACTAAGTATTAAGATCATGTTGAATGCACAATAGTGGTGTAATGTTTGGGAATCCGCCCCTACATAATGTTCTTTCCTCATTGTGGCCGTGAAGAAAACTTACATTCGCAAGATGTTGCGATAATACGAATATAAACAGGAAAGGAAGGAAGGAAGGGTGAGAGAGAGAGAGAGAGAGAGAAAAACTTTCATCCACATTTCACTGCGTTTCCACAGTGGAATCAACACAGTTCAAGCAGTGTAGTCACGGATGGTGCCTGGGCCTCACCCAAACCGTCCAGAAAGTCCTGTCCACGCCGGAGGAGGAACCGTCGCGGTCCATCTTCGAACTTTCTCCTCGTCGCCTCTCTGACCTTCTGACTAAACCTCCTCTGGATGCGACCACGCTGGCAAATGAAGGCAACCGTGCAAAACTCCCCCCACCCCACCCCACCCCAAACGAAATAACTGAACTGAAATAATTAAATCAAAAACAAAACTCTTGAGCAGCAAAGTTGCACCCAAACCCGAGCAGCTCCTGTGACGAGTCGCCTTCCGAGTTCCTCTTTCGGCCGCTTATGTCCGACGCATCATTACGAGGAAGAGCGTGATTAACGCAGCTGAGTCGCATGCGCACCGAGCCGCGCAGCTCGCGGATGTGCGCGCGGCCGCAGGCCGTTATGTTGCGCGAGGCACCGAGCTCGTGAGAACACCTTAAATAAATAAATGAAGGGACCACGGTGTGTGATGCCACAGTGGTGAACTACTACTGGGTCAGTTTGGGGATTTTTTTCTTATAATATTTGGACTCCAGGTACTTGACGCATACAGGTGACACGTGCACGTCGTAAGAGGCGCGTTGTGGCAGAGCGCACCTTGTTATGGGAGCGCAAACCATGAACACTTATTGTTGCCTGAAGTCCGTAAAAGTAAAAAAAAAAAAAAAATACTGTCTGAATGTATATTTGTGGTAAACTAAACAGCTCGACACGTCAACGACGCAGCAGCACCTCCGCACAGTGAAGTGACTCCTGTGGTCAACAATGAAAAAAAAACAAAAGAGAAGTGTTATTGTGAAATGAGAACTCATTTCAGTGGTTGAACAACAGGCGACTGTGCAGCAGAGAACAGGAACTCGTTCAGAGACAAAGTGAGGGACACTCACAAAAAGACATCTCTCCAGATAGTGTGCATCTTGATTTTATTTTTTCCACAGTAGATTTAAAAAAAGAAATCCACAAAACTGGATTGTTACTGTAAAATTCTTTGTACAAAGATATCACCATTTGTAAATATCATGAATTAGCAAGACACAGTAATAACAGATTAAGAACATGAGGTAATAAATAATGTAAAAAGTTGGATCTCCTAAAAGCTTTACTTTCATCTACTGTCGAGGCATATTAGATATATATGAAATAGAAGGACTCTTGCACACGTCAAGGTCTTCATGCGGAAGAGGAAATTTCCTCACTGGGCTCTGAAAGAGAAACAAGTTCACGGACACATTAACTTCCTGCTGAGTGTCACATTCACAGTTAAAAAAAAAAAAAAAGCGAGCGTCCTCTACGTGATCGTGTTTGTCGTTTTATTGCCGTGTCTCACCTGTCCAGGTCCGATAGACGGGAAGCTGCAGTGCGGCGTGCGTGATCTCCACGCAGACCCTCAGGCGGGCTCGCCCCTTTTCCCCGCCGCCCTTCCCCAGGACGACTCTGTTGATGTGCAGCGCCCCGGGGGCTCCCTCTCCTGCTTCCTCTCCTGCTTCCTCTCCTGCTTCCTCGCTCTCCTCATCCGCCGCCGACTTGGTTTCCTCGCCTCCGCCGACTTGGTTGTTGTTGTAGTAGCTCTCGCCGTCTTTTTCGTCTATGTATTCTATTCCTTCAGCTTCGGGGTCTGTGACGGCAGCTCTGGTTTCTGTAGAGTAACAAGAGAAACCAATGCAATGAAATGGAATAGTTTGATTGTGTTTTTTTGTCGGGGAGGGAAGGGAAATTCTGCACGGGGCCAGTTTGTGCTTTTAACCATCGTGGCGACAGTGGGAGGGATGCAGGAGTGCAACGCACGCTCATCCGTCTTCACAAGAAACGAGCATCGAGTTCCAACTCATAATGATGGGAAATTTTTTTCTGCTAAAAAACCCCCCAACTTCTCCTTTTCTGAAAATTTCATAAAGGGGGATTGCAGAAATATAGTATTTCACTTAACAATTCAGACCATTTACATGCATTACAGGTAACATGGCACCTACAGCTCCCATGATGCAACAGAAACCGCACATTTCACAGGACGCTACACAACTCCTCCTGTTGCATTACAAACAGGAAATACGCCCTGAGGTTACGGGGCTATAAAGTGATTATATATATATATATATATATATATATATATATATATATATATATATATATATATATATATATATATCTGTATTTTATATTTATTTATTAGTACTTATAGCGTGTCCGTTCTCCCGGGTCTCCAGCGGTTTGTTTGTCGGGCTCGGCGCGCTGGTCGACCTCTCCAGGGCGCACACGCTCTTCAGCTCCCTCCGTCCGTCATCTCCTATCTCCTCCGTCTCGACGGAGACCAACGGGGAGAGCGTGGGTCCTCCCGCCGCCCACAGCAATTTGACCTTGGGGTGACCCCCCTTCAACAGGAGGGAGAACACACCGACCCCTTCGCTGCTCCAGCAGACCGAGATGGAGGGAGGAATGGAGGGAGCAACTGAACGAGAACAAACGGAAAGAGGGGGTGAATGAAAAGGAAGAAAAAGCCAGTGATTTCCCCAGAGGATTGAACCTTGTGGGGAAATCCTCCGCATTATAAAAAGACATCTTGACGTGTCCGTAAAGACTCGTACCGAGGTCAACGTTTCTCCAGTGTTTCTCAAGAGGCTCCAGCAGGGAGCAGTGCTCCACTCTACAAACAATCCCTCCTCCTCCTCCTCCTCCTCTGGGCTTCCTCTGCCGGCCGGTAGCGTGTCTCCTCAGAGTGGCCGTGGCCCTGTAGACTCTGGGATGAGTCTGCACGGGGCCCCACACCTCTCCTCCCTCCAGCACCTCCTGCTCGCCGTCATCCTGCTCCCCCTCTCTGAGCATCAGCCAGGTGACCGTTACGTTCGGAGGGTAGAAATCTGTGATTTCACACCCGAGGGTCGAAGCCTGGCCCGGGGAGGAACCCGAGCCAACGATTTCGGACACGCGCGGCCGTTTGATGAATCCTGTTATGGGATGAAGTGCAAATGTAAGCTTTGGTTTCATTAAAATCATGTGCTCTTTTCTCCCCCCCCCCCCCGGCGTCCTACCTCTGGTCTCGCGAGTGGCCGGCTGCTTCAGGGCGACGTGGTGGACACTGACCCACACTTTGGTGCCTCCCTTTTCCAGTTCACTGATGGGCAGTTTGCACTGGCTGAAGGCCGAAAAGAAGCCTTCGGAGTCGGGTCGGGGGGAGGACGAGGCCTGCGAGGCCACAGGGCTCAGCTCACTCCCCTGGCAGAACCAGCGGAAGGTTATGACGTCCGGGTGGAAATGTGACGCCTTGACGGTCATGCTGATGACATCTTGAAGAGTCGTTCACAATCAACGTTTTACCCGATGTGTTGAACAACAGCTGTACGATAAACTCCGCCTTACCAGGGTTATCTGGGGTCTCCAGCAGCTGGATTTCTGATACTTCCGGAGCAGCTAAAAGACCGATTAAAAAAAAAAAAAAAGTCCATTTCATGAATTCTGGAAATCATAGAAAGGCTGAGGAAAAGTGGATGAGTAAAAAAAAACAACAACATTTTCTTACACAGGATGGTGAACTTCTCGGACACCCTCCTCACCACGATCTTGTCTTTGCCCACGTAGGACACCTCGCACTTAAACACCGCCGCCTTGTGGATGGAAATCCGGGGAATGAAAGTGAGCGAGGAGATCAGCTGCGGAGTGCCGGTCCCGGAGGAGTGCAGCGGCCCCTGAGTGCGCAGCCGGTAGTAACCCATCTCGCCCGTGGAAGGCAGCAGGCGGCCTCTCTCCGTCGCTGGGGAGGTGAGGGTTAGACCGTAGGGCAGATGGATGGTGGTTAGGGGGTTATAGAGGCAGTTAAAGTTAGCTGTGGAGCTTCCTGTGTGTGTGTGTGCGCGCGGTGGTAAATTGTTAGAAGATTCAAGCGTAAAAGAGAAAACATGGTATTTTTTAGGGGATGTTGCAATAGAAATAAAAGTCGCATAAAACTCTTTATTTTGACAACAATCCAAACATTTTATTTGCAGTTTCTTCAATTTATTAACTCTTTATTTATTTATTCCTCTTCGGTTGTTGTTCAGGTAAGTTGCATTTGTCATCTTTTTAAAATCTGCAGAACAAAACCTGCAAAACCATGCTGGCAAGAAAAACCAGGTGTGCGACTCCCCAGTCAACCTTTCCTTGTTTGCGGCACTGACTAAACGAAACACATCAGAGATTCCGATTTAGCTGCTGATAGTAGCGGCCTATGTAATCAAACCTACATGCGAATGTAAATGTTTCTTTAAAAAAGGTGGTCCATGGTCTGAAAGTGATAAAACACTTCATGATCTCCACTAGAAGGTTCTACCTGTGAGGGACGTGTCGGAGATGGGGCTGTCATTGAGGAACCACGCAGTCTGGACTCGGTCCACCATCCTGCCCTCGATGCTCACCGTCACTCGGCCCTTCTGACCAACGATCAGGCGCGGGGGGAGGATGATCCCGGACACGTTGAGAGACTTCAGTTTCTCTGAGCGAGGGGACACGGAGAGGAGTCTGAGAGACAATCTGCCTGAGGTGGCAGCTGCTGGGAAACTCGTACATTTTTGCGGTCAACGGTTCAGACGGCATTCCAGTGCATTTGTTACGAGCCGCAAAATCCAGTTCTCCTGGCTCCGGTTCTCCCATTGTGTGTGTGTGTGTGTGTGTGTGTGTGCGCGTGCTTCCAAGTATGTTTACGTAACCAAGTTTATGGAGATGTGACACATCACAGGCTGCACTTTCAAGCTTTTCTTTCTTAAGACAACACTTCAGACGTTTTAAACATCTGTAGATCCCATTCTGTCTTTTTGCACTTTTTCAAATACGTTTCCTCTCTGCGCCTCTAAAAAGCCTTAAAGTGGCACAAGACTAAGTGAAAACTAAATTGCATAACTTTGGCGTTGAGGGTCACGAGTTGCCTTTGTTTCGCTTCGTTTGCGGCGCCACGGCGGTGTTGTGCGTCCCGCCCGCTGACCTACCGTCCCTTCTCCTCCACGAAAAGCCAAAGCAGAGCAGGAAGACCAGCACAATAGAAATGGACATCATGGCCACGGAGGCTTTGGCGGATTTCGTCAACACGGGGGTCTCATCTGAGAGGGAACAGAGCGTGAGCATCGTGAATGAGCAGCCTGTGCGCACATCAACAACCGGACAAACGAGTTAGAAAGAATCGCCAACGCGTCGTTGTGAGGCAGCCGCACCGGTTTTTGTTTTGTTCCAGCAGAAGATGAATCAAACCAGTCAAAGTAAAAAAACAAAACAGATTTGCACGTGTTGAATGATTGTGAGCTCTAACAGTTACCTCGGGGGGCCAGTTCCTCGAGGTACGCCGAGCCCCCGACCGGGTGCACCACGCCGGGTTGGTTGACCGCACACTCCACCTTCCCGCCCTGCTCTTGCTGTTCGGGGCTCAAGGTGTAGTAGCGCCGGGTTCTGTAGGTCCCGTCCGGGTTCTGCTCGGTGACGGGGGGCTCCGGGAGGACGGTGCGGTTCTGCAGCCAGCTCACAGAGACCTCTTTTGGGTAGAAACTCTCCAGATCGCAGTAAAGGGTGAGAGGAATGCTTTCGGAGGCCCGAGGCAGAGCGGAGAGTCTAACGGAAGGAGTGTCTGAGGACGGACACAAAGAAAAATCGTTTTTGGCTTGAAGATCTAAAGCAGTTCACGCGGTTTGTACTGAAAAGGTTGAATGAATTAGCTTTCCAGGTCGCAACATAAAAGTGTGACGCGCAACAGCTTTGTGTCACTCACATGTGACGTTGAGTCGGAAATCCAGGTCTTGATCGGCGCCTTTGTGGGACACTCTGCAGCCGAAGGTGGAGTTCTGGTCCCGGCGGGACGGGTAGAAGGTGAGGTTTCCCACGGCCGCGTAGTACCCATCTGGAGTCCGTCTGCCTTCCACAAAGGAGGCCGGCTGGATCACGCGTCCGTCCCTGGTCCAGGAGAAAGAGACGGGAGGAGGGTAGAAGCCGCCTGCGTGGCATTCAAGCCGACTCTCCGTTTCCAACACCACCCACTGCTGAGGGACGGACAGAGTGGGGGACGCTGAAAGACGAGGCAAAAGAAATGGGCGTTTTGATGTTGAAATGCAAAACCTAAAATGTGCAAATCCAACCGCAGCAGCTGCAGCGGCGACCCACCGAGGACACTCAGGGTGGCGTTGCTGGAGTGCAGCGTCGTGGAGTTGTAGCTGACGGTGCATTCGTACACCCCCTGCAGGCCGAGACGGGCTCCGAGGACGGTCAGCGAGAAGTCCCCGCTGACAACGCCCCCGTCGTCCCAACTGAAGCCGTCCTTGATTTGCGACGGCGCTTCTCCGATCGAGGCGACGTCGGAGCCGTTGCTCGTCCAGAGGGCCGAGAGGAGGGACGGGTCCACTTTGTGCCCGTCGAGGAAGAGGGGCAGCGTCACGTTGCAGGGCAGCGTGGCGTTTGCATTTGGGCTGACCTGTATTTCACTTGGAGACGCTGTAGGAGGAGAAAGGAATGAAATAAAAAGCGCATTGATGCTTCTTACTGCCGCACATGGGGAGGGAGGGGGGGGGGGTTACTGAATAGGCCCGTTGGTGAAATGTGGTTAATGATCCTCAGCAGCAGTTTTAATCTAAACAGGACAACACATACATGTGTCCTGTTTGAATAAAAGTAGCCTTCTTTCAAGTCGTTTTCTTTAAACATGTCAGAAACCTGAATGCGTGACGATGAGGAACTTTGTCGGAGCTTTCATGAAATTTTCCGCTGCGCATTCTTTCTTTTCACCCCGAAGCGTAAATCAGTAAACTCCAATACGTCCTTGAATCAGAGTAAATATCAAGCCTTTGAGTCACATCTGAACAACCAATCAGCTTAATTAGTAACCAGTATAATAAATACTGGGCAGGAATAGGCTCAAGTAATGGAAAACTTTCTTCAGCGTGAAGTGTTTATGTTAAAGTGTGATAGATGGCCCGACTACAGCAGGTTGACAGGAAACACAAAAGCGAATTCACTGAAGACGGCCACACTGCTTTGGTGTTTGCTTTTGTGCCACAAAGCACAAATAGACAAACCGCCATCGACCTGCTCGTTCACCAGAGGAGCAACACCTGTTCACGCTGAGGTCTCAATCGTTCAGTTCATTAGAAAACACGCAGGTCAAATCAGAGCAGTTGGGTCTCTATCACGTTCAAGTGGAAGAGATAATGAATGTGCGATAATGAGAAAACACTTGTCACTGCTTGTAACCATGGTAACGTTCATATCCCGAACCCCCCCCCAGACGTGACGCGGTAAAGTATCCAGAGAAGCGGGCAGAAAACTTACGTGAACAATGATTTCACTTCTAAATCCTTATTGTCAATTTGCAGCGCATGATAATTATTACATGGAGATTTATATACGTCTGGAAGTAAAGTATATAACAACAATATTAGACTGCCGCTGGATGATAAAAAGCACTGCGATAGCACTGACATCACAACACTGAATTACTTTAATGGGGAATCGTGTAAATCCAATATTAGCAGATATTAACAGTCATATTCACTCGATGCATCGTCATGTTGCTCAGACTTATTTCAACGTGCACATACTTTACTGTGAATCAACACAAATAGAAAAGGTTGAGTACACGTTGACACTGTGCTCACACACATATTATCACTCCCTCTAAACTTTTGTAAGATATTAAATAAACCAAAGCTAAACGTTGAAACAATCCTCCAAAAGAACCATTCAAATTCTGTCCGTCCAAAACTGCATCAACCTTAATCGTTTCCACCTGTGCAGCTCATTACGTGAAGAAAAGACAATGCCGCCTTTGTAGCCGCCTGTCAGCGCGAGGACACGATACTCACCGCGCTTTACGAGAGTCAGGAGGACAAACACGGCGAGGACTTTACACCGCATGGCCGGGCTCGTCTTGAGAGAGACCTCTTATCATCTGGACCCTCGGCCGTCTTATATAGAGCTGGGAGGTGTTCAGGGGGGCGTGTTCGTCCTGCCTGGTGAGAAATAAGAAATATCGTCCCAGGGCGGTCGGTGAAAGGAGGCCCATGATATGTGTGGATGTCCTCTTAAATAAAGCAGGGAGAAGGAGCGAGATGTGCGGGGACACACAAGTGGGCAAAACGGGTCACTTAAAATTCAGACGGGCCTCCGGCCAAGGTTTTGGGGCCACTTTACATTGGTGCAGTGTTGCCATGAACAAACGGAGACGGTGATCCCACTGAGCTTCTGTGGGCCAACACTCAGGCGGGACTAAAACGCCACTCTGTCCGTGGAAAAGTTAGTGTGCTGTTATTTGGAGACAGAAATAAGACAATGGCTCTCTTCTCCCCCTCTGAACGGGCCTTTGGAGTCGGCGCCTGCTGCCTTTTATTGAGGTAACTTGTTTTCTACCCAGCGGTTGGAGTTTACGCAGGTTATGTTCCCTGTTTGAAGTGATTGACGTGTTGCAACGATAAAATACAAAAGGTGCCGTAATGTTTTGCGAGAATAAGCGCCTGGAGCCGATCACGAGTCCGCTGCACCGGGCGAGTGGGAAAGTTTGAGTCTCTGGGCATCGCTCCCTTCACCTGATGTATTCCTGCATAGCACAGCTGCACGGGGAGAAAAGCTCCAGACCCAGAACTTGAGGCAAAAGGACCATGGCGGCCATTCAGGCTCCTAAATGTATTGTGGCTCCCTCAGATCTGGGGCCTTGTTGCCTGTGTACTTATTTGTACCATAACAAAAAAACAAGGCATTTTCCACGTATAGGTATGCCTGTGATGCTCTCAAATGTAGCTGTTGCACCATCTGTAACTTGCAAGAAAAAAAACCCTTTGTGCTCACTCTCTGATTCCTCGTGTTTTCTCTTCTTTCTTTTTCTGACACCCTCAACCCTTTCATCGCCAGAGGAGAACAAGAGGACACGCCTAATGATTGAAGGACTGGAATAACGCTGTTTCTTAATCACGTCCATATCAATTTTTCTCTTGAGGTAATAGAAACCTTGTGGTAATTTGCCTGCATACAAACACTGCTGGATTTTGTGTTTGATAGTCGGAAATATACATGTGCATTATGTGAATACTGCGAGATTAGATAAGAATGTTCCGGACATTTTGTAAGACTATAAAGAAATAAAAGGCAATTGTATTAGTATACAGTATGGTTTTTGTGGATTATGCTTATTCCTTTCTGCGAAGAGTTAAGATGACACGATCGTGTAGATGAAGCAGTAAGTTGTTTCGTAACACGGGTCTCACATCTTGCCCACTTCTTTTTTGCATTCCTCCAAATTTTGCATTGCAAAGCGTTTTTGCAGAACCTTTGGAAACGGTCATAGTTTCACATGTGGCGAAACATGTAGTGAAAACCAAAAAGAATTTGGGGTCCATTCCATTCCCAGTATCAACTAACTGTTTTGCGCCTCCCTTTACAGGGGGACTCTGGCGGCCCTTTGCAATGCAAACAAGCATCAAACTGGATCCAGGCGGGCATCACCAGCTTCGGAGCACCGTGTGCGAGGGTCGGTTTCCCGGAAGTCTTCGCCCGAGTATCTCAGTTCCAGTATCGTCAGCTTTGTGACGTTGAACTAAGGGAGTAATACAGTGAATGAAGGTGACATGGTACTATTTACAGGAAACGACACGCCCTCCTCGGCAATGTGGGGGTTGATTCACTGCTTGGGTAGAGAGAATTAAATATTTCTCAACTTTATTTTTATTGATTTTTTTGGAAAATGAGGGGGGGGGGTCGGGTTTGGTTTCCAACCTGGTTTGGGAGAAACTTTGAACAGCATTTTTCCTTAGAACAGGGGTCTCAAACTCCGGCCCACGGGCCACATCCGGCCCGACCGTACCGTTCGCTGGTCGGAACGTCAGCTCCGCCGGCACCCCCCCTCCCGTCGATCGTAATGGTCTGGCCCGAGTTCGGTCGAAAGTGTGTTGCATCTGGGCCCGAACCTGAAATGAGTTTGAGACCCCTGCCATAGAAGGTTATTTGGGTTGATGGCAACCTGCCACAAAACCACGAGATGCCACTAGGACACTAAAAATCCTGGATTTACAGATAAGTATTCCAAAGAGAGTGAGTGTTGAAAAATGTATTTTAGACAATAATAACGTTAAACACTGTCAGTGCAAAAAAGCAACAACTCAAATAACAGGGATGAGACTCTTTTGAATTCTCAAAAAAATGTAGCTGTTGCACCATCTGTCCCTTGTAAGAAATAAAAACCAGAAACTTTATTTACTTTATTCATTATTTAAGTGTTTGGTCCCCGTTTGGTCCTTTGTGCTCGCTCGCTCATTCCTTGTGTTTTCTCTTTCTCTTTCTCTTTCTGACACCCTCGATCCTTTCATCAGCCAGAAAGATTGAGTGCATCTGAGGAATGTCGGCGAAGAACAAGAGGACACGCCTAACAATTGAAGAACTGGAATAACTCGACAATAGTTGAGCAGATATGTCTTAACCACGCCCATATTCATTTTTTCTTGAGGTAATAGAAACTTTGTGGTAACACGGGTCTCTTTTTTGCATTCCTCCAAATTTTGCATTGTATGAGTTCTTGCAGAACCTTTGGAAAACGGTCATAGTTTGACGAGTGGCTCGAAAGCCAAAAAGGAGTCCACAAACCTACCAGCGTTGCTCGTTATGTTGGACAGGAAGTTATGTCACATACGGCAACTATCAAAGCACGTCAGAGGCTTCAAGTGAAACAGGTTCTGTCACGGAGAGGTCACGTAAGGGACAGACAAAAAGACTAAAAACAAACAAAAATATCCCCTATAATTATTAAATATAAAAAATGCTATTATGAAATGAACTGTAAGGACGTTTTAGGATAACCAGCAGTATACAAATTAGTTCTGTTTTCTAAGACAAAGCAATAGATTTATTGGTTTCCAGGTAGCGAGACCTATAGAGATAATGATAGAGTTGTGTTGTATGGAATGCCTTTTGTAGTTAATCGATGTTAAACGGAACCGAATAAACAGGTTTGGGCAGGCTCTCTATATAAATATTCCAACCACAGCAGCGTTTCTATTCAGAAGACAAACACTCCCATCAGGAGTCTCTGCGCTTACCGAAGCCTTCGTCACATCACAGAATGGCCTCCTGGACTGTGGGCAAACTCCTGATCTGTGCCGTCCTCGCGGGACACGGTGAGCTTCACACTGATTCACCAGTTTTATCTCTTTTCAAACCTGTGATTCATTTTGGTGAACAGTATTCACCCGTTTAAAAAAAAAAAGGAAAATGTTCTGTTTTAAAGAACACAAGTCCGAACCGCATGCTGACTGAGGCGTCGAACAACGCGAGACACAGTCCGTCAGGAGGCGCAGTAGTGCCACCATGTGTCCTTAGTTGCGCTTTGTAATGCTCGCTCTCTCTCTCTCTCTTACAGCATCAAAGGCTCAGGGTAAGCACCTTCCCTCCTCTTTCATTCCACAGACACACTGTGACGCTCCAACGACATATCGATGGTCACCTGTGGAGCAGCCTTTGGTGTGCTGACACGCGGCCGTCTTTGCTTTGTCAGATTGTGGACAGGCGCCTCTGAACACGAGAGTCGTGGGTGGTGCGAACGCCACAGCCGGGTCGTGGCCCTGGCAGGTCAGCCTGCATTTGGCTTCCGTTAACTTTCACATCTGCGGGGGAACACTGATCAGTTCCCAGTGGGTGCTCACGGCAGCACACTGCATGGTGATGTAAGACAAACTCATAGCAGATTACATTTATGACGCTTATGAATACAAATAATAGGTTAAACTGATGAATAAATAAAAAAACGATTACTCTGATAGTGTTAGGATCTCTTACTACAATTAATACTTCAATTTATAAATGTATTGTTTTATAGTTCCCTCTCTTTCCTCGATTGAGGAACTCAAATTTACATCCTGGTTGTCTACCTCTGATAAAACCTGGTACAACACGTTTGTCTCGATGACGACTGTTCTTTGATATATCGTCAGACGGACACCTGGTGCGTGGGTCGTCTACTTGGGAAGAGAGACTCAAGCTGGCCCAAACCCCAACGAGGTCAGGAGCACCGTGTCCCAGGTCCTCGTCCATCCGGACTACAACAACACCCTGTTCAACAACGACATCGCCCTGTTGAAGCTCCAAAGTCCCGTCCAATTCAATGACTTCATCAGACCCGTCTGCCTGGCGAGTAACGTCAGCCAGTTCCACACCTCCACCCCCTGCTGGGCCACCGGCTGGGGCAATCTGCGAAGTAACTGTGAGTTCCATCTCTATGTTATTTCCATCACACGTTCAGCGAGTGGGCGCCAGGGCGGCACTGTGACAACAACAACATCAACGGCCGTGAAAAAGTCTTTAAAAAGTGTACGAATGGACACAGCATCTTCTGAGTGTCTCCTCTTTCTCCCACAGTGTCCTTACCGGCATCTCAGCCGCTGCAGGAGGTCCCGGTTCCCGTGGTGGGAGAAAACCAGTGCGCTTGCGGTTACCGGCTGGAAGCAGATGCGAACATCACCAACGAAATGATTTGCGCGGGAGAAGAGAACAGAGGAACGTGCCAGGTTAAAATAATAATCCATTGTTGTAATATTTGAAGTCGGGTCGATTATCTTTCTTCCTTAAAAACGCTCAAAGAAACTCAATAGACGGTTAAAATCTCTGATCTCTCTGTTTGAGGCCTTATTAGGTCGAATTAAGTGGTTATTGTTGGGATTTTATATATACTTTTCTGATCAGGTCTTTCAGCACCAGAGAATTTGGGGTCCATTCCATTCCTAGTATCAACTAACCGTTTTGCACCTCCCTTTACAGGGGGACTCTGGCGGCCCTTTGCAATGCAAACAAGCCTCAAACTGGATCCAGGCGGGCATCACCAGCTTCGGAGTACCGTGTGCCAGGGCCGGTTTCCCTGAAGTTTACGCCAGAGTATCTCAGTTCCAGACTTGGATCACGGAGCAAGTGGCGGGGGCGACCGTCAGCTTTGTGACGTTCAGGTCCAACGGCACCGATGCCGACAACAGCTTTGTGTGCCGCTCTCCCAACACGGCCTCGTCGGTTGCCCCTGAGCTCACGTTTGTCATCATCATTGCGGCGATGCTCCTGCAGAACACTATGACACAATAGCGCCGTTCTACGCAAAAAACATCTATATTCTTCCTTTCTTGTATTACATCATGTTTGTATTTCTATGCATGGCATCACAGTGATAGTAGTGGCGTTTGCATTGTCAAAGTTTCACCACACAGCGCACTCTTTTGAATGTTTTGGGGATTGCACTTTCCTATTGGCCTAGTTTGAAAAAAGTAACACACACTTTATCACATAGGTTTCAAACATCACCTCTCATTTACACAAAAATCTCCCTTAATATTAAAACAAATTTGCAACAATATCAGTCACAGAGATCCCATTTCCATGCATTGGATTTTGACTGCCCAATGCAAGTGTCATTGACTTGTCAAAGCCACTTCTGCATTTTTTGTAACTTGACGCTTGGAGTCCTGTGACTGTCAAAAATAGCTCACCGATAAAAACGCTATTTACATGAGGAACTATGCAAAGTAGGCCAATTCCTTCTTTTATATCTTCATTTTAATAAATTGTTAGGGAGCAAATACAAATTGTTTGCAGAATGTTGAACCTTTGTTTCTCCCTAATGAGTGTAGTACTTGACTTTACAGGGTTTACAAGGTTTTCTTACAGGGCTTGAACTAAGGGAATCATAGGGTTAATGAAGATGAAATGGTACTTTACAGGAAATGACACGCCTTCCTTGGCAATGTGGGGGTTGATTCACTGCTTGGGTACAGAGAATTAAATATTTCTCAACTTTATTTGTATTTATTTTAATTTCTGAACAAAAACAACATTTGCTTGCTTTTAGAAAAGATTAGATGATCCACAGCACATAATTAAAACGCTTAATATTTAAAGCTAAAAAGCAACATCACTTAAAATGATTATGTCCAAGTTACTAGAACTTATATTATACTGGAAAATGAGAGGGGGTCGGGTTTGGTTTCCAACCTAGATTGGGAGAAACTTTGAACAGCATTTTTCCTTAGAGGGTTATTTGGTTGATGGCAACCTGCCACAAAACCACCAAAAGTAAATCCCTAAAAACATGGTCTCTCTTGATTTACAGATCTTACTTAAGTACAAATAATAACGTTAAACCCTATCAGCGCAAAGTAGCAACAACTCAAATAACAGGCACAAGACGCCTTTGAATTCTCAAAAAACGTCCTGGAATAATATCCAACAAAAATAACAATTTCCACATGCAACCTCAACAATATTGATTTATCAAACATTTTTTGTAATACTTATGGCATTAAATACGGCTAATATTTAACTCTATCTTTATTATCTTAAACAAAATCATCATCCTTAACCTTGCACAAACATAGAAAGAGCCACTCACGGTTTGGCGTCGGTACCGGTGAACCCCTTCGTGCTGACGTTGTCCCACCTTTAACGACAGGTGTCTTATTCCGGCCAATCTGCACCTTTACGCACTCACGCACTTGGAGACGCGCTCCCGATAAACTCCGTGAGGGTTCCGTGCATCGTCAATGGGAATAACCAGTTTTTCATGAAGGTGCAAAAAAAGATAAACAAAAATGACGGAAGATGTGTGTACGTTAATAACAAATCAAGGATTCAAGATGGAGAAAAAAAAACATAAAATCAGATTATATTTATTCATATATATAATATACTAATATATATCAAAGCAATTTTGACAAACAAACATAAAACATTTGAAATGACCTTCAAATCAGAGAGTAAAAGTAGTAAATAAATACCCTCAATTGTAAATCCTTTTTTTGTTGTTGTCTGGGTGACTTGACGTGTGGCAGCAAAGTGGTGTCCCATTCATATTTACATAATTTAAATAGACCCGTGATTTCAAGGTACCTCCGGCCTTGGATTCCGCTGCAGGTGCAAGCCCTGCATCGACTATCTGGATTGAACGGCTGCTGAGCTGACTAGCTAGCTGCTAGCTAGTAATCTGGATGCAATAACTGCTAGCTATTAAGTTGGATGCTATAACTGCCAGCATCTAGCTAACTGCTAGCTAGTAAATTGGATGCTATAACTGCCAGCATATAGCTAGCTGCTAGGTAGTAAATTGGATACTATAACTGCTAGCTATTAAGTTGGATGCTATAACTGCCAGCATCTAGCTAGGTGCTAGCTAGTGGATTAGATGCTAACTTCTACCGTCAAAGCAGAAAGGTTTATCACAATGTGGAGATATATACGTGTCTGCTGTTGGATGACTTGAACACTTCTCACCAGAACAGACCAGCTCAGTTAACACCTGAGTTGTTGTTTTTGTGAAAGTACAGGTCTTTATTTTTTAAATGTGTACACAAAATACTGTTGTGTGCAAAAATACTCAAAAATGTAGTCCAGCAAAATGAAAGGGTAAATACTTTATTCAACGGTATAGTACAAGCCATTAACTTCACTTGCTGGAATCAGACCAAGGAAAAATAATACAAGTTGTGTAAAAACTCTGGGAATCCACCCGAAAAAAGGTTTAAAAATAAAAGGAAAGGGAATAGAGGCAGAACATTTTCTCAGAATGGCTGCACCAACAACCCAAACACGGAAGTTTTCACTTTGATTTTAAGCCAATATTCTTTAAAAGTGCTGTTTGTTTATAAGCAGTTAGGTGGTGCCCATGAGGCCGTGGCCTTCTCCATGATTAAGTGATAATGGTGGGAAGAAGGTGGAGAGGGGAATAGTGAGTGTCCATGCTTTAATAAGCGTGGTTGGCCACAAACAGTGACTCTGCACCAGCAGTGCTGGCTGCAGAGGAGACATATTTGCCCTGGCAGGCCTGGTTGTTAGCCTGTTGGAGACAAAAACAGAAGTATTACCGAATGCACAATAAGATGTTGAATTCTCATAACAAACTGTACTGCATCTAAGTAACACATCACTAGACTATTTATCTCTCTTCACACATACCAGGGCTCTCTTCATGAACTCCTCCTAGCACGCCTTTCCATTTTCCTTCTTGCCGCCCCAGGCTTTGAGGGCTGAGGCCTGCAGGGCACGGCCATATGAGAAGGTCAGAGCCCAGGGCCTGTGCAGAGGGCACTGGTTCATGGCGTTCAGATTGATGGAAGCCTCCTCCTCACTCTGGCCACCAGACAGGAAGGTAACCCCTGTAGAGGAATAGCATTTCAGTGAATGTCATGCACACACTATATGTTCCTCGGCAATGTCAGCAATTGTGTGCATGTCAACAAGAGAGTGTTGTGTGTGTGTGTGTTTACAACTCACCAGGCACTGCGGGAGGAACGGTGCGGCGCAAGGCAGTAACCGTTGCCATGGCAATCTCCTGGTTGCTGAACTTGTGTGAGCAGGAGTGTCCTGGGGTAACCATGTTGGGCTTGAGCATGGTGCCCTCCAGGTAGACGTGGTGGTCAGACAGGGCCTTGTAGAGGGCAGCCAGGACTTTCTCAGTCACGTACTGGCACCGCTTCAGGTCATGGTCACCATCAGGGAGAATCTCAGGCTCAACGATGGGGACGATGCCGTGCTGAGAAGGGGAGAGAAGAAATTGAGTCAAAATGACTGTGTTGGCAAAAAAGGCAGTCAAAAGCGAGTTGATAACAAGGAGGAAAGAAAGGAGACCGTGAGAGGGTCAGAGTTTTATTTGTTTTCCACACTAGGTTTATTTGTTGTAATATTCCAAAGTTACAAACAATGTAGACTTACGGCATCTTCATAAGGCTACGTCAGTCATTTACAGTGGTCTGAAGGTAAAATAGCTACTTTTATCTCTCCTTTACGGAAGAAATAGATAACACTAATAGGCTTCAGTCATTGATAAGAGAGACTTATTGGAAAAAGACCGGTCACAATCAGTTGCCATTGCAGAGTCATTTGGTTGCTTTTTCTGAGGTTTTGAATGGTATTATACAGTATACAACATACTATGTTATGGATGAAGCTTGTAAAATTAAATGATGTCTTAAGTTTTTTACCATCTGGCAGATGCTGGCGTAACGGGCCAGGACATTGGCGTTCTCAATGATAGCCAGTCTTGAGGGAGTGGTGGGGGTGATCTTCATCACACAGCGCCACTTGGCAAAGTCGGCACCATCCTTCTTGTACTGGGCGCAGCGCTCGTACAGTCCATGGAGACCTGTGAAAGACGGTGAGGCGACACCTTGAGTAAGTACGACAAAGGTATTTAAAAACGTTGACCTCATGATCCGTTCTTTGCTCACCCTGGGTGGTTGTCTCGCCGTTGGTTCCGGCCAGAGGGACAACGCCTTTGTCGACCTTGATGCCCACGACCATGTTTCTTCCTTTGAGGTACTCGGGGAAGAGCTTTCCGTCGTCGGTCTTCTGGTACATGGTCTCATGGAAGAGGATGACGCCCCCGATGCAAGGGTTCATGTTTTTAGGGACACAAACTCTCTTGATTTACAGATCTTACTTAAGTACAAATAATAACGTTAAACCCTATCAGCGCAAAGTAGCAACAACTCAAATAACAGGCACAAGACGCCTTTGAATTCTCAAAAAACGTCCTGGAATAATATCCAACAAAAATAACAATTTCCACATGCAACCTCAAGAATATTGATTTATCAAACATTTTTTGTAATATTTATGGCATTAAATACGGCTAATATTTAACTCTATCTTTATTATCTTAAACAAAATCATCATCCTTAACCTTGCACAAACATAGAAAGAGCCACTCACGGTTTGGCGTCGGTACCTACCGGTGAACCCGTTCGTGCTGACGTTGTCCCACCTTTAACGACAGGTGTCTTATTCCGGCCAATCTGCACCTTTACGCACTCACGCACTTGGAGACGCGCTCCCGATAAACTCCGTGAGGGTTCCGTGCATCGTCAATGGGAATAACCAGTTTTTCATGAAGGTGCAAAAAAAGATAAACAAAAATGACGGAAGATGTGTGTACGTTAATAACAAATCAAGGATTCATGATGGAGAAAAAAAAACATAAAATCTGATTATATTTATTCATATATATAATATAATAATATATATCAAAGCAATTTTGACAAACAAACATAAAACATTTGAAATGACCTTCAAATCAGAGAGTAAAAAGTAGTAAATAAATACCCTCAATTGTAAATCCTTTTTTTGTTGTTGTCTGGGTGACTTGACGTGTGGCAGCAAAGTGGTGTCCCTTTCATATTTACATAATTTAAATAGACCCGTGATTTCAAGGTACCTCTGGCCTTGGATTCCGCTGCAGGTGCAAGCCCTGCATCGACTATCTGGATTGAACGGCTGCTGAGCTGACTAGCTAGCTGCTAGCTAGTAAATTGGATGCTATAACTGTCAGCATCTAGCTAGCTGCTGGCTAGTAATCTGGATGCTATAACTGCTAGCTATTAAGTTGGATGCTATAACTGCCAGCATCTAGCTAGGTGCTAGCTAGTGGATTAGATGCTAACTTGTACCATCAAAGCAGAAAAGTTTATCACAATGTGGAGATATATACGTGTCTGCTGTTGGACGACTTGAACACGTCTGACCAGAACAGACCAGCTCAGTTAACACCTGAGTTGTTGTTTTTGTGAAGGTACAGGTCTTTATTTTTTAAATGTGTACACAAAATACTGTTGTGTGCAAAAATGTAGTTCAGCAAAATGAAAGGGTAAATACTTTATTCAACGGTATAGTACAAGCCATTAACTTCACTTGCTGGAATCGGACCAAGGAAAAATAATACAAGTTGTGTAAAAACTTTGGGAATCTACCTGAAAAAAGGTTTAAAAATAAAAGGAAAGGGAATAGAGGCAGAACATTTTCTCAGAATGGCTGCACCAACAACCCAAACACGGAAGTTTTCACTTTGATTTTAAGCCAATATTCTTTAAAAGTGCTGTTTGTTTATAAGCAGTTAGGTGGTGCCTATGAGGCCGTGGCCTTCTCCATGATTAAGTGATAATGGTGGGAAGAAGGTGGAGAGGGGAATAGTGAGTGTCCATGCTTAATAAGCGTGGTTGGCCACAAACAGTGACTCTGCACCAGCAGTGCTGGCTGCAGAGGAGACATATTTGCCCTGGCAGGCCTGGTTGTTAGCCTGTTGGAGACAAAAACAGAAGTATTACCGAATGCACAATAACATGTTGAATTCTCATAACAAACTGTACTGCATCTAAGTAACACATCACTAGACTATTTATCTCTCTTCACACATACCAGGGCTCTCTTCATGAACTCCTCCTGGCACGCCTTTCCATTTTCCTTCTTGCCGCCCCAGGCTTTGAGGGCTGAGGCCTGCAGGGCACGGCCATATGAGAAGGTCAGAGCCCAGGGCCTGTGCAGAGGGCACTGGTTCATGGCGTTCAGATTGATGGAAGCCTCCTCCTCACTCTGGCCACCAGACAGGAAGGTAACCCCTGTAGAGGAATAGCATTTCAGTGAATGTCATGCACACACTATATGTTCCTCGGCAAGGTCAGCAATTGTGTGCATGTCAACAAGAGAGTGTTGTGTGTGTGTGTGTTTACAACTCACCAGGCACTGCGGGAGGAACGGTGCGGCGCAAGGCAGTAACC